TCCCAGTAAAAACTTTTGGGAATCTAGAAATAATTGGAAAATAAGGTACTACCGGGTGAAGAATTCTCATCGCTTAAGGTACGATGTGAACAATTTGGAGCATTTGTTTTTTTTAACTTAAAATGTGTATTCCAAGAAAAGGGGAAAAAAGGACCTACAGGCCACTTTGGGAATGTACTGGAAAAAAAAAAAATAAGAATTCTTTAAGTAAAACATCACCGAGCGGAAATTTCGTATATCTTTTAAATTATCGCACGAATAAACCGGAGCAATTTTTACAACCGAAAAAGTGTTTTCTGGGAAAAAAATCAAAAATCTTAATAAAACTAATAGCTTCTCTGATTTACTAAAAGAATCTAAAAAAACGGCCAATGTCAGTAGAACTATATACTGCGGATTAATACGGTATGACGTTTGGATTGAAATTGTATAAATATTATTCTGATATACATAGTTACAGACTTTTTTTTACGAAATTAACGAAAAATGTAAAATGTTGGGTGGTTTCAAACTGTTTAACATGACCGACTAAGAAATCGATGAAAATTCGTTTAAATATTTCGTATTATTTCAAATATTATTAACCTGCAGCATGTATGGCGCTCGGTAGTGAAAACGGTGAAATGTTATTTAAGACACTGTTTTAATTTACTCAAAAATCGATTAAAACTAATAACTTTATTATAAATTTATATTATGTGGGCGTCCTATAAGTTTACCAAGCCGAGAAGCTTCGGGGCAAATGTTTTCCTTTGACCTCTACCCCTGTTTCTCTGTACACTGAACACTGTTCGTATAGTTCGGAAAATAAATTAATATAGGTACTTATTACCGACAAAATTTCGAATTGGTATTTATTTGAAAAGGGTAATAATCATTTTAGTGAAAACTCTCTGTAATGAATCTTAAGGGACCGAGAGATTTCTTTCGTTATAGAAAGTTTATTTATCATATATGCATATCATTATTTTGTAAATTAAACAATTTAGTTTAATATTATTATATTATCTTATACATATGTAACAATTATTTAAAATATTCTCTGCCATCTTTGTTTGAACTTGTGTCTTGTGCGTTCTGCAAATAGTATCCCGGTATTTGTCTAAGAATTTTGTCCGGCATTCTAGCCTGGGGATAAGTTAGAAACATCTTCAATCGTTTTTGGATATTTCTGTATTTATACTGATTATACCAAAAACTATTATTAAACGTAAAATATTGTTTCAATATTGAGAACGAGCAAATAATGTATGAGTTATACAGCAAACCAACCATTATTAAGTAATTTATACATTACATAGAGTTATTCGTTAAAAATGATTTTCACTGTACTATCGTATGACATAATTTATATTTGGTCCCACAGAAGAAGGACTTAAGTTACTTCTGTGTGATTTTCAATACGAACAAATTACATTTTAAAAAGACGAACATACTCCGCACGGTGGGTGCAGCCACTGTTGTTGGTGAGAATTTGGGAAGGTGGATATAGAGGATAAATTAATGTGTATCTGTAAGCAACGATAGACCATTGTTTATTAAATATGATTCTGAGCGGAGTTCAGTTGATAGTGATGTTTTGTCAACAATATACTTATGTATATGCCATATTATGGTAAAATAATTAAATAGGCATTATATATTTTCTTTAATAATATTTGTTTAATATTGTACAGATTTTTCCGTTTTTCCGCCGTTTTTTCCCGATTTTTCACATTTGCTGGAACTCGAAAAACGACCTTTTTAAATGTACCTTCCTAATCACATTTACTTTTAGACAAATACTATTATTATAAATCAGATCAAAATTGCTGGTAGAAAAGTTGTCCACAGTAATACAAAATCATAATATTGTACTAATATATTTCGTAAATTTTTCCGTTTTTTCTTACTTTTCTCTTTTGTTGGGAAAATCAAAAAATGACTTCCTTAAAGTACCACCCCAAGAGAATTTCCTTTCAGAAATAGGTACGCATAGTATATATTGAAGTGAGTTTTCTGGTGAAAAAAGTGTTCATATAAAAAAAAACTGAACATCTTTGTAAAACCAATACATTCTTCGCTACACTCAAAATCTAAAATACATATACACTTTTACGTATATGAATATACTAATACACAATACACATTTATTTTTGAATTACACATAAATACTTATGTCACTTCTGTTATTTAGACAAAGGCGGATGACAGTAAAATTCAAACCCAAAATTTTAAGCAATTTTTTTTAACTACAATTTTGAAATGCTTACCAAGCCTTAGCTAAAAGTAATGGGGTCAGTATTTTGTTTTTAATGCATTTTTTTAGTATTTCTAATAAAAATCTGGGAAAATCTAAAACGAGCTAGTACTGGCACTATTTTCGAATGATTTGAAACTATTATAAGTATTTTAATAGTTAACTATTCTTCGCTATACTCAAAATCTAAAATAATAAACTATAATATATTTTAATCGAGGTTTGGTACTTATAGTACTTAAAATCGATAAATAAGCGATTAAAAATAATTTATTTTAAGCCCTATAAATTCTGAAATAAGCAATTAAAAATTAAAAAAAAAAAAAAAAAAACAAAAATTGTAAAAACCTATCAAAAAAAGCAAACAAGACACTTTCAAATTTCATATTAGAACACTATTGAATCTTTTTAAAAATAAACTGGTGAAATTTCATTGGTCAGCGATGTCTGACACGACAATTAGTAGATAAGATAACAAAAAAAAAAAAAAAAATAGATTAGTTTGGATAGTAAAAATATTTTATTGAAATAAAAATTATTCAAAACTCCAAGGGGGAGCTAGGAGGACCTAGGTTTTCATCACCAGCTTCCGTAATCACTAAGTAGAAAATGAAAACTGGTAAAACTTGTAAATGTTTATTCTCGGCGAACACCCCTTAGAGAATAATAATTATTGGAAAACAACCAAGTAAAATCTAGTGAATTTCAACGGGTAATTCGATATGATGTCATTCGATGAATATGAAATATGCGGTTGCGTTAAGTCGGAGCCAGCGTGTTTGCTGTCGAGATTAAACGAAGTGAGTGGCGGGGAGGTCTTTTGAAAACGTTGAAAATTGCCTAGCGTAACCCGAAAGTTTTCGGCGAAGTTTCAGAACTTGTCAAGACGTTGCCGCGGTTGAACAATTGACCTACTATCCTTTGGGAAAATATAGATTTTTGGTGTAAACAACTATGATTTTCCATAATTCGGTGACTGAACGCCTTTTGTTGTCACACACGCGCACCCACGAATCGTAATATTATTAAAAAGAAATCTAAGGATAATGGGGACGGGTGCAGCCAGTGTTATAGGTAAATTAATGTAAAGTACCTCTCCACACCGATTTTCGTTCAGAAAAGAGATGGTACACATAAAAGTCGGAGCAACGTCTCTTTCTACAAAAGTTGTCCACAGAACGAAAAAAAAAAAAAACCCTAAGCATCTTCGCTCCACTCAGAATCTGAAAGGAACACGAATATTCGGTCTATTGTATTTTCTGTATTTTCATTTGTAGAATCATATTGCGAATCGCCCCGTAATAGTAAAACGCCGAAGGGGGGAAAACCGGATTCGCAGACAGAACAAAACGCCTTTTTCAAATATATTTCCTATTCAAATATCCGCGTCGTATTGACCGTTCAAACTTCGGCGCCGCCAAAGGCCGTGAATACTTGTCAATATTATATAAATACATTGTGCGAGCGGGATTTTTTTTCCTAAACCTGCAGTACCTATACGCGATAACGCGCAGTATACCGTTCTAAGTGCGCGCCGTCGTCGTACGCGTATCGGGAAAACCGGAGAAAAGAAAAAAAAACGATCGGCAATTGTTTTTTTTTTTTTTTCCTCTCTAAACGGCTCGCGACGAGCGGGTAAAGGACAAAAAGGCGGAGGGGGAAAAAAGGACGAAAAAGACGGGATAACGACGCTCGCGGCCGCCGCTTGTGTAAGGCGAGCGCGCAAATGTGACAATTATTATTACACGAGAGCCACTGATGTTTGCCGATGCCGTTATTATTTTAACATAATAATCGATTTTCGTAAGTGGTACGCGCGCGGGCGAGACGCAAACGGAGAAAAATAGACCCATGTTACGTATGATCATCACGAATGTCCCGTACTCGGCGGTCGCGCGAATCGACGGCGACGCGGCGTTCGGCAATAGCATTTAGTGTACAATTGTTCGGTTATTCGCCGGGCCGCTAAAAGAAAACGGGTTGAGAAAAAAAAAAAACGTCCCTTATTTTTTTTTACAGAGGACAGGTACGCGCATACCCGTACGGTGTACTGTACAGGTGCTATGACAACGGTGACGCCGCGATGCTATGCGACTACGGGTGCCGTACGGTATCGCGCCCCGGGGTTCGGAGCAGCGAGTCGCTGCGCCGCCGGTAATTTTTATTATTATTATTTTTTATTTTTATTTTATATTTTCCGGCGGCGTTCTCTTCCACACGTCCCGCGGCACGTACGCCGCAGCACGGCACGACGACGATAATCTCTACTACCCACTCGCGCCCGCCCCGCAGCACTGGCGGCGGTTCGTCTCTCCGGGACGAACACGCGCGCGCGCTCGGCGAGATGCGGTCTCTACCCTGCCGCCGCCGCCGCCGCCTTCACCACCGCCGGGACAACACGCACACCAACACGCCGTCACCTTCCTCGCCGCCGCCCGCGGACGGTCTGTCGATCTCGCCGCCGCCTTCGCTTCCGCCGCCGCCGCCGCCGCTTTTCCACGAAAAACTACTACCCCGCCGCCGTCGCGCCCACGTCCGACTTCGTTGCCGCCGCCGCCGGCACCACCACCACCGCCGCCGCCGCCGCCGCCGTGCCCGGCAGATAGCGCTTCCGCGTGGCGTATCGTCGGCGGCGGCGGCGGCGGCGGCGGCGGCGGCGAGCAATCGTCATCGCCGGGCTCGGTTCTGCGCGGTCCTCTTCGCCCCTCCCGGCCTCGCCGACGCAAACCTCCCGGCCGGCAGGCGGCCGCGGTAGCTCCGCGCAGCGAGCAGTCAGTCGGTCACGACGTCCCGGTGAGCGACTTCGTGTCTGCGTTTATGCGCGTGTCTCTGTGTGTGTGTGCGTGTGAGCGATCTAATCGTTTTCCCGTGTGCACTACGTACACCGTATAGTACGCGTTCACGTTCTCCGTTCGCGGGCCGTTGCCTACAAACACCGCCGGGCCATCGCGCCCGGAATATTCACGCGTGACCGTAGTCCAAATCAACAACTCTTGGACGGTGTTTTTTTTTTTTTTCTGTCACGTTTTGTGGCCGCCCGGCCGTTGGCCGCCGCGACTCGAAAACCCGCGTACTGCACTCGCACCCCGGCAGTGGCGGTTTTCTGCAGCAGTCTATCCATAAATCTCGCGCTCGTCGACCCTCCATCCGCTCCGCGACGAGGGTGGTTTTATTAAATTCCGAGTCGTAATATATAGACGCGATTATCTGTACGACGACCCTTAATCGCGTACTTAAAAAAAAAAAATATCCCCCTTTTTCAAATCTCGAAACAACAATCGCAGACCGTTGCGTGTACAAATCGCCGTAGATTTCGCCGTGCGATTGTCGCATCGCGAACGGCCGGATTGTCGTAAATAAAAAGACGCGGATATTAAAAAAGAAAAAGAACAAAAACAAAAAAAAAATGATCGTAAACGTATCGTCGGTGGTCATTACGGATGAACGACACAGAAGTAATTCCATTGAAAAGCTCGGAATGGCGGGACCACCGTCCACATTGACGGTGTCTTCCGTATTGCAGTGCGACATTTGATTAGCTGCTTCGAGTATCCGTTGTCGTTACTCGGCATGATTCAGCCGACGCGGACGTCTTCGGATGACGGCGACGACGGCGGAGACGAAGAGGACACGGGCGGCGGCGGCGGCGGAGACGCCGTCAGTAACGTGACGGTCAAGTGGCGAGCATTCATAGGACGTTACGATCCAAGCTGTTCAGACGCGTCGAGCAAATTGACATCCGATACGATGATGTTTGGGTTGTTGATGTTCTTGATTCCTTGCACGCTGGCCAACATCACTTTCAGAGGTAATATAGTTTTTAATTTTGTTTTTTTTTTTTTTTTTTTTTTAATTCATACATCAATAGTAGTTAAATGTTATAACATAATATAGTGTAAGTTTACGGTTAGGCCGCGGAGGAGAGTACCGTCGGGGAGGAATCGCGATTATCGTGTTATTATCGTATTAAATGTTTATCTTAGCCAATGCCACTGCGGAATTGTTGTTATGCGAATGTACGCGGCGTTGCGCCCGGCGGCGTAGGGGCAGGCCCGGAACGCGCTCGGGGCTCTACTCCGAAAATTACCGCGGTTTTCGTATCAAACGCGACGTAATATTCACGGACAACTCGTATGTCATTTTGTCCGCGAGATTATTTCTAGCTACGGTCGCGCGCGGTCGTATTAATTGTTGACCGCGATGGACGGCGACTATGTAAAACGAACGAAAACGCCGTGATAATAGGACGCGTTACCGCACGGCAACAACGTTATTGTCACAACATAATATAATATTATTGACGGCATCGCGTACACGGGAAAATTCCGTTCGGTTTTGAATTACGGCGACGCATATGCTTACAAAAAAGGGGCGCGGGGGGGCGGGGGGCGGGAGGCCCTCGCCGGCCTCGGGTACCGCATGCGGTCATTATGTAACGCGGTTTTTTCGTGGTTTTTTTTTTTCTCGTCATAACGTATTATCGGTATCCGCCGGGCGCTATTTTTTTCCACCGTTTTCCAAAGGGATCGGACGCGGGGACCATTGACGCGTTAATGTTAGCGATAACGCGCGGGTCGGAGTGGTTGGGGGGCTCGAACGTCCGCGTCATTTCCGCGCGACGTTTTTCGCGAATGAAATTTCCCGAGCGCGCCGTCGAGAAAACCGATTCCCGCGCGACGGTGGCGTACCCGCGCGCGGGGCGCACGTAAATTAGTTATTATAAAAAGTCCGCCGCTTTTCACCACTCCACCACCACCCCCCACCCCCTTCCTTCTCGCCCTCCACCCCGGTAGGGTTTTGAACCGCACGCGCGGTACCGTACACGCCAATCATTAACGTTTTTATGTCGATCGGCACGCGAACGATACGCGCGCCGAGATCGGATGATCGTACACGCGTATTGCGCGTACTGCAACAACGGTATCGAGCAAACGTGCGCACATCATAGCGCAGAAGTACCGTATACAGCCGGCCGTTTTAATACGGACGCGGGCAGCAGGTGTACCCGGCGTAGAAGGGACGGAACGCGCGGGCACGCGTCAATACGGGCGTGCTGCGGAAACGACAGCGCGCCCAAAGATCGCGCGGGCCATTGTCTGGGCATCGCGTCGTCGTACCGTTTCGTCGGGTTTTCGTTTTTCTTATTTTCTTTCGTTCCTCCGCGACGCGGTTATTGATGTGACCGGATAACGCGCCGCGGAAACCGATTTACAGTCCCGGGGTGGTCGTGGTGGCGGTGGTGGTGGTGGTGGTGGTGGTGGTGGTAGGAGGGGGGGCGAGCCCTTCTCCTCCTCCTCCGCGCCGCCGCCGCCGATAAGCCGAGTGCGCGTTACGCGTAACGCCTGTGCACAGATAATTCCCGTCGGCGCGTACGGAACGCCGCCGGCCGACAGTTTTCCCGCGCGCTTGCAATAATTAGAGGTGTTTCCGCGTGATCCGCGGGCCCCGGTTCATGCCCCTCAGCGGTATTCCGAGGCGCCATTGTCGTGCACGCGCCCGCGTGATCGGGAGGTTACGGGACACGGAACATCGTGCGCGGTGTGCGTGGCGCGGCGCCGGACAGGCCCGCCGGGGATTCGGTAGTTTTCCCGACGGGCCTTCTCCGAAACATGATCCGCGCACCGGCGGCGCCGCGATTAAACGGTCGAAACGATTAATCCGATTTTCCGCCCGCAAACAACGCCGACGAAACAAAGTTGCCGTGCAACAGAATCGCAATTGTAACGGCGTTTCGTCGCAAACTCGGACGAAAATATCGAAAACAATTGGCGATTATGTTGCTGAGCCGCGTCATGTCGTTCGGCGCCCAGGGGCGTGGATTTTTAAACGTCCCTCTCTTTAAGTCTTTCCCAGAGACGATATTCGGGCGGGCAACAACCCCCCCCCATCACGGGTTGTTTGTCGTTCGTTCGACATTTGCGGTTTTATTAAATTCGCATTTTAAGTTTCGCCGCGGATTATATTTTGTTGTTCTTGGGTTTTTTTCAACACACGCATACTACGTTACCGGGCTGTACTCGCGGTTTTCCAATTGCCGAACACTGTCCATTGTTACAATGCTCTCTACAAACAAAGCGGTTAAAAACGAAACAGATAACAAGCGACAGTAGCGATATTGTCGATTTCATTTCGAGTTTTATACACATATCGAGACGGGCGCGATTCGATTCATCTACTAGGAAGGGGGGGGGGGTTAGCCAATATCTTTTTGGTCCGAAAACCATAGCGACTTTTAACAACTGTGACCAGCTGCACCGACCGCTTAACGTGATAGCGCGCTATCCGCGGAGGCTATGGTTTTAATATTCATTAACACCCTGAACTTCTACACAGAGCCCCTGGCCCCCACGGCCCCCTCCCTAAATTCTGCACCTGTCCGGAGGGGCGTGCGAATGCGATATCATAATAATAGCATGACGGCGTGCGGTAAACACGATAGGCGCCGACCGGACGGAATAAATAGAATAACGAAGAACAAGAAGACGCGCGCGACCGTAGGAATGTCGAGAAATACCGTCCAGTTGTTCGGAAGCCGCGTCGTTGCGACTCGTTTTATTAGACGGATTAGATTGATGTGCGGTACGAGACCCGAAGAATTCATAATTCACAACGTGTACGCAATTTACACGAGCGATACGAACGTCTCGAGAAGTTCTGAATAGTCCGCTCGCGGAATAACGAAAATACGACCTTACGATATACACGGCAAAACACGTTTTTAACGCGGACGCCCGTTGTGTCGTCGGATGAAATATCTTCTCCTCTCCCTCTCCGCCCACATTTCGCCCTTATTAACGCCCTCTAAGAGTTTTCACCGCCATCACTGGATCTCTCCATGTTTTCTCGATTTCGGGCCAGTTCTCTACGTTCTTGCACTCCCATCCCGTCAAGGTCTTCTTCCACAGTGTCCTTTTCTTGGTCTCCCTCGGGGTCTTTTCCCCGCCGGTTTCCACTTCAGCACTACCATATTAATTATACCGTCCTTATTTCTCCGTCACAAGTGTCCTAGCCATGGGGTCCTTTCTCCTCTTATGAGTATAATTACTACTGATGACATTTACATTTCTTCCTGTAGCTCTTATATTGTCTTTGTTGCGTTCTTTTTTCACTATCATATACCGGTCCACATATTACCCCCCGTATTTTGTTTTCAATGGTCCTGCGTTTTCTTTCAGTAACGCTAGTAGCAGTCGTGCACCCATATATAAGCATTGGTCTTGGTATTACCGTGTACAGCCTTGCTTTAGTTGTTTTGGAGAACACTTTGGGTTTTAAAAGTTTACTCAGAGCGAATGAGGCTTTTTTAGCTTTTTTTTATCCTTAAACCTATCTGTCTAGCCCAGTCATTTTTTATACTCCGTACTGTTCTTAAATACTCACATTTATTGGCTTTTTCGAAAGCTATAAGGATCCCATATTAGTGTTGTCTCCATCAACTTGCAGTTATTTTGCTGGTTTCATCCGTATCAGATTTTAAATCTACCTTACTGGCGGCTGCTTGTTCGAGCACTTGGGCTGCTTTATATTATACTGAGCTGTCTATGACATTCGAATCATCCGAAAAACCAAGAACTTTTAGGCGCCGTTGACTGATCGCTATTCCAGTAGTTTCCGTTTGTATCTCCCTTATATGTCTTTTTCCAATGCTATCGATTGAATAACGTGGGTGTTGGCGAATCTCTTTGTTTCAATCCTGTGCTAACTTCAACAACTTAAGACATTGTTCGCTTGACCCTTACCCGACACATCGTGCATCTTCCGTGCACATTTTCGTGAGCGCTAGAAGTTTGTTTGGGACAAATAAAGCGAACAGACACGCGTCTACGAAACGCTTGTGAAACGGATCCCGGCCACATCGGACGCACGGACAATGGGCATTTTTCTGTTTTTTTACTGTAAACCTAGCGAAAACAAACGATTGCGTTTTTTCACAGATGAAAACGATAACGTCCGTTTCGCGGTCGACACAGATAATATATAGCGTCCTATTATCCGATTTTAATTCCGCGTCGTTCAGCGAGTTTATTCCGATGAGTCGGTCGTTTTTTTTTTTGGCGCCTCCCCGCTTTGGCTGAAAATCGTTCGATTTAATGCGAAAATTAGGTAAAGGTCGGCGCAAGGTACTTACTGTGTAGGGCGGCTATTGCCTATTGGTAAGCCCGACGCGAATTCTACCGTAAAAAACACTTCGGGACATTTCTACGGCGGAAATGTCTGTTACCCGTGTATAACGGACACTTTTGAGTGGTCCGTGCGGGCGGGTTACGCCGTGCACATAAAATACGGCCGACGATGCACAATAACGATATTTTCCGTGCGATTTGATTAATCGTTTTTAATCGAACCGGCCGTACCGAGTGTGCCGACACCTGTATAATAATCGAACTATATATATAGTACACCCGTAAAATAAAAATAATAATGGAAAAGTTTTATCGATGCCGGATCACATTATAGTTCGGCCCCGGCCGAAATGATCGCATTAAACGGCGTCCTCTGCAGAATATACAATTTATATATAATAATATTATGTCGCACGCACTTGGCGAAATTCTTAATCTCGTGAAAAAGTTATCCGTTTCGTGAAACAAAATGCGTTGTTTCCTTTCTTATTTTATTTTTTACGCCTTGAGAATTTTAACAGGACCGTGCGCGCGTATAACATTATATGTAATTTCGTTATAGACGGTTATTCATTTATCGTCCCACGCCATTGCAGTATACGTAGGAACTTTACGAAAAATTTAACATTTACCGGCGATAAAATATTGTCGCCCAATCGCATCCGCGATGATTCTGGAATTCCGGCGGTCAGTTCTATAAGCGCGCGAGGCTTTTGAGCGTGGCACAAAACGGCCAAGTTTACCGCCGCAATGACGTCTATTTTTGATTTTCGACCTTCCCGTGTAGTTACCGGACCCGATACCTTATACAGATTATGTCGAACCTAATCCCTCCTCTCTCGCCTCCCTCCCTTCCGCTTAATCCCCCGATTTCACGACTACTTAATAGAACGCGGTCGTGCGCAATGAAACCGCAGTGACCGTGTATACGCGGCTTTTAATATAAAACACGCGCCACAGCCTTACGGTTCGTGAAATATTTCGTTTTATACGAAAACGACCGTATATAGATAAAATGTCCGAAACCGAAATTATGAATAGTACGGTTAAACTGTTTTGCGTTTCGCAACGTATTTTTGCTGGAAAATAAAACACGCCGCCGTGTACTGCACTCTAATTGAAAAAATTAAGGAATAGCGCACTACAGTTATTGTACCGTTAACTGTATAGTTACAGTCATTGACGTATCATCTCAATAATAATTGTCGGTCGTTAATTTTCGTATGTAAACGTCCAGTTGAGTGTTCTTCTTCGGATTTCGGCGTTTTAAGAACGTTTCCATAACACAAATCGTCCTCTAGTTCTCTCTGTCTTCCGCCAATTCACCCCCGAGTCCTCTGTCACTACATTCAATATTACAAAATCCTCCCGTCTAAGGCGTGGCCTACCCAGCTGTCTTTTTCCCAACGGTTTTTGAGTATTAACGGGTCGAATGCGACGATTGTGTGTTTTTTTATTTTAAAATTCGAATAAACGCATTCAAATTTGATCGTTATAATACCAATATCGTAATATTCGTCGTGAAAATCATTTCGGGAAGTCGATTGTTTTAAGCAAAGTCAATATAATTAAATGTTTTTTTCGCGTTTCTTTATTCGTTTGACTCTGACACGAAGCGCGTTTTATAATTCGCACGTCTTCGGAGTGTTTTATAACAAATCCGTCGCTCGCATTCTCGAACAATTCGCCGGGCGACGAACCGGCAACGGCTCCCGCGAAATTGCGTTTCGCTCTAAACGTCGTCAACCAGAGTTTCTCAACAATTGTTTCATTCCCGTGCCCGTTGACTTCTCATCACTGCTCTACAGACGGCCCAAACGTCGACTTGTCGTACATCTGCACACAGGATAGACAAGACGACTATCACTTTGTCCACCATTGCGCCGGTTTCCGCGCGAACCTCCCGAATACCCTCTTGCGCGTACCCCCCATCCCCGCCACCGGTCGAGAAACGCTGTCGTAAACGATAACATTTTTCCGGCACGGGGCGGGGGTGGGGGGGGGATCCCGGCGACGGCGCGCACGATCGCGCGCCGTTTCTGCGACGCGGACGACGCGCGCATAAAAATAGATCCGTCGAGTGTCGGGTTTAAATTTAACGGGAATCGCGGCGGCGGCGCGTAATCTTACGTACAGGCGCCGTACGCGTGCGTGCGTCACGCGCGATAACACGACGATACGTTACGTATCGTGTGGTAACGCGCGCGCGCGCGGCACGAACGCGTTTACAATACGTATTACACGAGTGTCGGTCGACGGCGGCGATTTTGCAGACGACCCGCAACGGGCGCTTGGCCGCCGAACGAAATAAAAATCCGTCGTCGCCACAGCCGCCGCCGCCGCCGCCGACCCGTTTTATTATTAAACGATACGCGGGGTACGGTACCGCGGGCCGTAACGTTCGCCGTTGTCGCGCGCGATCGCGATACCCACTCGCGTATTTATAGAACCGACGCGGACGGCGACGGGGACCTTTGGGCCGCGCCGTCCGCCGTCTCCGTCGTTGTCCGGCGTCTCCGCCACCGCGACGTGACACGACGGCGACGACGACGTGGCGGCGGCCGTAATAATAACGCGCGTACTGTACGTATCGTGTCCCCGCGGCGCACGCGTTTTATAAATACCGACTCGGCGTCAAAAATAAATAAGAAAAAAAAAAAAAACGGTTTTTTTTTTTTTTTTCTCTCTCTTTTCTTATGGTCAACGCGTGTTTCTAAATATGGAATCGTCCGCCGGCACGTCGCGTCCGCGTTATCCGGCCGCTCTCGTTGCGCCGCCGCCCGCCGTCACTCATAATAATATATTATACGCGCGTATATTATCCTCCGCGTTGCGGCGTTGAAAAAAAAAAAAATAAAAAAAAAAAAACGTAACAATAATCGTAAATAATATATTGCGTGTACGCTATACGCACGCCGTAACGTATATTATGTAGGTGCGCATGATGCTACGCGCGAACGGGGGAGGGCTAACGGTCGCACGTAAAAACGTTTACGCGCGCCCGCGGGACCGGGCCGCGCGACACGTTTACAACGGGCAGAAGGGAAGAAGGGCGCGGGATTTATAGGCGCGCGGGTCGCCCGTTCCGGACCCGGCGTTGTAATATTGTTCGTATATATATATATATTTTTTTTTATTTTTTATTTTTTTTTTTTATTATTATTTCTGTTTTTCGTTTCGTTTCGTTTCGTTTTTTTTTTCCACGGTAGATCCTGTAAATCCGGACGAACGCAATACGTATATATATACACATGTATTTATGTATATACACGGTCGTCCGGGGGAAAACGCGCCGCCATACATCATGTGATGTACACGCAAATATGATACGGGAAATCCTCGCGGGCTGCGCTGAAATTTGAAATATTAACCGGACGCGTACGCGGGGCGGCGCAGAGCAGCCCGAGCCCGTACCGCCGGGCGCGTGATGCAGCGCTGTCGTAATAGTGTAGCGGCTCGGCGAAATCAACGTTTCTCCCCCGGAGACGGACGCAATATTTCGGCGGACCTTTTACCAAACGTCTTACGGACGGGAACGCGTCTGCGGCCGTTTCATATCCGTCCGCGAACAGCTCTCCCCTCTCTACCCCCTCCCCCGCCTCCCCTCCCCACGACCCGGGAAAAACGCGTGAAACGCGGCGGAGGTATATTATCGCAACCGCGGGATTCGCGCGTCCGGAAATGTAACGAAAACCGTCGTTTTCGCAAAACGAGTCGTTAAACGAATCATTTTAGACTGCGGAAATCCGATAGATTTGACAACATTTTTTATTGAAATTTAACAGATTCCAATACATTTGTTTGTGATAGGGTAGAGGCGTTTTCGGAATGGGGTGGGCGAGCGGAAAACTATTATATCGGCGTTTCAAGGTAAAAATATTTCAAGCCGCCACTGGTGAAACGTACACGTCCTCCGTCCCACCGTTAAACGTTCGGGGCTCCGTTCAGGCCTGCGTTCGAGATCTATGCGATTTTTCTTTTCGAAAAATGTACAGCAACTGTCGCAGTAAAACGTTACGGACGATACTCAATAGCTGATAGATACTTCCGAATAACTCAGAGTTTCTCAAATACGCGTTTGTCGCGTCACTGTTTCCGGTGATATTTTCTGACGATAGGGGCGGATGAGTATACGCCGGATAACTATTATACGTCAGCCACGGCGCACGTCTTTTTATTAAACCGACGGAATTTTACAAAAAAATAATAAACCCACTGAAAATCTGAGTGTTTTGTCGTGGTCATAGCGCGTTGACGTGATGAAGTAGGAGACTCGAGGGCGGGGTAACGTGCCTATACCTATTATTACACTCGAGTTTTTCATTCTGTTCGAGAGGTTTACAATGTTCGCTGCGTGCGGGTAAGGTCGAATCGCACTTATTTTAATCGAATTATATATGGGGTTGAAAATAAAAAAAAAAAAAAAGTAATGGTCGAACACTGCGCTCGGGTCAAGAAAGGCGTTTCAACGGAAATGTTAAAAAATATATTTAATTCTAAAGTTTCGAAAACACTCGTTTACCTTCCCGCTTACAGTTTTAATCTCGTTGTCGTTTCTAAGTCCGCAGTAAATGGATCGGGAAACGAGGGTTTTTAAAAACTTTTTTTTTTTTTTTTTTACAAAAACCTTTTTCGACCCGAGTGCAGTGTTCGATGATCATTACCCGTTTTTCACTCGAGTGCAGTTCGACCTTTCAATTCGCGGAAAATGTACAATTCGACCGCATCCCGCATCACGAACGGTGACCGGAGTTAAGCTAAACTGTCAACCGCGGGCGAAACACATTTTGCCGCCCTCTAAATGTCGGTTTACGTTACTGTGACGTCTGTCCGCACAAATTTTCCGCCCCGTCTGAACGCCGTAAAATTCGACTCCTCCTCGTCGACCCCACCCACGAATCGGTTAAACGCGATCGGGGGGGGGGGAGGGGGGCGGACACACACGACATAAAAAGGTTTCTTTTTCCTTTTTTTTTTTGTGCGAGAACCGATCCCCGCGCGCCGGATATATATTTATACCTGGATAGTCCGCGAATATATTACCTATACAGGATATTATTTTACCTCGGCAAAATGTCCGTCGGAGGTAAATAATTTATCCCGGTATATTATTACATATTTGCCGGGGGGGGGCGGGAGGAGGAGAGGGGGAAATATTAATATTTAGGAGCTGGTATAATAATAATATAGTTGCGCGGGCGCGCGCCGAAATCCCCGACAAATAAATACGCGACGGCGTACACGTAATATTTATACGTTTCGCGCTACGCGTATTATAATAATATGTTTCGTCGTACCGCGGGTTATTATCGTCCCCGCGACGCGCATCAACCGCGGTCCAATAACGACGGTAACCCGCGCGGGTTCACGACAACGCGCGCACGCCACTCCGCAATATAATACGATATTATTACACGTACGTACGTCTGTGTGTCCACACACCGGAACGGGCCACCGACGGGTGATTGCGGACGGCGACGTCGGGTGGTTTTTCCCACGGGCGCTTCACAACGCCTTTGTGCGCCCGTCCCGCCTGCATTATGCTGTGCTCGCGTGCGTGCCGGCGCGCGGAGGCGATGGGAACGCGCAGGGCCGGCGGGCGGGCGACTCTTAGCGCGGGTCTTCGCAGACGTAGGCGCATGATGTGTTGCGTACGGGGGAAGCGATGCGTCATTAGTAGACAGGTACCGGGAGATTGGCGCGCGTGTGAAAAACTCTCGATCGCCGACGCCACTTGTTATATTGTTGCGTACGGGGCGCGCGTATAACGCCGCGCGAGTGTGTGTATACGAGAACGTTCGTGTTGTTGGTGTGTACGCGCGTCTTTTTCGTAAAATATTTCGCCGTCTCCGCGGCTACGTTTCGACGGGCGTGTGCGAAGGAGAGAGAGAGAGAGAGAGAGAAAAAAAAAACAATAACCCCGAGCGCGTGTCGGGAAAAACGACGTCTGAAATATTTTCACATTACCGGAATACAATAAAAAAAAAAAAAAAAAATAAAAAAAATATTTATTATATTACAACAGTATATACCTACGTACTCGTCGTCGCGTGATGCGCGTACGCGCCGCGACAATGTCAAAACACGAATAATAATAATAATATATGCCCGACGGGATCCCGGTTTTTTTCTTTTACCCCCCCCCCTCCCGTTCACTCCGAAACTTTTCGTCGGGACCCTTATCGCGTTATTGCTGAGCTTTTCTCTTTTTTTTTTTCTTCCATTTTCACGCTCGTTATCATACCCGCGCCATTGTACATTTTATAACAAGGGTTTAACGAGCGCGCCGGAAAAATAGCCGATACTGCCCGCAATCGCGCGGGCAATACAACAGTACGTGTGCGCCCGTCGCGCAGACGGCCGGTGTCGGAAACGCGTTCCGAATAATACACGCAAGCTAGGCACTAGGCGATAGTAAAATAACAGTCGTGTATGGCGATCGTCATCCCTGTCCATTGACTCCCGGTTTCGGCGCCACTGAATTCCGTATTCGACGACGAACGGTCGTGTACGTCAAACGCGACACTGTCACGCTCGGAATTCGTGTAATTGAAAACGTTAGTATTTTTTCAATAACAATTAGGTACCTGTAACATTACAAAAAAAAAAAAAAAAACAAACAAACAAACATATTACGACCTTAAATAGTTTTTGTTTTCCTGATAGTAAAAAAAAAGACTTGTACGATCCTTGTACCTATACAATTTTCGCGTATTTATATAAAAGCGGCTAAATATAAAAATGAAACGCCATTAAGAGGACGTGGTACCCTCGCGTACTGGTCTCCGCCTTACAAACCTACGACATAGCAAAATTGCGTTCACCGGGTACGACTTTGTGCTTAGTTTGAACATTGGAGCGACCTATTATCAAACTTCAAACTATAAGACCATTGTCTGCAATGTAACCACGTCGGTTTTTTCGATATTTTATGTTTTAAGCGAGTTACAAGTATTTTTAATTCGCGATGTTTCACGTGCTCGTATATTAAAATATCGAACGCCTGACGTGATTCTTTACGATAACGGATCGATTCACTCGCAATATGAAAACGAACGGCGCACAATTTTTCCTGCTGATCAGCACAGTGTTATGCGGTTGATGAATGCCCGCAAAAAAATTTAAAAAAATGTCTAAACAACAATTAGGCACGAGGAATTTCAAAGAAAAACCGCCCCGACCAAATTAATTGGAAACGCTTCGAGAAAGCCAAAGATCAAGTTTTAGCCGATCCCGCACGACCGGCGTACATATATAGCCAACATTGTTCACCGATACTCACTGCAGGTACATGGAAAGCTTTAGATGTACTTCTTGTACGATTATTGTTGCGGTCACATGGCTCATACCGGTGGATTATCGGCAAACTTGATGTAGGTTTAAGGACTGTCAATATTTGAATTATTAAACTTGGTGTTTGTTCCCGCACAACTGTTATTTAATTGACCGTGTACAAACTCGGTTATAAATTATACGATAAACTTATTTACTGGTCAACAACACGACCCGTGCGGGAAAATTCACAGTTGCCGTGACAAGTGTCAATACCAGAGGTTTCTAAAGGGTCTGTGCAGACCCCCAGGGATTTATTCCGACCTGCAAGGGAACAATTTCATCGGAAAAAAAAAATCGGGCGTGCACGAGATGTAAAAAAGAGTAATGGCAATGATATCAGAGCGAGATCTACGGAAAACATAACAAATTGGCAAGTGGAGTACGGGGTAAAAATATTTTAGGAACCTTTGGTCTATACGACGGTGCTGATGCAGAATACTTCTAAATCACCAGCCGGTCGGTCGCCAATAGCATTGGTTATATTATATCGCCGGTGACAGATTTCGGCCGAACACACCAGAACGGGCTTTATATACGGGGCATTCGATCGCCGACCAATCGATAGGTCTACTGCGGCGGTCCGAAATACGGCCAAAACGCATTTTGAACGGGCGCGCGCTCACTAAACACAAATAAACCGACCGTTTTTTATCATATCGCAGTTATCGTTGTTACGGTACGCGAAATAAATTTACATCGTCAATTATTATTACGATCGCAGAGAACGGTGTATTATGTGTATTGTGCGTACGGCAAACCGCCGACAGTTGACACGCGGACTGCAGGTATACGCGCGTCCATACAGAATAATAATAACAACAAAAACTATAGAAAAAGAAAAAAAACATTGGATACGGTACACTGATTGTAAGTCGATCGCCTACATAATAATCGCCGTGTGAACCACGTCCTTGGGTGGTGCCTGATGACGGTCGCCGTACATAATATTGTTGTAGAGGTGCACGACGACGAACGGCGCGTGACGACGACACAAGACGGCAGGAAGACGCTATATTAATGGCGCAGGTAACATGGGATGTTACCTGAATAAAAATAAAAACATCTGTTGTTTTTTCAAAAGAAATTTGTTCACTACTGACACTCTCGTTTCCGGCTACTCGCCGTTGTTTCGGTGTTTGGCATTTTTTTAATTTTTTTTTTTTTTTTTTTCAAAACTTCACTCCCACAATATACGCCGTATTACAATAATAATTACTACGTGTATATATATATATATATATATATATATATAGGTACGTGTGTACATAATTTATAAACGTATTTTTATACCGCGATGACGGGTACCTGTGGAACGGAGATACCTACGTATAATAATATGTTTAGTGCCAAAAAACAAAAAAACCACCATAATATACACGGATACACTTACTGCGAGTATTTTCATAATACCGACCGTCCGAAAATAATAATAATAACAAGAATATACGACCGGATTTTTCGTTTGAATATTATAATATTATAACACTATTGCAGCGGACTGAATTTACTCGCGGAATTTCCTGCAGGACCGGCCCTTGTATACCCCTTATCACAGTTAATCGTGGTCACCCGGCAATTTATCTTTTTAAAAGGGTACTGTTCCTTGTATGTGACAACCGAATTAAATAATAATTGGTAGTTTCGCCCGTGTCGCCGTGGTAACCCATAAATCAACTAAAAGAAAAAAAGTTGAATTTTTTCATATTTTTCGTACATTAAAATATCAAAAACAAAACATGAGTGGGTTTAGCCCTTTAGTGGTTGAATTTTGAGATTTTGAGATAAAAAAAAACAAAAAAAAAAACCATTAACATTTTAAATATAATAGTCGTTTTGGACTATTGCAATACGTATCAACTAATATCGGTTACTTATTATTTACATTGGTTCGTATACTTAAATACCTAAATACAGTGTTATAAGAACAACGGGAACATATAAATATCGACTGAATAATAGCCGTTTGTACATATTTTATTATAGAAACCTATAAATGGGTATGGTCCTGCAGATCTATTAGGAGGTCCATATTATATTATTATTACTATTATATATTACGACGTTCTATAGAGACTATACGCGACCGTATCGAATTCGTTTAAACCCGTATACCTATGATGTTGCAGTATAACGCCACTATATTCTGTATAGCATACCTAACCAAAACACCGTTTATTGTTGTTATATTATCGACATTGATATAACGGGTATATCGGAACTGCGCGAGAAAATAATAACAACAATAATAATAATAAAAAAAACAGTACCTTATAATGCGGACTGCTGTTTGGGGGAAAAAAAAAAAAAAAAAAAGACCGTTTGACCGAGACGTTAAATGTGTCGAATGTTTATTTTATATTATATATATTTATTATAAACGTAACGGCAAACGATTCGGCGCGGCCGATAGGTACGCGTTCTGTAAAACTCGGCGTTGTAGTTGTTCTACTTATACACGAACTATAAAAAAAAAAAAAAAAATTATAAAAGAATATCGGTAAACGCGAATCGAATTCAGATAACCGTATGGAAATATGCTTTATTAATTAATTAATCTACTAACGAGGTTCAATGCGACCCGAAATTCAATACGTTACAGTTTCGATACACGCCACGCGTTTGCCGAAAAATAACTCGAAAACCTGTAATAAGCTAATGATATATCTGTTGGTTTGAACCCGATACCGTTTCGTGAGAAAATCATAATAAACGTAATATATAGTCGGTGAAAAACCACGGCAGGTTCAGATAATAATGCGGCGGCCAGAGGTGGGAGGAAAAATGGAAAATCACGTCGGATAATACGGAAGTATCGATAACAATAAGGGATAATAGGTTTGCCGCGATATAAATTCGTCCTGATTATGTTATTTTATATCGTTTGTCAAAAGCTTATAAGCCAAACAAAGGCATCGGTTTTCAAAAAAAACCACTGGGGTATAATTAATTGTATTTTTCAACGATATTGACATTTTTGTTAAACCGTTAACAGTGTTAACTATTATAACGTATATAATAAATACGGAAAAGCTGGAGGCAGGGCATGTCCCCTTCCCCTTGACTTTCAATAGACGTCCGCGAAACCAAGGAACATAATAATTTCGATAATACTTTTTTGTGTACAGTGTATAGTACATCAGAGATGTCTATACTAGAGCTATGCGAGGGCCTATATGTTTGGGCTCAACCTTGCTTATAACCCCCGATGAGGCCCACCGAGGCCATTATAGACCTGCACAGTCCTCTCAAATTTAAAATTAAAAAATGAAACTCTCCCGGCCCTTCCCGGGCTTATCAAACCCGAATCCGCAGCCCGGTTCTTGCCTCTAATAGTCTAGTACCCGCCCAAACCTACCTCCTACCTACCTACGTGTTCTGTACATTCGCGAAGTAAAATCATCAACATATACCCCGCAAACGTGATGATTCATCGAGATTCACACGTTGCACATGCATGCCAATAACGTAGGATTAAAAGCATTGTCATCTGAAATATAATTGTCTACTAAATAATCACAACGCACTGAACTTAACCATAGACACGTTTATCATAATTTTATACTGTAACAGATTTGGAAATAATTTGATTAAAAACCGTTGCCAACTCAGTTTTGAAATGCGTAAAACACGTTTGGGGCGAACGGGTCCCGCCCCGTGACGCGACCTCTAATATATCGATATCGTAACTATTGGGTTTCTTTACTTGGTACCGTGTACAATAACGCGTCCAAGACAAGTGCCCAACGCTATGCGTACCATAGACAAAAGAAACATACGGATACACTCTGTATACTCTGCCGGAAAAACGGTTCGCTTAAAAGAGCGCCCCGACAACGTATATTTGTTTGCGACTGCGTTGCGTAAACTATTGCGAATTCGTATTTTTCATAATGATTCTGTCTTTAAGCGTCTGCCGTTTGCCGTGTTTGCAATTTTCCCGCGATACGCACAATATTAGCACCGCAGCGAATGGAAAACGCTTCGGCCGAAGCCGGCCGAACCGTTTAGCCCCGCTGCGGGTAACGCGAGCCGAGTGTCTACGCGGTCGCGCCTTTGCGCTACGCGATACGCGGTACGTACGCGCGTCGTAATAATCAGTAATAATATGTTCTAGAAAGAAACCGCGGTCGGAAACACGGTTCGCGTACGACGGCGTCGGTACTATTTTGTACGGTTTCCGTTTCCATAATCATTCGGTGTGCGCAACACGACTTGTCGTACGGTCCTAATGACGGGTGGGGGGTACCCACTGCGGCGGGGTGCGGCGGCCGATTATCAGTGTCTATACACGCACGATAGAGGGAAATAAACGGGTGTTTTTCGTGCGTTGATAACAATACCGATAATAGTATTATTTCGCAACGGGAGCGGCGAATACGCGACGACGCTTCAGCGGGACAATTAAAACGCGTAATAATAATACGCGACTTGCATCGGTGTCGGCGGCGGTAGGCACTCGCCGCCATCGAGTACGGGAGACCGTATTGTGTATACGACTGCTCTATTATAATAATTATTATTTAAATAATAATAAGGCTCGCTGTACATTACAGGGGAAGTATTATAATATATACTATATATGCGTGTGTGTATGCGTATAGGGGCGAGTAGGGGTAGGCTGCAGGAAAACGAGAGGGATAATCATCCAAAATGTATAGGAATCGAGCGCGACTCCTCGAGGAGACGATGAGGAGAGAACGACGCGTGACGCCGCCGCCGCCGCCATCGTTCTCTCCTCGCTGGTCACGGACGGAGGGGAAGGCACGGCGCGACGGCCGCGAAGAATGAAAATAGAATACATTACTTTAAAAGGGCGAAGAATAATAATGAGCCGGGTTCGTGTTTCGAGTAGGTACCGACTATACAATATATACGTATAATAATAATAATAATAATAATAATGTATAGTCGCTGAAAAACAGCGGTATTATAATAAGTACGTAATAGCCGGAGGGGGGAGGGCAGAACGCGTTTACGGGGCGGGTACAGCAACGAGTTCGGTTATTATTATTATATTTTCCCCCCGGACGAGAGAGTGACGGACGAGTAACGGGCACAATAATAATAATTACTGGTACTCCGGCGAATAACCGAATGTTTCGTAGAATTTTTTGTTTAATTTTTTTTTTTTTCTGTCTACGGAGAGCTTTTCGAATTTATACCCCCGAGAATTTCCGATGACAATATATAATAATTCCGCGCAAATACGGTACCCACTCGTGCGATATTCTCCGCGGTATTGTTATTATTACTACTATTACAGATAAGTACCCTATATAACAACCGTTCGGACCGTACAAAATGTTACAACAATTTCTATAAATATCGACTTTGTACAACAGCCGTTACATTGTATTCGATTTTCTCGGTCGTTTTTATTGTGTACGCGTACCCGCCTATTACCCTGCCCACCCCCGTCCGGTCATCCGGTAATATTCAACGGTTCGCGATGACGACGACGACGACGACGACGATGTCTCGAACAACGGAGAAGAATACTAGTAGGTACTGCCGTACTGCATAGTTGTCGTACACAGGTATATGATATATTATTTATTTCAAAGGCTCTTATTATTATTGCCCGTGTGATATATATACGCTCTATTATTACAATATAAGAACGCGCTGTATAATATCTAAATAATAAATACGACGCATGTCTACGAGACGTGGTTAGGAGGCGCAGGTACAAAGAGGAAACGCGTATAAAACCGAACCGCGCGTATATTATGGGCACGATTTTTATTTTTAGTGCAGCGCCACGGAGAATTATTCGCGTGTGCGTACGAATGGTATAAATGTATAAATGTATTTCGAGCATTTTCTACGCGGTTTAAACGCGGTAGCTGCAGCAGTACTTAAAAGCTATGCGCGCAGAAACTTTGCGATTTAAGAGAAGGGCTTTCGCCGCCGCGCGGTCGGGTTTATCAGCCCGTGATTCCTGAACATGTTGAAGCCGCGAGTCTTTATATAAATACGTATAATATATTATTATGTTCGCGCGAGTGTGAGATTTTATACGTATATAGCGAAACTACGAAACCGTATACGTATTATACGAGTATGCACGGGGGCCGACAAAGGCTATAGTATAATATATCGTACCTACATACGCGTAGGAGAGATTAAAGGCGATATATATATATATATTTACGTATATGAATTAGCGAAGGGAAAAAAGGGAGATTACTAGATTTGAAAAACTGTACTAAAAAAAAAAAAAAAAAAAACCGTCCCCTATACTCGCCGCCTGCTTGGTGCGAAAGGAGGGATATTCTGCTGCAGTGCAGCGGCTTCAATTCCGAAATCAATCGCGTCGTATGCATAATATTATTACAAACCAATTCCGTCTCTCTCTCTCGCTCTCTCTCTCTCTCTCCGTCTCATTCTCTCTCTTTCTCTTTTTTTTTCTGTTCAGTTTCTGAGCGCACCCAAGAGGTGCCTATTGGTTTTACTATAACGACGTGTGCCCCGTGTTTGTCCGCGTAAACGACTTTTCCGCCAGAAGTGTTTTCATTTTTTATTCGGTTCTGTTTTAATACCACCGGATTAATATCTTGCTCCGATTTTCAAGAGCGGCGGCGTTTTTTCCTGAAAGAAAATGTTGTCTATAGTTTGTGTGTAAAAAGGTTGTTTTTTTATTTTCCTCGTGGTTTTCTTAATAACCGGCAAAATTTTCGGCAATTATAACGTTTTCATTATTTTCAATATTATTTATTTGTTGTGATTTGGTTAAAACTATTGTAGGAACCTAAAATTTTCTCGGAGCACTTATATAGGCTTTTTCTAGACGTGGATACATTTTCAAAAGATTCTGTCGATTTTTTGAGCTATTTATAGGCATTTTAATCTTTTTAGTGTGTTTTAGTTTTTATTTGATGTTATGAGAATACGATTTTTTGGTCAAATAGAAACGCTTCATAATTTAACACGAATTTAGGGGTTTTTAAAATTATAAATTAATATAACGAAAAACATAAATTTTACGGCATTTAAGAACATGATATACATACAACTAATTTGTATTTCGTAAGTAATGATTCATAGTTACGACAAATATAAATTATACAACTTTGATACAACTTCTCACCTATATAACAGTGGCACACCCATCAGCAGTATCATCTATTTTTTGTTCACGATCCATCACCTACTAAATAACCCTTGCGACAAAAGCCTTGTGTACAAAAAATCCATACAATCCCGTCGTGCAGTGACGCGTGTACAAGACATAAAAACGCACAAAACATAAAAAAAAAAAAGTAATACACTTAATGCCAGTAAAGAAAGCAACTGTTTTCAAATGGAACGGAGAATATTATGTTGGGAAATTTAATTTGTACCCGTACGTGAAAATAAACCGACGGAAAACTATTCTGAGCATTATTAGAGTCGTATTTGTTCCCTCGTCACGCGAATAATCGACGGGAAGGTTGGAGCACAATTCTACAAGAAAACCTTCAGTTATTCCCCGTTTATCGAGAAAACTACGAGGAAAAATCGAAAATTTACCTCCTCGGCGCACCGAATAGATCAAAGGGGCTACAAGAAAGTTCCAAAGTTCAAAGTTTTTAATCGGAGAGAGATTTCTAATAGAAAAGTGTTAAGAAAAAAAAAACCAATATACGCTTCGCTTGTACTTTATAATGTACAGCATACCATACGTTATACACTCACTCGGGTATAATATGTATTTTATCGTTACCGTTACGTATTGTAACTTTTAGACACGCAATGCGTCGTGTGGATAAGTGCACGTATATAGTACATTATTATTATTATAAGACTTGTGCAGCTTGTACGTATAGGTATGTACGGTTTTCCGGTGGTGTGTGGCGGAGGTACTTTATTTAGGCCGGGGCCCGGCAGGATTTTCGGTCGAGTGAACCCGACGACGAAACCGAGCGCGTATATGGAAACCGGACGGCGGCGGCAGTGGCGGCGGTAGATTCTCCCACGGGAGGTATATAACGGTGGCGGTTACGATGAGTGTCGATATTATTATAATAATAAGAACGGTGGCGGCGGACGCCACCTGCTCCGAATGGTTACTCTTATAATATACGAATAACAATATAATCGAGGAAAAATCTAAAGGAATTCTATTATTTTATATTCGTTCCGTTAAAAATGTATTATATGTACCTATGCGTACCTCCTACCTGCACTATGTTGTATATTACGAGCTTTCGAAAACGTTATGAGGACTTTATAGGACTCTCATCTACTGTCTCAGTCCAACTACCGGTTAACATGCAAAAACAATGCTTACGCAGAACAAGTAAAACTAGATTAATTTTCATTTTAGAGTGAAAGTACCAATTATGAAATTTAACGAGAACAATATTTCGGAGGGAACATCACAAACGGTTTTTGGATTATGAACTGTTAAAAAAGTTATAGTTATTTAAAAAAGAAAAAATAGGATTTTTTATCTTTTATATCGAGCTGTATATTATGAATAATACAAAACTCTATGACGTTCCCTCCAGAATATTGTTCTCTATAAATTCCATAGTTGGTACTTTTACTCTAAAATCAAAATCAGCAGAGCAAAACTTCTTTACACATGTACGAGTATACATCCGATGTCTTATTATATTAGTATTACCCAACTGAAATCTTTTTTGACCGAATGAATCACAACATTCAATATCGTATCATAATATATATTCTCCGAACACTGACTGTCGAATGGTACCACAATAATCTCAATATTGAAGAAAAAAATAGACTACTATTACCTTTCTTCCACCGTGCTCTCCACATTGGTAGGTCGTAATGCGTAAATACGTATACAATTTTTCGATATACAGTGACGCGGTGAACGACGTTTTCCTTAATGTGCAATTATTTAACCCTATAGAAATAGAGTGAAAGGGAGGAAGGGGCAGTTGAATGGTTATTTCGGGTTATTTTTTAAAATTTTTCTTAGAGTTCGAAATATGTTCATGACGTCACAGTATACAGCAAAACAAATCTGTACGCAATCATATCCCTATTATTATTATTACAACGCTGACCACCGATCGTAATAGGAAATCGCTGCGGAGATGTGCGGTTTGACCGCATTCGAGTAACGAGACGTTATTATTTTTTATAACGCGAATCTATTCATTGAAATTTTTGTTAACGATCTAACAAAGAGTCGGACTATTATTATCGCGAGTTTAGTAACGGTAGACGTTTATTTAGTGTGTAGGTGTGGTGATCGAAATCTTATATACCTAGTTGGGAAATGTTGCAATTTTTTTTTTTTACAATAATAATGAATGTGAAATAGAACGTCTTCGTAGACGTGACAATAGAATTCTTGCGAAACTTGGTTGTTCATGTAAGATTTCTTTACTTAAAATTAAAAATAAAAAGTACGATTAAAATAAAGAATAAAACGTATAGTTTAGTGGTAAAATGGAACGTGGGAAATTGGAATACATGCTCATTGCTCGTTTGATGTTTGGCGCGTGATCAAAAATCATAAAAAAAAAATCAAACGGAAATACGATATACGATGTAAATAATGTCTATAAATGTAACAGCTCGGATGCTGCGTAACACGATAACGACGGCGACGCTTACCGTTCTGTAAAATAGAATCTTGTTGTTTTTCGAACTTAATATTTGAATATAACAAAATTGTCGTAAAATATCTTGGATTCTGTATTTTCTTAATGGGCAAAACGAAAATGACACAACAGCTGCAGAATACACTGTGAATTGTACAAAATTACATTTAATAAACAGATTTTTAATTTAGAAAAAATCTAACTTAAACAGTTATCGTGAATAGTTCAAGTTTGATAAATAAAAAAACCAAAATTCAGTTTAATCCATCGCTAATAATAATCATGGCTATAGTTTAAACGTATATTATATAATTTGATTATATTGCGCTATTATATTGTTTGTGCAAAATATTTATTTCGCACGCAAGCGTAAGTGTAAATGCGTAATTCTGCCAATTATAATATTGTACAATACTTTATGGCAAACATAATTTGTTCGCAAACGTTTGTATTATTCAACCTTGGTTTCGTTAGGATAGACGCTCGCGTCCAATTAAAACAAAATTGGAAATTATTCTATTCGCGTAAACATTATATTCTACACATTTTTCGATTATATTATATAACTGATAAATTTGTAAATTTAAGAGATTTGGCGCTATACGAATGCGACATAATACCTATAAAGCTCAGCTAATTACGTTATAGAACTGTCAAATGCATTATAATTTTAAATTATATCTATATTATTATTTGTGAAGTGGCAATCACGACTGTGAGTACGATTTTTATAAGAGAGTTTCTGTACATGACGTTTTGACGAAATATTATAAGAAAAACGAGAAGATTGAAGAAATAAAGAAAGAAAATGTTTTATCAACGTAGGTACAAGTGGTTTGTACAGAGGTACTAGACGATATCATAATATTTTCTGATTTAATCACGAACATCAGGAAAATAAAAAATAATTATAATATACAAATATAGTTCTGTTCCTCTACACCTTGCACTATACAATTTTCAGTGTAGTAATTTTTTAATTTTTTAAAAAATGTTTTAAACGTTAAAACTCTACAGACAAAATTATTTTAAGGTTAGTTCAACGAAGTGTTACCTGTTAGGTTTCAAGTATATTTTTGCAATAATTGCGACCCGTGTGCTGGAATTACGTGATGAACTGAACGTGTTTTTTCGGTAAAATTTCGTTACTGTGACCGTTTTTTAAACACTGAAGTATATATATATTTTTTTATCTTAAAAAACCCGTCTAGCCAAACAGTAAATACGTACCATAACAGAGCATAGTCAAAAAATACGAACATAGTACATAGTATATATCTATAATATTGTATTAATTAAAAAAAAAAAAAACTATTTACCGTTTTATAAAATAATGTCTTGTATTTTTATTATTTTTTTTTTTTTTAAATAGTTTGTCTATAATTTTCCGGTGTTTAGTCGCAATCCAAATTTCATACTCTTTTTCAAGCCCAAATTATAAAGTAATAAAAATAAATGACGTAGGTATTAGTTAATGGTTATTAGGTTATAGTGATGGTATTAAATTAAACTGTTCGGTACGGATACCTTAAAACTGTTATTACGAAACAAAAGTTTAAATTAAATTTACACGAAAAGCGTATTTCCGGCACTTTCATCGCGGTGAAAACGAAATGTTATAATAACATACGTTCCAGAGATTGAAATTCGCCTATTATTGTGTGTGAATTTACGTGGATTTATAAAATACATTTTACACGCGCAGTTCGGGGTTAATGCAATATTTGTATCACTCTATCGCCAGGACATGATATTTACTCGCTTTTGCTACTATGGCAAATTAAATCATCCGTCTTTGTTATTGTGTGAAGATTTTATAGCCGGTCGGGCAAGATAAATATTTTTATATTTTTTTTCCACCGGTTTACAACCACACCCTCATTATATTGTTCCCGGTTCCCGCATACATTATAAATATATTTTGACCATATTTACCTACTTTACACTCGAGTAAAAATGTTCAACGTTTTAAATTGCTCCATGTATATTTTATTATATGTAAAAAGCACACACACATATATATATATATTCAAAGCAAACGACCTAAACGATTATAGGTATACATACACGATATAACTACTCAAATAGCGTATTTTTACACGCTACGGGGCTGAAAAAAAAAATATTATCATATTTTGCAATTTTAAAACATAAAAACTATAGTTTGTGTAAAAACGGTATAGGTACCTTTACAGTTTATATAATTTTATTAAATTAGAAACATTATTAGATTCCGTGGTATCGATAAAAAAAAAAGCGTAGTTTTTGCTATACTTATATATAGCATATAGTTTTTCAGGTGAACGTTCGAGTGGGTTCGTATGCGAGTAGAAAAAAATATTATATTATATTATTATGTACGTTATTTCTATCCTGTACGCAAATATAAAATAAGCCGTTTATTTTATTCACTACTTTTTCATAAAAATATAACAGTTTTCAAATGTTTGATTTAAAAAGAAAAAAAATTGTGCAAGATGTTATGTTATGTTTATTAGATTAAACGTGAATGTATTAAACAAAATAATCGGAGGAAACAATGAAGGACGCATAGGAAGAGAAGGACTTGGAAGGACTTATGAGCATAATATATGACTCGAATAACGAAGGGCGTGCATATACGGGAATAAAAACAAGAATCTACAAAAGTTAAGCTATTTATACCATATAGGCATGGAGAGCTACAAAAAAAATTGTTTAAGGGTCCATATATACATAATTAACATTATTGTTCTTATATTGGTACTACTGAAGGGTTGATCAATGTTGAACTTTTTGATTTTTATTGACATACTGTCGATTATAATTTATTTTGGGCGTCGGCGGTACTGTTCAATGATTCTCCGTGATCATTTGGCCATTAAACTAATATTATTAACAGTAATACGAAAAAAATGAAAATAGAACATTGATTACAAATTCAAAATAATAGACCAACGATGTAAAAATACTATAATTTTTTAAATTTTAAAACACGTTTTAAATTGTAAAAAAATGTGTATGTTTTAAACATGTTTGTTTATTTTAAACATTATTTTGTACAATAATACGTGGTTAAAACTATACGGTAAAACTAGAGAAGAAGAAAACTAAGGGTGGAATATATACTATAAATTGTGAGGGACGTGGGAGTGAAAAGTTATCGGGAGCTGAAGAAGCTGAATTATGATAGAGAGACGTGCTTCTGGAAAGTTATGATCAACCAATCGAAAGGTCGAAGACAAAGACAGAGAATAATTGTTAACCATAAGTATAATTTCATGATAATTATTTAAGAACAACATATTATTATTTATCCGAATTTCAAAAGCAATAGGAACTGTTTATTTTCATTTATATTTTAAGAACGAATTAGTACGACATAGATATTATCTTCACTATTCAGAACATAATATTTACTTTAATTTAATTTCCGAACATTCACAACGTTTTAATCGTTTATGTATAAAACGTTTCATGCATAGACACTTGAGATATTATTACAGGCACTCCGATACCCCGATTACGGGCTAATTACCCGCTTTGTCGCATCCGAAATAGATTCGTTCCGTTCAAACCCACATTAGATGGGGAATCAACACGATATTATATTTTATTTACACGATAACGTCCGTTACACTAACCGATCATAAGCACTGCGGGTTTCGTGTGTACAACAAAATAGAATTTATCATAACCCGAACACGCTTGATTCCGTGCAGTGTAAGAAATTACATCGTTATAATATAGTTTATAGGCAGAGTAGATATTATGTACGGCTTAATACATTTTTCCTGTTGTGATTACGCCGGGGGCACGTATGTATAACTGCAAGGCACTTTATGCGTTTAATCCACGTAAATTAATTTCCACACGAAAATACTGCCTATGGTGTAGAAAAAAGAAAAAAGAAAGAAGGACTGCTTTAAGAAAATCCCATTACATTTTACGTGAGTTATCTCGCAAAAAGCTGCTGCTGTCGCCGGGTGTACTTAATGGGACTATACGCAAAGTGTATATATAATATACGTATAGATAGTAAATGTAATATAATATGCGTAGTGTGTTTAATATTATACACAAACGTAAATATATATAAACCGTTTTTACATTTTTTACGCGGACGTACAGTAAAAAAAAAAAAAAAAACAACACAAAGAGCAAAGTGCCGAAACGCCGCCACCGCGCTTCGCGATTAATATATATTTTATTAGATTCTGAGTGGAATGAGAAACTTATATTAGTTTTACAAGGAGGCGATCCTAGTTTTTTTTTTTTTTTTTTTTTTTTTTTTTTTAGAAACGCTTTTGTTAGAATAAACGTGTTAAAAAACGAAAAAAATAAAATCTTCACATATACCTCGTATAGTTCCTTTATCCGTTGAAAAATTGAAAAGTAGACACAGATGGTACGCATATTTATAAGGATACCGAAGTATTATTATACGCATACGTTTTTTTATTTTTTTTTTTTTTTGCTGAACATCAGACTTATGAAAAAAAAATCATAAAAACCGCGCGTAATATATTATAACATACTCGCGTATTTATTGTATGTATGCATATATAGGTTGTATAGGTATATTTTTATTTTATAAAATATAGTGTTTATTGAATTATTATTAAAATAATATTATTGATCGTTTTTGTTTTTTTAACAATACATTTGGAAAATCTTATTTATGCAATATTATTATACAATATAGTAGAAAATTGGCAATGTTTTATTTTTATTTTTTAGAAACTGAGCGTATACATTGGACTTACTATTAAGATATTATGTTTTCTAACTTTTTAACAACTTTTCGGTTAAAAATCTCGCAATCTGATTATCAACTTTAAGGGTAGTTTCCGTTTGCGAATTTTGTCTAGTTGGTGTACTGAGAAAGTTATTTTTTTGATTTTCCATTTATAGTTTTCCTAATAATGGAAAAAAACGGTTACATTTACACGGTAAGCGACGGTTTCTGTTCTGTTAAATGTTGGTTTTGTTGTTGTAATTCGGTTAAAAATAATCGTAGAAACCACGAAAAGTTTCACCTAATATTTTTATTAGCATTTTCTAGACCCGGTACAATTTCCAAAATGTTCTGGCGGTTTTTGAGTTATTAATATAACTATTTGAACGTTTTGAAAATGTTTTGTTTTATTTCACGTGGATACAAATACTGAAATGTTATTTAAAAATTAGTTGAAAACCCAAATAATTGTAATAATCATAAGCGTTTAGTAACAAACAATAATTACAATTTCGAATTTACACTACTATCGAAATTCGCGTTTAACCGAAACAGAACCGCAACATTTCGTTTCCATTGGGTTTATCGTCATTGCGTACACATATTAAAACAAATTGTCCTACTATATTATCCCACCCGTAGTTTTGTTTTCGTTTGTTTTCCAACGCGATAGTCTACATTGAAATATAATACCAAACGAAAACACTACAGCAATAGGTATAATACCCAACTATGAAATACCATAATTTGGCAAACCAAACGTTCAGCAATCGCGATAATCACTTATTATGAAACTAATGGCGTATTATAGGCGAACCGAGCGTGCAGTTTAATCGTCTTGTTGTTCGTCTATGTTACGTGTACGTTCGCGGCGGGCATATTATAGCGGCGGTCCGGGAACTCCGGCCGAGGAAGAACCCTACAGCTACACAGTTGATTCTCTTAAACCGTGTAGCCCGGCTCACTCGGGGACAATAACAATAATGTAATGCCATTAAAACGAAATGTTCGATTGGGTATTACACCGGAGCTGCACTGCAGTGTGTACACCGCAACCGTCGGCGATGAAGACGATTTTATCCGCTCGTTATCGTGTGTATACTGTGTGCATATATATATAAATAGAACGTTGCGTGTTGTCGAAACAAGCCTCGGACGAGCTTCCGTTTTCCGGAGACGGGAATTATCGCGTAATCGTCGCAATCTCGCGGTTACGTGCCCACGTACGGTTTTCGCGGGATTCGTTATTTATCGTAAGGCAGCTGATGGGAATATTTGACAGATGTCAGGACACACCGCCGCCGCCGTCGTCGAGTGCGGCGATTAAGTTCGGTAAAAGCACCCGCGTTTCGTTCGATAGTGTTGTAGGTATATAAAAATGCGGATAACGGGTATTTTTTCCTTTTTTTTTTTTTCGGTTTTTTACCTATCAGCCATCTTGACATTTTTCAGAGAATACACGTGAGTGCGTCGGTATAAGAAATACAGTACTTAATGTGTTTTTGGACCGCTTGGTTTTTCAACATGACGTGTTTTTTGTACCTATATAATACATATATATACATATATATACTGTACAATGTACACATATGAATCGTTCACATCTATTTGACGCGAGTTATATTATATGTTTTACGACTGTCAATATTTTTTAGAGTAGGTGTAATCCGTATTGCGTATAGGTATATTATGTTATTGAGATACTTATACATATACGTTATTTTATATTATTGTCGGAACTGCAGTAGCGATAAGAGAAAACACACATTAAGAAACAATACGGTTTTCGTATATTTTCGGCTTATTTAATTATTGGAAAATGTTAATAATATCATTTCTAGAATACGTTCGATAGTATTGTAAAACCGGTAAAATTTGAGGAATACGAAATATTTTGTCAACATATTTCATAGACTACTGTTAGACAGATTACTACTAGTTATTTAGTGATATCCTTGTTTACACTTCCATTTATTTATAAAAAAAATAAGCTCTTTAAAGTAGTTATTTTGAAAAAAAAAAAAAACAGGGATAATATTATACTAAACGCAACTTAATAATTTATACGAATAAAAAAATTTTTTTTATGTATCAGGATGTTTTTTTTAACATTATAAAAATGTATATACTAATTAGTTTAGTATAGTAATCAATAATGTTTTAACCTTTTTAACTTTTTAAAGAAATTATGTATCTAAGGAATAACTTGCTAAGTAATTTTTATGGCATTTTTCTTCGGCTCTCTTACATAATTCAGCATAAATTAATTTAACTCGTTTTGCACTTGTTTTGTGAAAAAATAAATGGAAATGTTGAATGATTAATCTGTACCTATATATATATATATAAAAGTGAAACTGACTGACTAATTTATTAACAGTTTAAATAGCTCGGGTTAGAAACATATCTTGACAGTAGATATATTTAAAATCGTTGACTAAGGAAGGATTTTTGAAAATTTCACCCCTAAAGGAATAAAATAGGGGATGGAAGTTTGTAAGATCTGTCGTTTTTAAAGTGATACATTTAAAAAAGAGCTTCCTTAGTGGAAATACCCTTTTCAAAAAAAGATTATACCGGACAACTACTGCGATTAACTGTGATAGGGAAACTGGCGGAAACGGGAACACGCTTTATATTGAAATTCTTTTATATTGATTTCTGTTGTTAAGCCCCGGAAATACCGAGTAATTCAGTTAGTAACTAATAAGATGTCAATTATAAATAAGTATTTTCAATATTGGTAAAATCTAATATTGTCTAGTTCAGTAATCACGAGAATTACAACTGTGTGCAACTGACCCACCAAGAGAACAATCGAATATCAAACAAACTTATAACGTGAAAGAAATAAAAATAACAAATATTGAAAAACCAATATTATTTTTTAGCAATACACAGTCTTCATACAGTTTCGTAAAACATGAAAAAAAAAACAATTGAAATTTTTTCACTCACGCGTATTTTACTCTCGCGAACAATTATAATACAATACAGAATGTTATAATTATTTATAATTTTGTAATATAACGTTATATCGAAATATTATTATTAGAGACCGGATTTATACGTTATTAAAATCCAAAAAAAAAAAAAAAAACACTTGAAAACGTCAAAGAGCCTGGAAAAAAAACCGCATAAATATTATATAAAAAAGCAAAAATAATAGAGGAGTTTAATGGTACCCCTCTCTATGGGATTTAATTAACATTTTCCAACGCCACTAAAATTTTTAATAAAAAGTAATTTTTTTTATTCAAAATAAATTATTCTGTATGAATCAATTTTGTATAGAGTTAGGAAATTTAGTTTAATAAGTAAGAACCATTATAATGGGAGAGATGACTTATACACTTTTCTATCATTTTTGTTTTTTAAAATGTTTTGCTCAGAGTATTGTTTGATGTTTTAAATCGCCTGTTTGTGGATTAATATGAGAATATCAATCCGCTCTGTAATTATTATTATTGTTACTGGCCGAAATGTGTCTAAACCGCGCAACCATAATGCCTAACAATATCATCGCGGTATTTTCTGTATCGTCGTCGCCGTTACAGAAAAACGAAAATATTAATTGCGCGGTATAAATTATTATTATTATTATTATTATTATTATTATTATTATCCGTCGTATTATAGGTATACGCGTGTACAATGTACGCGCGCGCATATATTTGCATAATATTCGACGGCGGCGAAGCGGATAAAATCGTCTCCCCCCCCCCCCCCCCNGATCGGCGTTCGAAGGGATCGGCATTTTCGAAAGGGTCGAAATGATAAGGGGGGGGGGATACGGATGTCTGTACTCGGCGCCGTTAATTTCCTCTTTGACGTGTTGTCCCTCGTTTATATTTACGTGAATATATATATATATATAAACACGCCACCTCGTATATATTAAAATATGACGTTATATGCGCGTGTAATAATATTATTCCGTCATCGATAACGCCCGGGGCCGAAGTTATTTAATCGCGTCGGCCGCCGTCGATTCGGAAACGTCCGGGAACCCGGCGGTTCGTCCTTATGCCGGGCGGTAATTTATAATTAATTTTCCGGGCGCGCGGCCCCCTTCCCCCCCCTTCCCCCCCGGGAACGATGCAGTCGCATCGTCGTCGGTCACCGCCGATTTCCGCGAGAGATCACCGTCGTCTCGTGCACGCGTAAACTACCCCGTACACTTTAACGTCCCGCGACGAAGTAGGACCGGCGATTCGAGAAGATGGGTGTGGGACGGGGTTCTCGGGATAACCGCTCGGCCGGCGTTTACGTGCGCCGCAGTCAAAAGGGATCAACGCCAGGATTTAAATAACTATACGTCCTCTAAAAGCTATCGAAAAACCGTCCCCGGAAATTCGGCGAAAATAAACGCTGAAACGGAGAAACGGCGGAAAATGCGATTTAAAAGTTTCGCTTGCGTATTCGCTTGTTATTCGTTCGGGTCGAGTGACGTTAAATAAAAACACTAAAACGTTACCGAAATATCAAATAAAACTATTGACAGCGAGCCTAAATCGACGAAAAATATCAAAAATCTATTAGATCAAATCCTGTCGAAATACGATTTATTGTAATAGGTAATATTTCAAATTATCCAAATTCAAACTATCAATTATCATCGTATACAGTATATTCATTATACATGTGCACTTACAAGTAATAAAATAATCGGATAATATTAAAAAATACTCTAAAAACGTCGGAAAATGAAAAAAATGTAAAATTCATTTTTGAAGTATCGTGCTACGTGAAACGAATTATGAAAGCATTGTCTTAGATCACTGGAAGAAATGTATGTAGCATTGAAATACGGACCCTATTTTATAATAAATTAAAGTCTCGACGGAAGTTGTCCGTATAATAATACCTACTTGTATAAATTCAAATAAAGATTCGAAAAATAAAAATTTCAAGCGAAAAAAAATGGGGTTTTCTAAGTTTGTTTTTCAAAATCTGTAAAACAATCAGTTCATGACTGTTGTGGGTTACAAACTTAAAGTACCTATTATACTGTATATTATGTAAGCAATGCCAAGTTGTTGCGAACAAAAAATGATTCTGGAATGGAGCATGTGGAGCCATTGCGTAGGAAAAATATGCTGGGATAAACAAGATTTGAATTGAAAATTGAGTTAGTTTTCAATTACTATAATTAATAATTTAATTTGATCAAAAATATGAACTTGTTCGATTTTCTTCATCAGAGGGAATAAATTCTATCTACAAATGTTGAAACGGCTACCAATAATTCAAAAAAGACTAAATATTTTGTACTACTCGTGTTCGCATCTAGAAAATAATATGCTAATATTGGCTTTCGAGAAAAGATTCCGGATCTTTATAGTTATTTTTTCTAAACCACAAAAAGAAAAAATCGATACGTTAAAAATTGGTGTTGCGTAAATATTTTCTCCGTTTTTTTTTTTTTGTTTTGTCGGTGTTTTGTTATTACCCATGATGTCGAAAAAAGTAGATACTAGAAATATCAAAAAATGACCTTCCAATTACTATACAGATCAAAAATACTATAATATACTAGAAACCTTCGTATTGATGTTTTTTTTTTTTTTATGATTATAGCAAGTTCTTCCGGTCAAAAAAAATGCACATCAAAGTTAAACCAATTCCGCTAAGAATCTAAAAAAAAAAAAAAAAGGGTCTCCTCCGGGTCGTATCTGCGTATAATATAATGAAAAATTCAAGATGAAATTTATAGTCGGCAATATTTGAAGAAAAAATAACTCTCCCTCCCGCGATTTTGGTCATGCTCGTCCCATGCAGTCTGTATTATACGACGAGTTTTATCCGACTATAAACTTCATGGGCGTAAACGCTTTGGCTATACATTGCGCGTTATTATAATAATATTGGCGTATTATCGTTATTTATTTTATTGCACGAAACGGATCTTCGTCTAAAGTACCTAGTTTAAAAAAAAAAAAAAAACTATACTTAATGCTAAACAGATATTATGCAATACAATACAATTTTCGCAAAACAACGAATATAATCGCGATTAAATAGAAAGTACGGATCCTGATTTCTCGCAATGCGCGTTATATTCTATATAGATTGATTGGTCGTATACGATAGTAATAATCAGTGTCCAGTGGTGTAATTTGCGGTATAAAGAACGGAACTGACGGGACTGAAAGCTACAGAAGCTTTGAAATTAACTTGGTAAAGTAATTTGCTGCAGGACAGTCGTTTTTTCCAGTGATCAACTAACTCTGTATAGGTCGTTAGAACACGCGTGTTATCCGCCAAGGAATGCGGAAACTTATATACCTGGTCATGACATTACGGGCTCGTATATATAGTCGTGAAGCTGCTCGTGATAAATGTTGAACACATAAGCGGCCAAATTAAAAAGTTTACGTTGTTCCTACCCTCTTTCGTTCCGGATCTTATTATATTGTATATCTATAGCGTACGCGAGACTAGAACTTACACCGGTGAACTCCAAAAACTGCTGTCAGAAGAGATTTTTTTAATTTTATATTTAAATACAAAAACTAGTGAGGGAGGAGGGATAACCTATAATACCTGGAGTGGCGTTTCCATTAATTTGTCTGAAAGTATGTACTCTACAATAAAATCGTGTGTTCCCTTGTACTTAATATTTTAATATTTAATATTTGGTATTTAATATTTGTCTTATGATTTATACTGTTTAATTTTTATAGGAAAATAGATCAAGAATATTAGATTATGGAACAGTTTAACTAAAATTATCGAAATAAAACACTCGATATTTGAAAAAAAACGTATTAAACGTAGTGGAAAAGGTTAATTTTTTAAATAAAAACAACATTATTATAACTAAATAACCATACATTTTACAAATTTAAATTTTTGAAAACGTATTATGATTATTTAATTTCTTTATATAAGATACGTTTGAAATATTATTTTTTTAATTTTAGTTCTCTTTATGTTATAAGTAATAGACCAAAAATATTCTTTCGGATAATTTTCCATACGATTTTCCGAGTATATTAATTAAGCGTCCAAAACTCGTCATATAGTACAGTGGCGTATTATTATATACAGAGTATACACACAAGCTTATGTTCTACCCTATTGATCTTACCTTAAATGTTTTTATTTTGTTTTATTTTTGTTTCTGATGACACTTTTTCAGTAAAAATAATGCTAAGCGTTCAATTTCAAAAGAAATTTCAGATTTAATTTTTGTGTCTATATATTATGCATAGAACGCCTACACAAATTAATTGATGGGGGGAGGCGATCATCGTCTCCCCCTTAAATACGCCACTGCTAAAGCAGGTAATAAAGAATACGTGTAAAGAATCATAATCCGTTTTCAGAATCACGTAAATCCGTCAACACACAATATATATCGCTCTGCTGTATTTTCTGGCTTTTACGTCGAAACCGACTGTATATTATAATAAACACGAGATTTAAATAAAATATCACGTAAAATCCACGCGTGGTATATTGTACAGTGCGTTCACACTAAGAGGTACCACTAAATATTTCAGTTGGTTGACCTAGTATTGAAATGGAATTTTCGGGGAATGATAGGGAGTACCCAAATACGCATTTTTTACAAAATTAGTAGTTACAGTATGTTGAAATTTATTATTTACGAACAATCTGTAATTGACGAAATTTTAACTATGTTCAACTTTTATACTAGAATATCGAAATGATGATATCTCCGATATTGTGAAATACCTGTTTATAGACCGATAAAATACAAATAAACACTTCAGCTTTTTTTATGGGGCCATTTAAAAATTATTGTATGTGTGGATCCTCCTAATAATGTCCAAGATTTAAAAAAACAAATTACGAGTAGCATGTAAGAGAGAAGTCCAAATAACCGCTGCAACATCAAGATGATTTTTAAACCGCTTGGAATAATGTTTGGAACACCAAGGCGGAAACTTTAAACTATCTATATGATAAAACTGTAGTTTGCAAATAAATAAATATTAATTTGAAATTCATAGTGTGTACATTTTTATAATTTTCATTACTTTCAATTTATTTCGAAATAATAAATTAAAAAAATAAGATTAAATTACGAAAACAAAAAAGTGTTTATTTGTGTCTTATATCTATCTACGAACAGGTATTTCAAAATATCGGAGATATCATTTCGATTTTCGAGCACTAGTTGAAAATAATTAAAATTTCGTCGATAACAAATTATTCGTAAATATTAAATTTCAACATACTATAACTTTGCCAAATTCGTAATTAGAAAAACACTTTTTATACGAAAATTGTTTTTAAAAAAAAATATACTCTATCCGAATTTGTAGAAGAAAAAAAACGGCGTTGCCATAAAAAAAAAAAAAGAAAAAGCGACGTGTATTGCGCATGCGCGTACCAAAAGTGTTGACAATTCGAAATTTTTCCGAAAATGTGTGTTCGGGCACTTCCTGCCGTTCCCCGAAAATTCCGCTTCAATATACCGGGTCATCCAACTGAAATATTTAATGGCACCTGTTAGCGTGAGCGCGCTGTACATTCCAATAATAACGCAGCCGTGCTGTTGCCGTCAACCCGCCGCCAATTTACACGGCGACAATGATATCGTAATAATACGCGTGTAGACATTTTCGCGCTCGTCCGCGGCCGTATTGTAATTTCGGGCCCGCTGTTATGAGCGCGCGCGAAACGGACCGGACGATTCCGATTCGGCCGAAAACGGTTGCCGGAGTGTAACGCGCTCCTTGTTGTGTACACATAGATTTATATTGTACCCGTATATTGTAGTCACCGTTGTGCCTATTAGGCGTAATGTGCGTATTGCACGGCGAATTATCGCGATTCTATTTCGTCACCCGGCGACCACGCTCCCCGCATTCTCGGCGGCGCGGCGGCGGTCCATTACACCCGGCGCGTCATTTACCTATGCCCACAATCGTCGCCGCCGCCGACGACGATATCGTTTATTCGTTTACGCGAGGGTTCGTTAAACTCGTCCGCCGAATCCGGCGGTCCATTATCGTCGCGATTCGCGTTAATCAAATAATACCGACGAAAATATTTCGTTGTTACCGGCGGCGCATTGGCGATTTTCGTCTAGGCCGGTGGCGGAAGGGGAAGAGGGAGGGGGTTAGGTGCGCGATCAAATTCAAAACAAAAAGCCTTAGCGTCGGGGTCAGAGGGCGGGCATATCTGGCACCCGCTTATTTGTTTTCGTACGGTTTCCGTTTAGTCCACCGACATTATCGATCACTGAGTAACTAACGTACTTCACAACGCCGCGATAAATGGGTAGGCGGTACTGGTATAATACAAGACGATTTGCTCGTGGTTATAGAATTATGACTCGATTTCATCGTCGTTACCGTAACGTTTCTCACAGCAGTATAGGGACATTCTTGATTAACAATGACATTTTGGTGAAACCACCAAGACTCTTGATATAATTTTAATTTTACTTTATCTTGTTTATTAATTCGTTAATTCTATAAAAGGTATATACATTGATTTTTTTTTTTAATCTTAGATCCATATAGCGTTTAAGTGGCCTGACGTGCATAAAAACAAAAAAATTAATTTCATCAAAGAATGGTAATATAAAACTTTTAGGAGGATGTAAAATTTAAGGTTAAGTAAAAAAAAAAAGGGTCTGCAGCGTGGCAACCTTTAAAGTTTATAATTACCAAGAAAAGTATTTGTAGTATGTAAATAATCTAATCTAACTAAATCCCGTGCTAAAATGATTAAGAATTATGTATGCAGTTCCATCAAGATACGATTTTGATCGGTACAGTTGTACTGATCAAACATCATACAACCTTAAAAAATTACGCATTTTAATTTTCCTAAATAATTATTATTGTAGATTATGTACTAATAAAATTTAATTCGATGTGTTACAGAATACCATGGGGTATTACCAATGCAAGAAATGAAACAATTCCAGAGACCACGGCCTCTCAGAACTCCCTACATCACGCCAATGGGTATGTATGTTGTATATGTATTTTCTAACTGAAGTTTACTATCCATGTTTATTATGTATTTACATTCAAGACCCGACTGAGTACACGTACTTTTACCAAAAATTACAAATGGAAATTTACTTCCTCTAGTATGTGACATTTACCTAATTAAAAACTTAAAACAGCCAAATACACTAGCTCCTATTTCACTATATACCTACCATGTTACCAAATTTTACCATTAATATGTAGGTACTAGCCACTAGATAGGTACTTCGGACCATTCACATAGGCTGATTTACGCAGGAAGGAATATAGAACACTTATATAATATATGTATGGCTGTAGGATTTATATAAGTGTAGTCTATGGGTAAAGAATCTAAAGATACAGTATGTAATGATAGTGACACAATTGAGCATAAAAGACCTTTTTTCAACACGATTGAGGATATTTGTCAGCGTATCAAAGGATACAGACATACAAAAGAAAATCTTAATGATCGAGCATAAAAAATACTACGACGTTGCTATTTTCCATGTTAAAATTTTGAATTATATTATACAGAAATTATGGTCCAGGAGTTTTTATTATATTACGTTTTTTTGAATCGTTAAAAATTATTTTCGAACATTTATCATTAGTAAACTTCCGTTTCAAAAGATTGTCTCTTTTTCGCTCATCAAATAATTTATATTTATTTAAATTTATTAGAACTTAAGAACTAATTCTTTGTCTCTTTTGGATAAAATAATTTTCATTTTATTTGTTACTTATTTATTGTCGTGGGAGGAGGGATATCAATTTCAAAAATAACAGGTAGCCCACTGTTGAAAGTGTGTAGTTTGAGGGTTTGTACCTACAAGGTAATTTAATTTATAAAATGTGTGTAACAATAAATCATTACAAACGGAAAAATAAACATTCTGAACATACTAGTATTGTAGTATATTATAAGTTGTTTTTTTCCTTATTACCAAGGCAACTTTGAAATAAACAAAAAAAAGACATAGAAAGTAAACTGCTGAAACTATTGATAAATATTTTATATAAAATATTACAGAGCAGAAATTCGACATTTCTTGAGACACTGCGTGAAAAAACTGAAGCATTTGCTTGAGCAAAAAAAAAAAATACAATATATAAAGTAATTTTTCAAAAAGTATTAAAGATGTCGACACAATTTCCAATTAAAACACCATCAATAAAAAACCGAATCTTTTCAGATCATACCTGAATACATAGAATCATAGCATTTTTATTAAGAATGAAAATATTTTCCGATTCATCATTATATCCAGAATCTAAAATTGATTGGAGTTCTGTAATCTGGTAAGGTGTTGGGTTTTTTTCCCCGTTTAACCTGAAAATCAATAAAAGAAAACAAATGCATCGAAATGATTTTAAAAATAGTTTGAAAAATATATTGTTAATGTAGAAAAATGTTTCAAACGAAATACCACAGAATGAAAAATGCATTAATTTAATGTACGATGTGATAGATTTCGAGTAAGTATTTTTACTAACTAAAAAGGTGATTTCAGGGAGAAAAAAAATGTTTGTTTACAAATTATAGTTTAATGTCTAAAACATATTACAACAAACATTTAGTACTTACTTTTAGTTTTCAAGAAATACTGTTATTTGATCCAAGCAACACAAATTATATTACTTATGATTCGTAAAAAAAAAATATTAAATTTTGGAGGGACTAGGTATTCAAAGGCTAACTACTGAATTACTTCAATAATAATTTGGAAAATATAATTTAATACGATAAAACGTTGCGTTGTTAACGGTCAGTATCCCGTATAAAATTAATATGTATTGCTTTGTCGCCATAACATTGCCGATAAAGTTGTGCTCAACTCATGGCGTATATTGACGTGTAAAAAAATACGTGAAAATAATATAAATTACAAAATTTCTGTTTGATTGTGGTAACGGAGCATAAAATATGCTACGCTCAATTGTGTTTCTAAAAAGGTACCCAATCGTCTTTTACCGGATGGCGGATATAATATACGGTCGATCGTGTTGACGAGAACAACCCGCCCATCTTGATCGTAAGCCTGATTTTCAAGGAGATAAAAAAAAAATATACTAAATAAAAGAACACATTTCCATCAATGATTTACTGGAATATATTTTTAGAATTTATAAAACTATAAATCTTCTATCGTTGCGCGGAGGAAAAGATGCGGAGTAGAGGGATTTAAGTTTATATTTTAGTTTTGAACTGAAACGACGAAATCGTAAATTTGGCACGTATAAGAGGTTTTTTCCTGTCAACCATCGCAGTAGATATATATTATATGCAACGATAAATCATTGCGAACAAAAAATAAAGACAATTCTGAGCGGAGCTCGGTTAAAATTTTTTTTTAATTTGTTTTTCTTTATACCGACAATTTTGTTATCCGGTAGGACGACCGAGTTTTCCACTATACATAATATAGTGAAGCGATTTAGGTTAGAACATATCTACCTACCCAGTATTATTTTATTAAATAATATAGTACCAAATATATACCGCGGCGGACGTATAACACGACGAGCTTGTGTATTATGGGTTTTCCATAATACCTGTATAAAATAATTAATGTGTATAATAGAACCCTTAATAGTTCGAGCGTAAAGCGCGTAGGTCGAAACGTTTGAAATTTATACTGCAGAGAGAAAACTCTATTCGAATACACTATATACGTATATTGAAAATTCGTTTTTTTTTTTCGCATGAAAACTACTAACATTAAAGGTTTTACTATGATGTATACTTGGTTGTTTTTTTTTTTTTTATCGTTGCGTACAAATCTAGGTACCTAAATAAATTAAAATCCCCTTTTACAAATTCTATTACCATCCCACATCTAAAATTTACACTGGTGGGGCTTATCCATAGTTTAAAATTTATTACCAAACAACCGGTATAATGCGTATTACACTGTTTGTCGATACTGGAAATATTATTGTGGAATATTTTTGTTGACGCGTATAATTATTTTGCCGTTCCAAAGTTGTCGTGCGCTCAAATTGTCGCACTCGAATGACTTCGATCCCGAAATCGCAACCTTCTATAGCTTCGTTCGATCGTGACGTGCCCGTGAATTTTCCATGGGAGTTGTGTAGCGAATAAAAATCATAAATAAATTGTAGAATCTTCTTCACTATACTCAACTCGACTGTGGACATTTGAAACCCGGATTCCGAAAAGGCCAAATGCCAATCAATAAATCAAACTTTTCCTTGTGACTTGACTGAAACACATACATTTCACGATTAACTTTCCAAATAAATACCCATAAGGTATATGTCAAAAAAGAGATAAATATAACCCCTTTCCCGCGCACAATTCCGGGAAGGGTCTTTGTTGGGGTGTTAAAAGCCCGAAAACACCACGCCCGCACTATAATTAGTGTGACGTATTACGACGATATGGTATATCCGTAAATGCGTGTAAAAATCAGTGTCGGGTCACATACTCGGTTTTTTTTTAAACGTTTGGATAGTCGGAATCTGATATCCGCGGGTAATTTGAATGGAAAAATCCGAATACGATACGCCCAGGCGTCCGCAAACATTCGGATGTTTAAAGTATTCGGATTTCTTCTACTTTCAGGTATTTTAATTTTTATTGTAACTCCGGTTCGTGATTCAATACTTTAATTACTACGTCGTTCGACCCAAATATAACTCGAATATTCTCGATTACATTTTCATGTGCATTCGCGGTTGATAAAGATACCTATTCGAATAGTAGATCCGTATAATAGGTGTACGTACGTATGTTACGCATTACACTCGAACAGCACTTGGGGATGTCCGATTAGATTGAGCGATGCAATTATATGTCGGACAATAGTCCTGCTATCCGAATTCGTATTTTAGATTCTGAGTGGAGCGAGGGAGCTATTGGTTTTACTAAGATGTTAATTTTTTTTCTTTCTTCCTTCCTTCTAGTTTCTTCCCTAGTAAACTGGGTCCGATGTATAAGCATAGCATCTCTTCTGAAAGCTCAAGTAGTCTATATGGTACTTTAAAGAGATCATTTTTTGATTTCCTACTCCATTTTTTAAATGAAAGCATTCGATGGGAAAAAAACGTAGGAAAACGTACAATTTCATGGTTTCATCATTTTATAAAAACACGAACGACGTTTTCTACCAGAAAAAATGATTTAATCGAAAAATCACACGAAAACTTCTTTGTTTCCTTTTTGATTCATTTTCTTACAGTATCATCGCTAAAACTTTTGAGCCACTTTTGAGTTTTTAAGAAATCTTAATTTTTGGGAATTTTGTTTGCTGTAATTTGATTATAAATACGCGAAGAGACTTGAAACTTGGTAATAATATTTATGTTGGACTTGCCTTTTTTTTTTTGTTTTTTTCAATAAGCGTTTTGAAATAAAATTTAAACGAAAATCGCAACAAAAATACTACACTTTAAATTATGTATTACCGAACTACGCTCGGAATCGTCTTTCGTCAAGCAATGGTTTATCGCCGCTTACAGATATAAATGAAATAACCTTATGTATCCTACGTTCCCAGCTTCTCATCTACAACAGTGATCGCTTTTCAGCTCTCCTACCAGAAATATTACTCCGATTTACATGTGTAGCATTTTTTTTTTTTTTTGAAAGCGCTTCAGAGAAGTCATTTGTTGATTTTCCCAGGAGTTGTTGCGTTCACAAAGAATATCACTATCACTCAGCGACACTAGAACCGAACTCCGCCCGGCACTGTTTTTTTCGTTAGCAATGGTTAATGGTTGTTTACGGATATACGTTAAACGCGTCCCGTTTGTGTTCCGCCTCCCTAACCGGCCGGCTACAACAGTGGCCGGCACCCGTCCCCGTTATCCTATAAAACAGATTTTTTTCATCCGGGATTTTCGAAACGGTCCCGACGCCGCGACGCCGTAAGTGAATGTCGCTGTACGCTCTCTCGACATTTATAGAAAAAAAAAAAAAAAAAAAAATACCCGACGATAACAATATTACGCGTACTCGTTATGGCGCAGAATCGTTCGTAATTGTTATCGTACGTCGCGTATAATACTATACTCGTGTGCGTGCTGCGAAGTGCTCCGTAATAACACGAGACGCGCAAGTAATAGTAGTAGTGGTAGTAATAGTAGTAGTAGCAGCAGCAGCAGCAGTAGTAGTAGAGCAGTGTATTATAATAATACGTGTATTATCATTATTGTTATACGAACACCGCGTCGTCGACGGTGACAATGACGAATAACAAACAACGGGCGGCGGTTAAACACGACAATAACCGCTCGCGCAGTGTACCGATTAGTATATTAATGCGCGCCGCGGCCGCGCCGTACGCAACGTATAGACGCGAAAACTTTCCGCGGCGTATTATTATAATATCGTATACATACGGTATGTACACGGAGTCACCGGAGCCGAAGCCGCAGCCGCCGCCGCCGCCGCCGCCGCCGCCGTACAGTACCTACTGCGCTCCTCGTTAATTAATTACTCGCGGCGAAAGAGCGGTCGATCGATAAAACGTACGGGTTAGGGGAGGTGCACCGCGCGCGAATACAACACGGCTCTCGTATATTACGCTGTAATAATAATATAGGCACGGGGCCAAAGAGAAGTTTAAATACCGTCGACCGTCGACCGCCTCCGCCGCCGTCGCCGCGGCCGCCGCCGCCGCCGCACTGTACCGCAGTCGCCCGTCGCCGTCGTCGTCGTCGTCGTCGTCGTCATCGCGCCTACGCGCCCGGAAAAGCCAATCCCTTTGCCGAACACGCGCGTCACAAACACCCGTACGCGATACATAACAATATAATAATAATAATAATAATAATAATAGGTGTAGTACCGCTTAAGTACACCAAGTTGCGTGTATATGTATAGCGCGTGTATATATAAGACCGCAACGCGCGTGTTTGAGACGGCGGCGGCCCGAGTTTCGCGGAAAAAGTTTCTGCGGCCGACGCGCGCCGTAAATCCGCCGGCGGCGTACCCGGCGCGTAAGCGCCGGACGCCCTTCCGCCCTCTCCTCCTCCTACTCCTTCTCCTCCTCCTCCTCCTCCTCCTCCACCTCCTCCTCCGTCCACGCGCAAACCGCCGTGGCCGCGGGCCGGCATAATCCGAAATAATATTATAATAGTTATACCATCGGCGTATTATCGTTATTGTTATTACGGTTATTGTCATCGTCATTGGTATTGTTATGGGTGCCGCGCGGGGGTTTTTATAACCGCGCGCTGTATATTTTACGCGTCGCCGTTGTCGTGTACAACGGCGGCCCCCGACTTCGGCGTGTCGGCGACCCGAGGTATTACCCGATTTTTCGCGCGACCTTTTTAAAAATGTCCCCATCCCGCTCAATTGTACGGTTACCGTAACCGAAAGAGACTTCGTTGTCCTTCGTTCATTTTTAAAAGTAATACACACGACAAACGGACACCTAGTGCACGACACCTACCTTATGTACAGTTTTTACGTACTCGTATTTATTTACACGCCGTCAACAGTCCGCTTAATATGTAACTCGTTCGTTGGTATTTTTCGATCTTAATGGCGTAATAGTTTAAGTACTAATTCGTGTAGCTCTTCAAAGTTCGACGGGCTTGTGTTGAAAGCTGTACAAAATTTACTTAAGCCCTTTTTCCTTCAACCCCGGACCAAAGATAAATTAATATAAATCTTTATAATCGTTATGATGAATAATAAAAAAAATAATAGGTACTTAAATGGAATCGTCTAACATCACATTTGTGTAAGAATCCGAAACATTTTGTATTTTAGACTCGAATACTTGTTTTAAACCTTGTTTTAAACTTGTTTTAATACTCACCCTGAACACTCATCTGTCGATCATAACAAGTGTACAGTATATTCAAAGCTATTTATGTAAGGAGATTGATAAAGGTTTTTATAATTTTTTTTACTTGTAAACTACCACCCTGACGATAAGACTTTTCCACTGATCTACTGACCAATTTATGGGAAAGGGGTACGGCCATTTTCGCGGACAAACATGACGTTTTAGACAGAAAAACTAAATATAACTGTAGGAATTCCGTTTGGTAGATTTAAATTTAGAAAACGTGTAATGATTCTTCTTTACGTTTATTACTAGAATACATTGGAATTATTTTTTTAAATTTATAAAAGCCAAATACTTTAAGATTATACTTTTAATAATTTTTCTAAAATCAAATCGAAATTTTTCTACGATTTCCAATAAAATAATTAAACGTTCATTTCCTGCAAAACTTATTTGATATATAATCCGTTTTCAAAAATTGTATAGAAATCCGTCAAACACAATTCCTCTGCTGTTTTGGCCGGCTTTTAAATCCACTAAATTAAACACCTTTATAAATAAACGTAAAATATACATTTCGGAGCTGTCGTCGTCAACCAGTCAAATTCGATAAAGTAATTTTTTTTTTCGATTTCCAGTATTTCCAGTTAAATAATGTTAAATTTCTATATCCGCTACTTACCCTATATAGTAACACTTTTCCACCGGTCTATTGCTCGATTGAAAGGGGAACGAATACTGTGAATACATGTTTTTGCGGACGAATATGACGTTTTAGATCAAAAAGCCATTAATTTACGACCGCTATAACCACCGAGTGGCAGAATTTTAAATATAATATTATCGCGTCGGTCGACATTTTACAGGCAGTTTTTATTTCAGGAAGGGTGACCGGTGATATTACCAAAAAATATATATTACCTCGTGAAAATGTATAACATTACTACACGTAAACTACATGCGACGCGATATACGAAACGGGTAATGGGCCGATTACGAGTCATTTTGTTGGCAATCAAATTAAAAAAAAAAGGACCGTGTTGAATAAATACCCGTATTTTAATGAGCTACGAAAAAAAAAAACTCGTCATTGAGCTTATTTTTGTAATTTCTTAACCGGGCGCGAAAATTCCCAGATCCGGCTCTGCCTTTGGCATACCCATAGACGCAACTAGACCACCAACTATGGCGGCGCTAAAATTATAAACACATCACAGACCCATGGTTTTGATGCCTCAAAAATTCTCTTTACACGATATCTATATTAATAAGTAGACACCGGATTAATATGTTCTTAAAATCCACAAAAAGCACTCGAAAACGTCAAAAAGCCTTGAAAAAAATCATTTAAAAAATATATGAACACGAAAAACTAATAGAGGGGCTTTAATATTCCCCCCTCTAACGGATTTACAATACAATTTTCTAACATCACAAAAATGAATAACAAAAAGTAATTCTTTTCTTTAACAATACGTACGATTTTATTTAAAAGAAATTATTTAATAGTGTTAGGAAATAAAATTTAATAAGTAAATGGGAGACCTTTTAAACTCCTCTACCATCTTTGCTTTTTAAATGTTTAAATCTTTTTTCAGAAATTGTTTTTGATGTGTTAAAGCGCCTTTGTGCAGATTTTAAGAGAATATAAATCCGGCCTCTAAATTAATAATTAATTACACATTTCATTTGCAATTTTCGTATGAAAACGTATCAAAACTTTTGAACTTTATATTTTGTGTACGCGCATATTGTGTTGTCTGTAGGTAAGTAATCTGTAGTTTATTCTGCTTATTGATATTACGAACTACACGACGGATAAAATATTTAGTCGATTATAAATATACAAGGAAAAAGTTTATCGCGTATATTTTCGGGAGCGCTAAAAACCCGCGTAACACCGTCCTATAGTTGCGTCTACGGGCGTACCCCTTTGAAAATTTGCGAAAAGCCCTCGGGGAAAAGAAAGTATCTGAAATAAACGCTGCATAAGACAGGTATGTTAAATTAATAATATAACGAAAATATTAATATCGTACGACGGCACGGCACGCCGACGCATACAACGTTAATATTTATTTTTTGAAGAACGCGTAAATAAACTATTTTCTTCATAAGTTGTTTTACGCGTAACGTCTTCGGGGTTCGCCTTTATAGTCCCGCGCCAGCGTATACAAGTAAATCTTGAGCGATAACGTAGCGGGATCGGTAATTTATATTATATATAGGTACGTGTATATTCTTAACGATATTATACGTTCGCCCTTTGAAGTGAGATATAATATTATATCCGTCTTAATCTATATTATATTATTATTATTATTGTATTACTCGGTCTATCTCGATTTATTTTCCCGCTTTATGTGTCCCACGCGCGTTTATACGAAATAATAATAATGTACGTATACATAATTCGGCGGTAGATCGTGACGTCCGTATTATATTTTATATTGTATTATTTTCGCCCGTCGCGCGCGTCTCTTTTGAAATATTCGTCTTAACCTGTATATAATAATATTCTCTCTCTCTCTCTCTCTCTCTCTCTCTCTCGATTTATTTTCCCGCCGTCTCGCCGTACCGTATCAATAACGTGTATAATATTCCTCCGGCTCTATCCCTCGGAGACCGCACGCCGCCTCCGCCGCCGCCGCCGCCGCCGCGCCGTTCACGTTATTACTAAACGAAAACGATAAATACAAATTCGGCGCCGGATTTAAAACGTTAAAGGCAACGGGTATTTCGTAACCCCCCGGGTGGTCTACAAATATAAAAATCGCGCGGGTTTATGTCCCGTCATAACCCGCCGGTCCGAGATTTAAAGTTTCAATTTTCCCTCTCGTATACGGCGCGTATCGTACAAATAGTAATAACAGTCTCGTCGATAAAACACTCTGTTGTATATTATAATTTAACTTCTCGACGGACGCAACAACATCGAAGTGTATAACTAATATATTATATAGTAACGATATATTGTACGTTTCGAGAATGTCAGTGTCGAATCCAGACAACTGTTATTATTAATCCATGATAGAATACAGTTTTAAAATATTTCGCCATTCGTCAACAATACTTTGCTATAATTCAGTAATAAATAGAACCAGAAAAAATATTGGGGGTCGGGGGGTTGATAGTGGCGTATTTAGGAGAGGTCCCGTGGGGGGAAACATTGCTAAAATTATAGTATGATAACAATGATGTTTATTTATTTTTTTTCTATGGACAACTTTTCTACCAGCAGTTTTGCTCCGATTTACAACGATAGCACTTTTTGCAAAACTGGGGAGATACTTTAAGGATGTCTTTGTTTGATTTTTCCAGGGGTTTTGCCAATATATTGGAAAAACCGGGAAAACGGAAAAATAGGTACAATATTTAACAAATATTATTAAAGATAACATATAATCCACGTATAATTATTTTACCATGATATGGCATATATATTGTTGACAAAACAACACTAGTAACTTAAATTTAAGTAATTAAAGTTTTCATATTGTATTCTATTTCGAAGTAGCCCGTCGCCATTGAAAAGTCTACATCTATAAATTCTTATCGGTTGTATTTATGTATTTAAAAAAATTAAAAATTAAAAATAAATAAATAAATTTTCTTTTTACCATTTTTCGTTTTTTTATGACCCATTATAGCTTATTTTACGATTTGTTAGGTCGTATTACAGCACTTATTTTACGATTTGTTAGGTCATATTGTAACGCATATTTCAATTATTTTCAGTACATTAAATCCGAGCCCTGCGTATATCACAACACCTTTAGTGCTCGAATCGGGGTCCCTCTAACATTTATTTTAAGCGGAAAGCAAAGTCCGGTATAGGTTTTTTGCATTTTTACAACTAATCGTATTGTATAACTCATAATAATCGTTTTGTTAAATTTTCGATCATTTTTGCCGAGCCAAAACCATTTTTAATCATGTAAAATCAACGGACGGTTGAACAATGACGGAAACTGTACCGTGTCTCGAAAAATCCGGTAGAAAAGTATTCGGCGAAATTTTCCGATTATTTTTTTTACAGAATTCGAAAATAAAAAAAAAATCGAATATAACAGAAACCGTATGAACGCGGTGTGAATATTATACTATTATAATATAATTCTCGGTTTCGGCCAAACACACGGCCGAGAAACGAAAAAAATAATAATAATAATAATAATAACGAATTTCTCGTCGCGCTAATCGTCCGTTTACGGTGTCGCCAGAAACAATCACGAAACGGTAATTCCACCGCAAACAAACGTACTGTACGCCACCGTCGGCGATAACCTAGTCCGCGGCGGCGTGATTAAGTATGCAATATGATAATACAGGGGCGGGCTGACGGTTCTCGCCGAATCGGCTACGCTATAACGTTCTTTTATTTTTTTTTTTTTTCAAGACCTCATAACATACCGCAGTCGCCTTTCATTTTTCCGGTTCGGGCAGCGCTCTGGACCGGGCTGCCCGGGCCGCCGCACGCCGCGGCACGATGGCGAACCCGAACCGCACACGGGAAACGCGCGAGCGACCCCCGCGAGCCCTCCGCCCCCCGTCGATTGCCGACAATGTTTCCATTTTCCAAACGCTTCGTCTTATCTGTTCGCCATTGTATAATCCAACGCGCGCCGCATACCGCAACAATATAATAATATCGGTCGGTCGCCGGTGCCGACGTATTATATTTTCGCCGGCGATAACATTACACCCGCAATCGCGCCGCGTCTCTCCGCCGCCCCTTCCGCACGCCGATTAACGTTCTCTCCGCCGCCGTCCGCCTGTTCGCCGCATTATGTATTACGGTTATCGTAAAACAGACCGTGATACGATAACACATTATAATATCGCGCGGGTAGACGCGCGCTTCTCTTACATACGCATTCAACGGACGTTATTAATATTAAAACGCGACGATACCGTACGCGCGGCCAGGTGCCCGCGCCGCAGTAACAATTCCCGGGTTTATTCATCAGCCCCGGCCGCCGCGTAAAAGTCCCGCGGCGCGGACGACGCGAAGAGTTATTAATGTTGCCCGCGGCCGGGACGCGGAAAAACCCGACGAAAACGATTTATCATCGCGCGCGCGAAACGATGTTGCGCGCGCGCGCATAACGTTATCGTACAACAACGACTGCGCCACCGCGTATAACATAAAAACGCGCGCTCGACCGAATGCACCGCGGCCGTGTTTATTATTATTACCGTTACCGTTGCTGTTATTATTGTTGAATTCGAAACGCGGGCGGGCGTAACGTAATGATAATATTATTACATCGTTCGCCGTTGGCGCGCGGGGCTGCAGCAGGTGTCCGCGGCCGACGTGAAATCCGAACGAAATACATTATACGCGTGTACGCATCACGCGCGCGGCTACCTACCTGCCTGCCCGCCCGATGGCTGCGCGCTGTAAGGTTTCGCCCCGGTGTATAAACCAGACGACGGCGACAGATATAATATTACATTTCGGGCGTGTGTGCGTGTGCGGGCCACGTATCGCGTGTAGGTGTACGTGCGTATTATACACGTATACCGCGCTGTAATATATCGCGCGAGTGGGTATAAATTTCCGAATAAGTCTGCGGGACCGCGGACCGCAGTGCGGCGGGAGCGGAATACGCGTTGTATACCCCCCCACCCCATACATACCTGGCCGCCCGCCTGCCTGCCTGCCTGCCTGCCTGACGCCCGAGCTTCTCCTCGGAATTGCTCCGGCTACCGCGCATTATGTTACACCGACTCTCTGCCCGCGCCGCCCGTCGCCTGTACGCTCGAGCTTACCCGCGTATATACGTGCGCGAGCACACGTCCTCCGCCCGTCCACCCGGCCGCCCGCGCGCCGACGCGCGACCGCACGTATATATATTATATAAACCAAAACGCACGCAACCGAACGTCTCCCGTATAAAGTTTTCGACGTAACCCCAATAACTTATTCCCGGAGAGAGAGCGGTATGAGTGGGAAAGAGAGTGTGCGCGTGTGTGTGTGTGCGTTTGTGTGTAAAGGAGAGCGCGGAGGAGGAGGGAAACCCGTCACCCGGCCGACCCGCCGAGACGATCCTTTCGCCCGAGTCGTACTCAAAGGTCGCGGCCGCAACGCATATATACCGCGTATAATATATAATAGATACTTCCGACTAGGTAGTACCTATACATCGAAACCGGAGAAGATAATATCGTTAAAATTTCGCGCTCCGGTACACATATAATACATATACGCCCCGTCGTTAATGTTTATAAATTATACGGAGTAAGAGTAATGTTTAATTTATAGGTATAACGGCGGCGGCGGCGAGCGGAATACCGAAACCGAAATTACTTTTATAGATTCCGATGAAAATATATTGGTTTTACAAATCTGTGCGGTGGTTTTTTATTTATTTATTTATTTATTTATTTATTTATTTATTTATTTACGGCTATCGCCACTTTTTCGTTTAATAAAAATTGCGTTTCGAAGCTTACTTTATACGTCGTCTATATTAAAATATATATATATAAATATAGGTACGATGCGATGATGGGATATCTTATAAGAAACCCATATACTGTATATTATTATTTTGTATGACGCGTTTTTCTATAGACAACATTTCATTTCACACTTGACGAATTGCGGACTTTTTATATTCGGGACGGGCGATATATGTTTATTTTGCTATACGATGTGTGCTTTTTTTCCCCTGTCAGTTTACAACTTTTTTATCGCAAATCTTGCTCCAATCAGAAAATGACAAGAGCGAGTATTTGCGAGTATTGGATTTATTCGATGCATAGACGAGGTCGGTTTTTTCAAGCAGTTTTCATAATGCGGGAAAAAAATATAGAAAAACCGGATAAATTTGCAGAAATACAAGTTTTGTTATTTTCGATTTTGTTTCATTTTTTTTTCTTTTGAAAATCCATTAAAAAAAAAATACTTGAAATTCTTACAGAATACTTGTGGTAAAATTATCAAAATATTTTGGCGATTTAGAGCTATTTATAAGTATTTGACATTTTAACGTTATTTTATTTTTATTTAATTTTATGTGAATAAAATTGTTTTAACCGAACAGAAACGCTTGACAATTTGATACGAGGTTTATCACAAATCGTACTTAGTAAAACAAAAAAAAAAAATTAGCGTTATGTAGTAATTTTTATAAACTTTTTAAGTAAATATTTTAAAGGTATTTCAAAGCATACTCAACCGAACTTCACTCAGAATGGTATTTTGTTAGCAATCATTATCGATACGGATACTTAGCAGAAACCGAACATGACTTTCAGAGAGCTCTAGTTGAGATGCAAGTGATTATAAATGAGTTTCAAATGCATATAAATTAAAGCAAAACAAAAATTTTAGTTTGTACTCTCGAACCAACATTCAATACAAGTATTTGTTTAGGAAATCATCTTATAGCCCAAGTTTCCAGTTTTAAATACCTGGGTAGCTTAAAAACTGCATACGGAAGAAGTTCGCAGGAAATCAAACAAAGAACAGGACAAACAAAGGCAGCTTTTATCAAGAAAAAGAGAATTTTGGCCTCGAAAAAAATTATCAGAGCAATAAAGAAGACGTTTCTAAAAACTTTTGTATAGAGCGTCGCTTTGTATGGCTGTGAGACATGGGTTATGAATTAAACGGAAAAAAGATCCTTGAAGCTATCGAAATGCAGTATTGGTGACAAATGGAATTTAATTGGGCAGAAATAGTAAAAAATGAGGATGTACTGACCCAGGTAGGAGATACAAGATCCATATTGAATATAATAAAGCGACGTCGATGGGACATTTTACGCCATTACGAATAATTTTATCGCACTATCAAAGAAGGTGCAATGGAAGGACGAAAACCACCAGGAAAACCAAGAAACTAGTACATATCTCAATTGAAAAAATATGCAGGAAATAATACATACGCCGGATTAAAAAGGCTTGCTGAAGATCGTGAAAACTGGAGGACGAAGTTAAACGTTGTAAACCAACCTATTACCGATTGAAAAAAAATCGATACAGATATATATATATATATATATATTATATTACTATAATGACAGTATCAGCTATTAGAATAGTTTTCTGTTCACAATGATTTATTCAATACATTCGACATTGAACTAAAACACCATAATATTATAAATCCTATCTTCCTAACTGCCCTTCTACTGTTATAATGGCTTGCCCGCGTTGTGGAAATATGTCCGGGTTTTTTTTAAAATATTTTTTTTAAGTAGCTATTTTAGAACAAGAGTAGATTTTACGTCACAACTCACTATAGTTGCGGATTTCCTAGTTTTCTGACGAATAATTATTTTGCGGGTTGTCGGTTGACACGAATAATTTTTTATATCATCGTGACAAAAATCTCGGCTCAGATTTTTCGAAGATAAATGAAATTACCATTGCGTCGTTTTCGGTGTTCACAAAATGTCGGCTTTTTAAATATTATTTAATATTATAATAATACACTTACTGTCCTGCATAAATTATCCCGTGCACGGTATTATTAGACGAAAGAAATAAATTTAATAAATAAAAAAAAGTGTCTTCTCGCTTCCACCCCCGTTCCTATCCCAGTTAATCGTTGTTGCCCGGTAATTTATTTTTTAAAAAGGGTAGGTATACTTCCTTGTCCGTGACAACCAAACGACCTATTAATATTTGTTTTTTTTTATTCGTGTCACCCATAGGTGAACCATAAATCAACAAAAAATTAAATTTCCGTTCCAAAATACCAAAAACACCGTGTTAACACATAGCCTTTAGGGATTGAATTTTGTAAATCCGACTTTGAAGTGCACACAGACTCGTTTATCTTCTTTGTTATAAGCAAATGTCAAACTTCTGAACATTCAACTTGTTTCAACTTCCGACCCCCGCGTCCGCTTCCACCGTCTGTTTGTATATGCAAGTAAAATTCTTGAAAACTACTTTACCTATTTTGATGAAACTTTTTTCATTCCATTCCTTAACATTACCAGACACATATAGGTTCCGCAATACGAGAATATTTTTCGTTTATCATAAACAAGGGAGGGTAGTAGACCGTGAATTAAAGCGAGGGTGGAGAGTAGACGTGATTAATGGTCGAACACAAATCATAAATAAATACATTTACGAATTGAATTTAATTAAGTATACCAAGTGTAATATTATACATTATTAACACCAGTGAGCGATCATATGTATTTTAGATCAATTATGAAAACACCCACACGCCGTAATAAAACCGATGAATCGTATAACGGCAACAAGTCAGCCAAAAGGAAAATTCGAATTCTCTTGCTCGCGGTCGTTTCGTTACCCCCGTTCGAGAGACAGAGATAAGGCCGTTTCATCTCGACATTGCACACAATATTATCGTTACTCGCGATGATAAATTTAAAAAAAAAACCGCGCACCGGGACGGTAAATAATGAATTAAAATAATAATAATAATGTACTCGTACGAGTTAGCACAGTTAGCAGGTGTACATATAATAGTGTTCATATTAATAAATACAACAACGGCGGAGGGGAACGGGCGGGTGAGTGTGGTTGGGGGGGGGGATTGCAGCGTCCGGCGATAAAGCGAACAATTTATTGTGTTGCGATAACATTAATATCGCGTATCCAGAAATCGGAACCGCGTTGTCGTCGAAATAATCGTAACGGCGATTATTGCCGGTGGTAGGGGGGAGGGCCCGTTTTACCGTGTATAATATGATATAGTCGTGAACGCCGGAAAGGAAATAATCCGCGTACACAATACGCGTCGTCGACGTCCCCGATCGGGCGGCGGATACGCAAAGCCCGGTCGTAACGAAACGGACATCCTATAATATAATATGAACGGGCTTTAAACGACGGCTACGACGTGCTGTAATACTAATTTAACGGTTTATACCCGATACCTATATTCCCGTACCGTCTCATTTTATACAGTAGATTATAGCCAACTGAATCTATATCGCCGAATCGATAACAACAACATATATATATATATAGCGTGCAGCGTACAAGATGACGTGTATAGGTGTCTACCTATAATACGCGTCGTATTGTATTATCTCAGGTCCCGGGGAAAAACGGCTTAGACGTCAATCGTGTATACACATCAACGTGGACGGATTAAATTTCGAAAATGACAAAATATGATTGTTTAAACGGCTAAACCGCGGCCCTAATCTGAACGCCGTCGTCGCTTTGTAACGGTTCGAGTCATAATAAACATAATAACTATGTTGTTCGAACAACAAATATTAGCGGCTTACGATATATATATATATTTAATTTTCACAGTAAAACCCGAATAAAATGCATGCACTTAGAGAAAATAATAATAATAATAAAGCGAAAAATATTGCATAAGACACACTATCATAGAAAAAAATATCAAACATTTACTTTACAAGCCTTTTTCCTTGCGAACATTAGACTAAAGATATAGTCCGACCGCTCGGTTTACCCGAAATCAAAGCGCATGTTTATAGGTATACACTTTGTAAGAAAAAAGAAAATTGTATTATATTACAGTTATTATAATAAAGTAAAAAAATCACCAACGCATTTCTATACTTAAAAAATGATTAAGCACTATTATTATTATTATTATTTTCATTATGCGTTATTAAAGCTTCAACAGCAAGGTCATTTGAAGCCTGTTATTTAAATTATTAATAACACTGTTTTGAATTCGATCGCTGAGCTTTATTTATACCTATATATTATTCCAAAAAGAACGATAGTCATCTATTCTTATTTTATGTAGCATGATGGGAAACGTTTTTGGCTATCGACCATTTATTTTTCTGAAGGACGTGGACCAAAAATGTTTATTATTTTCCCGGAAAATGTATATAAAAATTCGTGAATTTATTTACAAATACAGCACGCCACGGCTAATATAGAATAGCAGTGGCATAATATTCATGTTGTACAATAATATGGTCGATCGAAGTACCGGGTTTGTCGAAAATGCGAATACTAATGATATTTTTAAATATTCAAAATAATCGCCGACAACCTAAGCCGAATAAAATCAACAAATAATACCAAACAATAAAACGTCGTTTCCAAACATTCCGATAATATAACAATATCGTATACGTGTCACTCTGCGTACGCAGCGGCGCGGTGAACTCAAATATTTGCGAGTATTTTTTTCCCCGGCATCCCGATGAACCCATGACTCGCCCGTTGGCTGCTATACATTTACTGTACGTGAAGATTTAACATCGGGTTTTTATCGATTTCTTAAAAATCGTCATACAAGGCACATAACAGGCACATATTCGGACCCCTTAAAAAAAAAAAGTCGCCTCTCGATTATCCCCTTCGCCACGTCATCGCGCGCACATTGATCAAACAGCCCCTTCCCGGGTCGTTACGAGCTCCGTAGATCGCCAACCGTAGCCGCGGTAAGTTGAATGCAATTTCGTACGTTCTCCGTTGAAATAAATCCGAAAAATAAATCGAGTAGGTACAGTAATTATTATCATTACAATATAACACCGCGGACTGGTGTTAATGTGTTGTGCCTTCCTAACGCTACCTGCGTATTGTATACACCTGCGAACGGGTCTAATAAACGCTATGCAGTTATTTTGTAATACCCATTTCGCGTGTGAAACGAACACGCGAAACTATACGTTATCTGATTCGTGTTCGTACATTACGAGGGGATCGGATTGCCGTATAAATAGTTTAAGCGGCGAGCGGTTACGGCGAATTAATTCGTTTCGTTACTGTTTTGTTCGACAGGCGAAAAACAGACGGACGTCGACGCACGTCTGGGAACGCCGGGGTTTTTGCCGTGCGAACTGGAACCCAACAACGTCACCGATGGATTTATTATGACATCCAGGTGCGGAATGGTCCATTCGGTGAAATGGTACCGAGGAGCCACGAGGATATTTCTGTACACGGGCGGCATTCGCGTGACACAGCCGCAAAGAGACGGTTACTCCGACAGATACGACAAGTAAGTATACCGAATCGAAACCGATACATTATAGTGGCGGGCCGTCATAATAATACCGTTTTTGAACGTTCGGGCAACCGGAATCCGACGACTGCGGACGGAATGACAAAATCCCGATATACTCGAATATCCGGATATTCGTACACAGTGTTCGGATTCGTATACTTTCAAATATTTTATCGTGACTCGTGGGATACATTTTAAGAGGATCTCGTACATAGTTATACGCGGGTAGATTATTGCGGATTTAATATGCTACATTTGACGTGTGGTGGATATCCGAATTGATTCTTATCTGCAATTTAAAAATATCCGAATATCCCCGAATAGTTCTGAAATTAATTGAAACGTATAATATATAAACATGTTTTATTATCATAATCTTTGTCGGAGGAGAGAGTGCGTGCAACGCTGAATAATAATTCCACTGTAAAAACTGTTTCACACGTTGAAAAAACTACTCGGGCTAAAGAATTAATTATTGTGAAATTAATTTTTTCACCAGTATAAGGAAAAGGAGAACAGTTGTAGTGTGCAACGTCTGTTTTTTTTTTTTTTTTCAATATAATGCAAATACATACAATAAAAAGTTATTATTGTTTTGAAAATAAGACAGTTTTTCGTTTTTCAAACTCATAAAACTTTTTTCGTAACAATATTATGGAAAAACTAAAACTATCGTTGCACGATACAAGTTATCGGAAAAAAAAAAAAAACTAAATTTGTAACTAAGTGCATACAGCTCGAGTTGTTTTCGCCCTTGCGAAACCGTTTTTCATACATTTTTTGTTGATTCCACCTTAGATTAGATTAGACACGAAACTACTTGTAAATGTATTTGAATATTTTAAAGTTGATAGAATTTAATTTTCCAATAATGTCGAGAAATTTCCTATACGCAACCTCTTGAATACGGGAGATGGCATCTCCTCTTAAGAGGACGTGTCACCACTCGTAAATCGATTGTAAAAACCGTTTTACCACGCGACAATTTTATTTATTTTTTTTGACACCGTTCTATTTTATAATAGAATATTATCGACATTTCAAAACGCGTAGAACTTAATTTACGTTTAATATTTTTCTTAACATTTTTTACAGCTATAATTCATATTTATTTATAAAGTTTCCGTGTTTTTTTTTCTGTTTGTTCGTTTGCTTATAAAAAACTTATTGGCAGCGCTAATAAACATAGTAAGCCCAGTACGGCCCAAATAATGTTCTTCCCTGTATGCGACCTGTAAATTAGAGACAAGAAGATTGGGATAGTTAAAAACTACGTTTATAAAACGGTGCTTATTAGCGGATTTCCGCGGTTAACGAACATTTCAAGGCCGAAATTGGTTATCGATGTGATTTCTATTGCATGAATGATGTGCCTACCTTCAAACCAGCGATTATACGCGAAACTGTCGATTCTCCGGTATTTTTTTCGTTTTTTTTTTTTTTTTTTCGTTCCGAATTAAGTGATTCACAAAATATTATGGGCTCGTAGGACGGATTTTCCGTCCCGTAATATCGTATTATTATAATGTGGTATATATAATATAGAAACGAATAAATAAAATAACGTAAAACAATGCGAAAATGGTTTTATGTATATCGACCAAAGCTGATATGCGCTCCCTCCGGGTACTCGACTCGTTGACGTATTTTTAAGTACGTATAGATTTTAATGAATTATTAATTAGATGTTAATTACGAAATCCGTCCACTACTCGCCCTCCCGACACTTAAGTTGCCGATTAATATTTAAATACACTACACCGCCACCGACGCAGTGTTTATTATAATATCGGCTATATATTGCAGCGAACCGTTTTCACGTTTTGTTTTCATTTTAATAATATATACTGTAGACTGTAGAACCATTTTTTTTTCTTTTTTTTTTCTAATTTTTCGTTTCGTTTCTTTCCCTCGTGTCTTAAATAAACAATGTTTTGAATATTCGGAATCGACGTCATCCGGTTCATTTCGCGTTTGACATTAAAATAGTAATAACATTACGAAAACGTATTCCAATTACAAACAAAACGTAATTAGATAGTATAAAAATCGTAAAATATGCGGTTATAGGTATTATGTTAGGTTGGTGTGCCTACTATATTATAATACCCATTTACGGTATAATAATTAATATTATTAATAATATACAAGTACAACCCAATATCCCGAAATTGCTTGTGATTTCCGCTCGGTATTGTTTAGATTTTAATTTTATGGATATTATCATTGCGAAAATACCATTATAATATTAATTTGGCCGTGTCGATTTCATTATAATTCCATACCTACGAGTATGCGAGTGCAATATGGAACGTAAAATAATTGGATTGATTGCACAGATTTAGATTAATCTTGGCACCGAAACCCGTGTAAAAACACGTGTAACTTATGTCTGTATTTTACGTTTCTTAAAGATTGGTAATATCATTAGCGATTTTCACGTTATTTTTATAATAACGGAAGTGCGTTGTACAATTTATGACATTTTGCAATTTTAAAAATATTTACAAGAATTTCCAAAAAAAAAAAAACTCATTAAAATACAGACAGTAAACTGAAAATTATTTTTGGAATTCTACACAACGTCGTTGCGTTCAAATTAGAAATAATTACACTTCAATTATTATTACATTACGTTATGCTGCGAGGTAAATGAAGCAAAACGAGTCATTATTCTACCTTTAAAATTCGTTTTTTTCCATTTTATACAAAAAAAAAAAAAAAAAAACGAACTATTTCAAATCGACATCACGTTATTTTTTTTTTTTACAAATAATATATTTTCGTACATTTATTATTTTAATCGTATTTTGTTTTGTATTTTCTTAAGTATATACTACCTATATTTACATTAACCTAGTTGAATACGTTTATTTTGGCAAATATTATCGTTCAATAAATAATAACTAACTAGTTTCGTTACTGTATAGACTAATTTGCTATGTGTTTATTACTTCCTATATTTATGAATAGTACATTACTCATTACCAAAAATAAATATTCTATTTACGCATTGCTATTTTAGTACCGAACGTTGCCAAGAAGAAATGTTTTTAGTAGTGAAATCACGATCGCTAAGATAAATTATTTTTAATTTTCTGTTTTAAAACTATTGAGTATAATAGAATTGTATGTTTTTAATAATCTTATTATTTTCACACGAAATCGACATAAATAAATCGTTTTAACATTTTATGCTCACACCTAAACCTAAATTGGATCAGCTGTATTTTTATAATATATATTCAAAAAAAAAAAAAAAAAAAACTTTCCAGTCGTTGCTAAAAAATCGTTTTCAAGTTTATTCCATAAAAAAAAATATCTAACCCAGACATCCACTTTATTAGCATTATATAGTTTGGCGCCATTGCACGCCTTTTGACCAAATGTTTATTATTTTTCTATAGGGTATACCCTATTGTAGCAATTGTCAAAGCGAAATTTGAAACTTTCTTCATACTTTGAACCCTATATCCGTCCTAGTATAGGTTATCGGAGTATTATTTACGATATCACACCCGAACCAAGTAGGTATAAAATAAATATATTACAGCATTCATATTCCATAACAATACAAATTTTAATATTATCATCTTTTATTATTATCATACATCATTATTTATCTCTATAAATGTTTAAAATTATTATTAAACGTACATTTTTTCTTATAATAATAACAGTATTTAAAATTGATACTTTTTACTATAATATGACAAACGACATAGAAAAAATACTATACGATATAATACATGTTGATGTTAGCCAAAAGTTCTAAAAATATTTTGGCTATTGTTGCTTAATTTACCGTGTAAATGCTTCAGTAATGCCAAATAAGTTAGATACATATTATAATTACATATATTTGTATAGATTTTTTTTATAATGATCTTTCGAATAATGACAGAATAATCAATTTACACGTATAACACTACCATTATAATATATATACCATTAATATGAAAAATGCACATTATATCGTTGTAAAACTTTTTGAAATAAAATACTAGTTTTATAAATAACTATAAAAAGCTAAAAGTTTTAGATTTTTATTATAGGTATAAAAGTTAAAATTAAACATAACGTTGGAGTTTAGTTACAGATTATTAACATTTAATAACTTTTTTGTTTTTAAAATATTTCAATAAAATTTTGTTAAGTTTAGAAACGGTTCGTGTTATATTTTTATAACTGAATTATATATTTGTATGCACACCTACACATATATAACGTACGTTTACCTTATTTCAGGTAATATTTTAGACTATAAATATTATTAATTTTTGAACATCACGGATTTATTTTGGTCCATATAAAATATATGGGTAGCATATACTCTTAGTAAAGTATATATCTATTTAACATATTTATTAGTTTAATTCGTATGAATATATATCTTCTCGTATATATCTAATCAATATTGGGAAAGTTCCTTTTGTAAAGAAATTCGTTCCCATTCCTCATTCCTACTACAAAAAAAGAACTATCGTTCCTTTAAACGGGTATCTCTTTACTATAATGCAGTCCAAAATAATTTTTTTATATTGTTGACTTGAAATCATCACTGATTTATTTATTTTGTAAATAAATACATATTTGATATTAAAGGTCTTTATGAGTTATTCATTAGTGAAAGTTATTTGTGTGAATACCTAATTTTCATAAAAAAAATTAGTATAGTCAGAGTTAATCAAGTCAACTAAAATTGGAAACTATTTTACTCATTAGAATTGACATGTTTAAAATTAAAATTAATTAAATTAAATTTATTTCCCACCTTAAAATATGAAAATAAAATAAACGCATAAATTGAAAAAAATTATGATCAATCTAACCAAGACGCCATTTATATCACGGTTATACCAGTATGTACAGCCGTGATTAATATTAATATTATCATATTTATATTACGTACCTTGTATGTTAATAAAACTGGAAGAGTTAAGAATGAATTATTATAGTGTAGTAATTTATTAGTAACTGACGCAGTGAACTAGTGATAGCAACACTAAAACATTTCTAAACTGCAATATTATCGTTAAAATAACGCGTGTTTCATTATTATCTATTTTTCATAATATGAAAAACGTAAATTAACGTTTACGTTCCTCATAAATGTAGGAACTCTTTCCCTGTTCCTCGTTTCTGTGTTTAAAAAGGGACGCGTTTAAAGCTTTATTCCAATAAATAAGATCTTAATCAGTTTCATAAAAAAGCTAATTCATTTATAGAACTATGAAAATTGTTTTTTTTTTTTTTTTTTATGACAGTTTCTTCAATTGGATCAGAAACAAAGAATATTGCACATATTATTATATTATAAATATAATTATAGTTTAGTTACATTAAAGTGTACTTAAAAATCATGTTTCACTATCTTATAACTACTGATAACTACACAATAAATTGCACAATTTGACATAATATTATATTTACTTTTCTTTCTATAGTTTCAATACGCGTAATATTATAAATTATCTCTTTATCCATGAATCATATATTTTTTGCTCGTCTCTCTGCTCCGACGAGGCAACATTTGGAACGTCGCCAACGCGTTACTACACGTCGTATATAAATAATTTGTCTCCTTTGCTGTTAATGATATTATAACATTATAATGTGTGCATCAAAATATATAATTAATTATAATAATGAATGGTATATTTTTGTATAGCGTGTATTGGAGTGCAACACCGGGGAATACGACTGGCTTCTTGGTGATTGACAATATTACAGCACTCGATGAGGGCATATATAAATGCGAGATCACATATACCAAAGTGCACGAGGGTTGCAACATCATTCAGTTCATCAATCTCACGACTTTCAGTAAGAAATAGATAAACCGTTAAATTATTGATTACGAATATATTTAATAATTACTATTCGTATTAGAAGCACTTACTTTCTAATTTTCTAATAAACATATTTATATTATATTTTATACTATAGTAAACTTCCGTTAACGGTCGCCTCTAAGAGACGGCCACCTCTCTGTAACGGTCATTATTTCTGGTCCCTTCGGTGACCGTTATATAGAAGTTTTACTGTATATATTATAATACGGAATAATAATCTTTTTCTCCTTCACATTTTACCACTTTTTAGGGGATGGCCAACTTCGTCCTAAACTTTCACTTGCCCCGATTTCCTACATAATTCCTGCATGCATCGGCCGTCGTCATATCGTTATCAAACACTTATACATTTTTATTTTTTATTTTTTTTATTTTCGTTCTAAATAAAAATTAGTTGAATGGTATTAAAATTAGAGATGGATGATAACCAAAGTTTAGAATTCGTTACTCGTTTTATTTCACTGTTTGATAGTCGATATCACAACTCGATTTTCGATACCTTATGACTTATTGTTTAAAAATAAAAAACAAAATACAGCTATTAATATATATATATATTATTTATATTATTATAAAAACTACTCTCTAGAATCTATATGTAAAAAAACTAATAACGCATTATAAACTGAAAAATTATACTAATTGATTTAATCTTATTTCTCTAACCACGTCGTAGTTATTACGTAATTGCTTAACATTTTAACATAACAAAATATCGAAATAGATCTAAAATATTAACTTGATTTCGATATACAAATCTTTCTTAAGTGTTGAATTGCCTATCCTTTATACAAATAATAAAATATTACGAGTATTAATATCTAAATTGGGTTACAAATAATTAAAAAAAAAAAAAAAAAAATTATAAATGTATGTTAAAATACAAATTAAAACTTTAAATACTTGTAAAAATCACATCGACTGTATTTATATATGCATATATATATATGTATATGTATATGTATATGTATATAGTATATGTCATATACATTTCAACAGTTTAAACATTAAATTCGTACTTCACACTTTACAGTGATACGGTGTAGTCGTGTCACTGTAAATTCGGAAAAACAAAAAGTCAACCCCCCCCCTCTCTTGTTTATAACAGTTCCAAATGTTCCGACGTGCCAGTACTCGCGGTTGGGCAACTACCCGATAATTTAGTATTGCGTGTCTGCATTACTCGACACACCCCTCGTTCTACGTATAACTAATTAACAATTTAAACTTAACACAAACTGTCTGCTGCAAGACTTATGGAGAAACTCGCGGAACTTGCGGGTGACAGTTTACCGGATTCGCCGCTGTAAAACAAACTAAATTAATAGCCGTAAGACTTATCCGGAAATCTAAAAACAAACCAATTAAATACATTTTCGGATTTTGAAAATCCGTATTGAATATGAAAATTCGGATTTATCCCACTACATTCCACTGGTTATATGTATGTACAGTTGACTTTTCAACTACGACAATTTATAAACCACAAAATCAACTTTTATTGCAACTGTACAGCGTTTGCAGTATTTCGGTAGTACCCGTAATTATGTATAATTTCATTGTATGCGTTATTGTATCTTTGTGAGTCACGCCACGAAATACATCTATACAATTACGATTATTAATTTTAACGAGTTAGGAAAGCCCACATTACGAGTGTGTACGGATTTTACACGATCGCAATGAAACGGCGGTGAAATGTTTATGCAAATTTCCCAGTTCCAATCGCTGTTCAAACAACAGATTATAACTCCGTGTACAGTTTCAAAGCAATTTGGTAATCTAGTAGATTAACCCACCCACACCCAGCAACAACCACTTCCGCAATAATTACAGCGGAAACGTCAACTCTTCGAGTGACAAGAGTTCGTTGAATTTCCCTTCTGTCATTGTGCGTAATCGGTCTACGAATGCTTTAGAACCGGGGGCAGCCAATAATATGGACACAATAATGAAACGCTATGAAGTAAATACTCATTAGTCGTTGATCCTAATATAATGATGTATTTTTTTCAATAACCATCCAGGAATTTTCGCGTTCGCTCTGATTTCAATTGAAGTACAATAAGTTCCGCCATTTACTTGCATCGAACGTTGGTGGGATACATTATATATGTATATATAGTGAATCATCTTCTTTTAATTGGTTATTTGGTGAAGGTATAAATAATCTTTTCTTCGGCCATAACTTCTTTGAGTATTGTTTGATTGTTCTCCTAAACCCTTGTTTAGGTTATATCAGCTATTCGAAAAATGTATAATTAACTTATCAATTATTCAACAACATTTAATAATTACGTGTTTGCCGTATTAAACAAACGCACAACGAAATTACAACGAATTAAACAATGAACTTAATCGTGTTAAGTAAACAAACATAAAAACACTAAGGTTGGAACAAAATTAATTTGAGCAGGAAGACCTGTGAGTATAATGAACTCACCCTTGAACGGGAGTTCGCTTTATTTATTATAAGCTGCGTTTCGTACGAGTAATAAATCAATAGTTTTCAGTAGGAAAAAAATACTTGTACGAGTTCCTAACATTATAGTATTTCGAAAATTTCAATCGGCAAACCGAGATAACTAGTATTTATGAAATTGTTTTACCAGTCAACTGTAATTTAGTAAGGTTAATAGTTTTTATTTAATAAAACCACAAATTGCACAAACAGATGCCGATTTATGTATAATTTCTGACAGCGCCATAATATTCTAAAATTATGAAAGTGACTGCGTGTGATCGTCAACTACTATCAACTTATTTTCTGTTTTTTTTTTTTTTTTTTTTTTTTTTTTAATTTTCTACAATGCTGAAACCATTTCAAATAATTAAAATTAATTTACAAAGTGTGTATGCTGAAAACAAATACACAAACAGAAAAAATTCGATACCGCCGGCGGGCCGTTGCTGCAGGTGGGAAGTGTAGAGGAAGAAGAATACAGAGTTGTTTAATTTATTTTTACCGAGAAGAGAGAGAGAGAGAGAGAGAGAAAGGCGTTAAAATCGTAAAAATGACGTAATTCCAAAACGCATCTGACTTCCGTTTATTATTTCGCATTATTATTAATATTACTATGAAAACACATTATCCAAACGCGTTTATTATTGCGATTTGCTTGCTTGCTTTTTTTTTTTTTTTTTTTTTTTTTTTTTTTGTAGTCTGAGTTATTCGCGGAATTTCATAAACGCCGCAGCGCGCAAACAAAGAAACTGCGAGTGTACAAAACGTGCAGTTTCCCCATAACACTTTTAAAACTTCTCGCGTTTCTCGGAAACGGAACACCACTGCCGCGGCCAATTAAAACAAATGCGTTTCGAGCGCAAACATCCATTATGCATGTTACACGTAATAACGTATTATAGCCGCATGCATATAGATGAACACTAATTATACTCCCATTACAATATTACGTCAATAACATTATTGATTTTCATTCGATTCGTCAACTTCCCGGACGGACCGTCGCGCGAACACGCCGCACGACGACGAATCGGCGAATTCGCAGGGCGAAAATATCGATCGGATCGCGGGGAACTCGCCGTGGGTCACGCCGGAATTTCGCATGTACGGGACGGATTAAATCGTTTCGAACGGACTCGTTAAATTTAATCGTTTTATCTGCGCGGCGCGAGTTTACCGGATATGATGTGCTGCGATCGCGTTTCGAAACGATATTATTTACGTATACATGTCGTGTTTGCGACAGGTACGCGCGCGTTTTAAACTGCGCGGTTTGGACGCACAGTTTTCACATATTTCCCGGTGATCGACGAAATCTACGCGTTAGCGTAAGCAATGGTTTGAAAATAACGTGTTTGGAAAATGCTGAATAAAGCGTAATTTCTTTCTTTTGATTTTTCATTCGACAAAATGTATAACCGCATTTATATATTTTAATAAAAGTTGCCAATTCTTTTATTTGATCACTAGTATAAATATTGTTTTTCCAAATAATTCCATAATAAACTGTTGACATTATATCCCTGTGTGGGTTTTGTTATTTAATTAACTATGAGCTTTGCTTGTTTTAATAGTCGAAATATAAAAGCTCGTCTGGCTAAAATTGCATTATATTAATTAAAAAAATAACGGTATGTATCTAAATACTCTAAAGTGCCAGTTATTTTTAAAGTTTAAAATTTTAAAAAGCGCTGGCCGTAAATTTGTTCGAATATATCTGAAAATGGGGTTCGTAAAAAATGAGCTTGGACCTAACTAACAGGACGTGCTTCAAGCTCAAAGTTTTTATGAAAAAGTAGGTATTTAATTGGTTTTTACATATACTTCGTTAAGTCTTAAGATTACATAAAATTATATTTATTTTTTATTTTAAAATGAATTGTCATTTTTGAGCTCTTTATATGTATTTTAATTTTATCGGTTTTTTTTACGTAGTTTTTATTCGATAGGTAGGTACTCTGTGGATAAAATTGTTAGACAAACAGAAATACTAGACAATTTAACTGGAGTTTATAAGACGTACTTAATGGTAAAAAAAAATTGAGTGTAATGTAAAATTTTATTTTTAAAATAATTTTAATATATTAAATTTGAAAAATTGAAAGCAATACTATAAACTGAACTTCACTTAGAATAATCGTTTTTAGTTAGTAATGGTTAATCGTATATACTTAAAATTTCTCCTCTACTTTCCCAACTTTTCACCTGCAACAATGGCCCACTCATCGTGCGAAATATGTCTGTCATTTTTTTTTTTTTTTTTTTTTTTACCAAAATTTGACAAAAAATATTAATCTATATTAATATGCAAATATAATAAAAGGTCTAAATATAGTAAATAGAATATATAACAAAAATTATTTCTGTTACATTTATTATTAATACCAAACTGGCATAACTCATTAATAATTTGACTAGAAACAGTATTATACGAGCAAGTTTCAGATTTAAATGTATCTAATAAATTGTATAGGCAATTTAATTTATCAACTTGATTCATACTTTTAATGCGAATATTTTAATTTAACTATTACTAAAATGTTTCCATGAGTATGAGGAAGAAAAAGTAAAAGTTGTTACAGGTTTTTATTATGTTTTAACAAGCTTAGAAACTTTCCATTTTTGCAGGATTATCAATAATGCATGAAATCTATTAAATTTAACAAAACTTTAGTAAGATTAAATTAAAAGATTTGACTAATTTCATCGGTTTTTATCGTAGTTTTTTGAATGTATTTTATACAGATATTTTTAAATACATATTTTATGAGTACTTAGATATTTTTAAGAGGGAAACACGTACGTCATTATTGATTCAGTATTGTAGCCAGGGAAACACTGAAAGGTGTGCTCTCAGTGTCCCCGAAATCTTTTGTTTTATTGGTTACTTCTGCAGTTATTCTTGTGTATTTTATTATTCTAAAAATGGTAGGTAATAATTAAAATTATTAGTGATAATAATTACCCCTCTCCCTCCAACATTTTATTCAAGCTACAGTATTACCTTGATCATCATTTTATTAAAATAAGAACATAAATATTACATTTTTTGAAACTAGAGATGAGCGATAGGTACCAACAATTTAGAATTCGATACTTATTTTATTTCAATATTCGATACTAAATTCTCGATACCTATCTTTATTAAAAAATTAAAAACAAAACACAAATATTACAATATAAAATTAACATTTTATATTATTTATTATCATGCAAATTCACTATGTAAAAACACATAATAAAAAAAAAATACCAATTTATTTAATCTACCTAATCTATTTAACCACGACGTAATTATCATGTTATCATTTATAATTTTATCATAAGAAAACATTGAAATTGATTCCAAAAATTACTTCGATTTCGATATTTGATAGTCTGTATGAAATGTATCGAGATATCGAATCATCCACTTGAAATTTAAAATTTGAAATTGGTTTGAAATATAAAATAAAAACTAACAAAATCAGTTATGTTAATTTTTTTTTTTATCAATATAATTATGAAAAAAATATTTATTATAAATTAATGAAATAATATTTGATTTAAACGTTAATGAGTTTTAATAATTGTTATCGATCACTCTTAATTAGATAAATATATATATGTTATATAGATTATAGGTATTTTGAAATTGTAGTATTTTATTGTGTCTTGACGTATTTTTAATTTATCGTTCTCTGTTTAGGTGATCCTGCATCCATTGGCGTCGGTACATTTGCCGAACCCGGTGATCTTTCAGCATTTAATTATGATGACCCGAAGTCGGATTTTTACGACACTAAAGAGAGCTACCCAAAGTTTGGTATAATGAAAAGGTTGATAACTGGAAACAATGTTGGACCGGTTGATGAAGGAAGCAAAATACGTCTGGTATGTCGTGCTGGTCGTACCAGACCTATACCCCAAATCACATGGTGGCAACATAACCGTGGACAAATTTATGACGATGAAATGAGTAAGTAGTTTATAAATCGATTAGGTGATTGGGGGCACATGATGTAAATATGAAATATTTGTAAAAATATGTTTTATTTATACTTATGTCAGTATTTATTTTGTTTTAACTATTATTTCTAGTTGATTATCAATACCGCAGTGTTGATTCCGATGATTACGATGATTATTACGATTATACAGGATTATATGTTTCGCAAAGTATCCTCACTGTTGTTGGTAAGAGAGGTGCCAACGGACGGTATGAGTGTAGAGTTAGAACGGTAACAGAATCAACAAAATCTCTAGCCGCCGCTATTGATGTCATTGTCAACGGTTAGTATGAATAAATTCTTAGTTTTCATATACAGTCTCTTGTAGCTAAAATGCTTAATACATATGAAACATTTTTTTTTACGATTATTATACCCACACATTTTTAAGTTATGAATGGTTCATTAAATATACAATGTCTTCTAAATGTCATGATACTGCAAAATTTTAATTAATGGAATTTTACTTTCCGTCGACCCGTTTACGATATATTTCACGTTTAAGTTTAACGTTTTGTAGATAAGGGGATTGTAGTGGAGTATCATTCGTGTGGTAGCACAGCGAAATATTTCGTCAATGAGTAACTAAAAATATATTTAAATTAAAACTACATCTACTTATGGTATTTTTAATATGAGTTGCTATTTGAAAACCAAAATTAAATTGCAATTTCATCCCCAAAAATAAGGACAGTGCAACATTTTAGAATACATTATGATGATTTCAAACAATTTTTATATTGGAATAAAATAAGTATTTCGTAAAAATATGACTGTATTATTCAATTTGAAAGAACCTGTATACTTATACGTTATAATATATTATAACGATAAACGACTAATAAGTTTTTTATTTTCATCTACGTTTTTCAGTTAGTCCTTACTCTGTTGAAATGTCCTCGTCAACATCGGGACCAACAGTTTCTAAAATTTCCAAAGTAGATGACGGTCAAACATCGCAAAACGGCGAACAAGATAAAAAAGCCGATGAAGTCGTTTACGCCGAAACCACAGAAGGACAACCATTAGTAATCCGGTGCGCAGCACGCGGAGCTCGTCCCCAAGCAAACGTGACGTGGTATTATTATTACAATGACCAACAAGACGACGATAACGATTACGCCAGCGGAATTAGAAATGAGTTTAACGCTCGTACACAATCTCTTCAGCCATCAAAATCTTCCAAGCACGGTCCTCCGGTTATGTTGGGAGGTACTCATCGAATCAACTCGGGCTCCGCAACACCCAGGATGCCCAGTGATTATTTAATTTCAGAAACACGCCGTGTGGAAAATGGGGCCGAGATTATAGGCCCCGTGGAAATAGCTCAGCACACCGAATACCAAGTAAATAAAAACGCGACGATTTATTTTGATAATATACCTAACATTATTTCAATTAATGTTTTTATCACTTTGACTACCCTGTAACATAATAAATTATTTCTTTTTATAGTCTGACGGTACTCGAGATACGCACAGTCAGTTATCAATGTCACAACTACACCGTCAACAAGACGGTTCTGTGTTGCGGTGTGACGCGTTCAATCATGTCGGCTCTTCACCATCTCACCCTCTCACTGTGAACATGACAATCCGCGTGAAATGTAAGTCAATTAAAACGGAAAAAAAATCATATAAGCCGTGTATAAATCGTATAACCATCATTCAATTTCTACGTTTAGTTATGCCAACTGCTTGGGTAGTGCCGCTTACTGACGGAGAAAATTCTGGCGCTATTGTCGAGGACGAAATAAAAACTGAAATAGACCAACAGCATAAGGGACCCGAGAGTATCAATTTCAACCCAGGTGTAAATGATGGTTCTAAACCTACAGACGACGGGCTTCATTATCAAACATATTTATACACGGTTTTGGTCAACGAAACAAAGGAATTGAGATTGCTGTGTGCATTCCATGCCAATCCGGACAAACTCCGTACTCCGGTTAAATGGTTAATAAATTATATTATACATATATTTTTTTTATTTTAAAGATATGTATAACACTATATTGTGCTATAATTTAAATCTACTTATTTTCGTACATAGGTATCACGATGGTAACGAGTTACAGTTGGTGGATGAAGACGAACAAACTCAGTCAAATTATGGACCACCTTATTTGATGCACGCTAACATCGGGAACCTTTTGAACTCCAGATATCCGGCAAAATACGCCAGAGTCAAAGGATCACCAAATGGAAATAACCGCCTTTACGGCGACGGAAACGGTGAAGATGCAACCGTGTTGGTGATAAGAAGGTTGACGCGTTCTGACTCTGGTCGTTATGAATGCCGCGTAAGAAATTCAGTCGGGGCCGCTAACTCGACGAATTTTGCAAATGTCCGTGTTCAGTGTACGTATAATATTCTATATAAAATACATATAATATTATATTTCTTGTTTCAATTCGATAAAATAAATAAAATATTTGCAGTTGTTACAAACGAAAGTGTAAAATATTATAGTATTTGTTGTTTCTATTGCAGATTCTCCCAAGGTAAAATTGCAGGTTATCCTAGACGATTCACATGGCGATAACCAAACTTCAAGTAATATGATGATTGGACCCAACCCAATCGTAATAGAATCGGAACATCGTAACGTTACTCTACGGTGTGCCGTGAAACTAGAATCGGATCAAGAAAACATGGAAGATATAGAGAGTGATCAGTCTTTGAATTTGACATTTGTTCATTGGTATTGGAACGGCGTACAAATGCAGTTACCTAACTGTACTAAAGCCTCAGATTCAAATAGTTTTAACAGCGAACCATTTGAAATCGAACACACCGAGGGGAATACTGATTTTGATGTTTCACAAGAAAACGATAATGCTATGAATGTTAACTACTATACCGATGCACGCGAAGGAGATCCAGATTACGACTCGATCAATGTTGATAACGAAACCAAGAAACGCAATAGAAAACTAAGAAAAATAGTATGCACCGAGAGAGAACTTATTTTAGTAAATGTCACGAAAAATATACACGGAAATTATTCATGCCGAGCTCGAAACGCAGCTGGTCTTCTTACTACAATGTCTGATCAGACACCTCTTATTGTTTACTGTAAGTGTGTTTCGGTATATTTATAGGTATAGGCTATTAGCCGTAGGATAATTTATAAGCTGATTAAAAATAAAATAAAGAAACATTAACACATTTAAAATTGAAAACTGTCATCAAATTTGTTTGGTTAATTAATGTACCTGTACAGTCCTGCATAATCATATTGACCTATCATATAGAATGGCCCGAATGACTTTTGATGAACAATTGATAATCCCATTATTATAAAATTATATTTATTGAAATAATTTATTGTTCAATTACAGTGTTAATTTAGTAATTAAATTTTAATTTTTTTTAAATTTATTATAAATTATTTAAAAACTCGAAAATGATGTTGGAAATAAAATATTAAATAAGACAAAAAATCTATTTACAATTGCTATTGTTATTAAATATTATTATACTTATCAAAAGGGTAAACGGTAAAAAAATGAATAAAACAAAATTTAATTTATAATAGATATAATAATTATTATAACCAATATAAAATGTTACAATAATTCTCTATAATTTTAATACGTGACGATAACATTATATTTTTGAGTTGGCATTTGAACTTTTATTATATAATTATTGTACTATACGTATACACAATTTTACGTTTAATAATTGTTTTATAAAATAATTTTGACATTTTTAAATTTATTGTTAGGCATAAAAAAATGTATAATATAAATTAATAATATATTCCAATTTTATAGTTGCTCCAGGGCCAGTAACATTGGAATTTAATCCGGCACTAGTCATCAAAGACAGAAATGTCACTTTGCGCTGTAACGCACAATACCTTGGTCGGCCACAACATCCTACCCGTTACTCTTGGTACCGTAACGGACATCCGATATATCATCAAAATCAAGGAATGACAAATTCTGGAACCGGAAGCATTTCTATTTCGAGTGGAAACATCGGCGCGGGCAATTTCAATCCCGAATGGTTTATCGAACACGTTTCGTTGGAAACCCATGCTAATTTTACATGTTCCGCATGGAACGAGGGCGGAATCACATACTCCGAACCCGTATCTATTGAAGTCAAAGGTAATATTGATCGAAAAATCAAAATATAATAAGCTGTATTTTACCAAAAACTAAGAAAAAAGATTGACTAAAATTACATCATGTGGCCTATAAACAATTTAATCGTTTGCAGCTCCTCCAAAATACATTACTGGACCTCCGCAATACTTGGGCGTTGCTTTTAATGCAACACACGTCAACGCTTCTTGCACCGTAGAATGTTCTCCTACTTGTTCCGTGTATTGGCTACGACGGGGTGTCCTCATCGATCCCATTAATAACGAATACGATAGACAAAGGTAAAACGTATATCTGTTCTTGTAACGCTATAAATTATACGTCGCAAAGGCAGTAATAACAATTTTAAATCCGCGGCGAAATTTTAATTTGTTGTACCCATATATTGTTTAATTATTTTATGGAGAGTTTTAAAGAATCTTATAATTTTTTTTAGATACGTGATACTGATCGAAACCGTAAACGAGACACGGACGAAAAACGATTTCGAGGCAGTGCGCAGCACGTTAATATGGCGTATGGAGAATTGGCCCGGAGGTATGGGTTTGGATCCAATAACAGATTCCACGGAATACAGTTGCCGGAGCAGTGGCAACGAAGTCGGACCGCCGGTTGACGAAACAATAATGAATTTCTCTGTCGAATGTATGACGAATAAATACAATTTCTTTTTTTTATCAACTCCGTGCTCGAGTGGAAAATATATTTTAATATTTGACATTTTTTTTTTCTGTTCGTTACAGACCCCCCCGGAAACATGACCGTATCCAAATCAATCGTGCACGTCAACGAAGGCAACATACCCGAAAAGGTATTTTGCCACGCCGAAGGTCGCCCCCTACCGTTTTTCGAATGGCGGTTCGCGACGATCACAAACAACTGGAAGGTCTCCGGGAATAACGCTACTCTCTCGCCCACGCAACAGAAACTTTTGGTTTCCAGCATCAACGGCGGGGTCGATACCAGCGTCGGAAGCATTTCGGGAGGCAGCAGCCAAACCAACAACCAACAATTAGCGTTGAATGCAGCCGTGACCAGACAACAGGCCGGCTATTACGCTTGCATTGCCCGCAACACACACGGAAATGGCACTGCCTACACTTACCTGGACGTCATGTGTAAGTTGAGACTTACAAACGCCGTGTGTAACCCCCCCCCCCTCCCCACTGAGTATTTTACATTCTGAGTGGGGCGACGAATGTATTGGATTTATAATGATATGTTTACATGTATATATTTTTTTTTTATCTGTGAACAAATTTTCTACTAGCAATTACACTCCGATACACAATGATAGCTTTTTTTCGTATATACGAGTAGTGTAATCGAAATCCCATAATTTAAACCGGTGTTTTAGAGAATTTGTACTTATATCAAAAAGGATTATTAGAATAGGTACTAAAATGACACGCCCAACTACAAATTTTAAATTACTGGTTTCTAATATTGTTTCGTTATAACTATTCTAAGCCAATAATTTCTATCATTATTATTATTATAGACAAACCAAGTTGCCAGCTCAGATTGATGACAGTAGACCAACTTAAACAGGAAACAACCAACGGGGTGGAACAAGCCTCCGAATCTGGAACAGAAGATTTGAACACAATTTTATCATCATACTCCGGTGAAAAGAGAGTTCTAGTGTGCACAGCTACCGCTAATCCGAGTCAAGTACAATACACGTGGACTGTTAGAAACTCGGGTCGCCAGAACGATACATCAACTCCATCGTCTTTAACATCTGATTCTCCAGCTTCTGATAGAATAATCACCGTCGCAATGAGATCGACCAAAGACGGTTCAACAGACATGGACAGTGCCGAAAGTTGGAATCAAAGCGTATTAATATTACACGACATTCTTGAGGTACCCGACGACGAGAACGACAATGACAATGAGGAAAACGGAAAAAGTAACGACAACGCACCGAATAAACCAGCAGAAGGCGTCAGAACATACGTGTGCACAGTGAACAACACTGTTGGTTGGGACCAATGCACTATTCAAGTACAAGGTAAAAATATTATTATTATACTAGAGCTCGGAATTGTATTCACTAAAAAATATTATATGGTTAATATGCTTCCGAAAATGTATATTTATGCATAAAATTCAATTAAATAATTTAAAATTTTCAATTTGTATTCATCGCATGCATTTATTACGTTTTCCAAGTTTCCAAAGAATTAATTTAGCTAATAGATGCTCGTGAAATGTGATCTGTACGTTTAAGTTAAAATTTGAATCCGTTATAATAATGTTAATAATATTATATAATGTGTTTCATTTTTTTTTTTTTTTTTTGTACTAGCTATCAGTGAAAGTGAGTCTCACAATATAGTATACTATAATATTTACTAATTTATACTTACTATTATATTTATATAGCATTATTTTGAAAATACTACAATTTGATTATGATATTTATAATTATTCGAAAATGTTCTTCCACTTTTCTACATTACAGTTATTATTGTTTTTTATTTTCGTTTGCTAAAAAAAAAAAAAAAAACGATATGGTTAATATTTTACGTTGACGTCCGAAACAGATGACGCTCCTTGGTGGAAACAGTTTTTGGTGACCATCGGCTTGGGCGGATTACCCGTAATGGTCGTATTGGTCGGCTTGGTGGTCATTTTGCTAATCATCGTCATCATAATCATTGTTATTCTGTTGCTGTTCGTTTGCAAAAACCGATACTTTAAACCCGGGAACAGCGCGAACGGAGGACGTCAAAAATGTAAGTGGTTAACGTTAAAAAAATAATGCAATACTGTGTAACGAACTACCTAGTTTAATGTTAACGGAAGCTTTTAAAGACGTCGCGTACAAAATGAAAGGTATCGAACTAATAACGTTTTTGATGTTATAGTCAACTATATAATAATTATTATAGCATCGTTTGTAATGTGCGTGTATTGTTCCGTCCGTTTTATTTTACGTAGAATATTATAATATAATTAGATTGATTTATTCTAGATTCTGAGCGGAGTGCGGAATGTATTGATTTTACAATGATGTTTATTATTTTCTTTATGGACATCTTATTTTTCTACTAGCAATTTTGCTTTGATTTTCTACGATATCACTTTTTCTGAAAAGAAATCAGACTGGGGAGGTATTTTGGAGAGGTCATTTATTGATTTTCCCATAAGTTTCCTCAATAAATGGGGAAAACCGTAGGAAAAAGGGGAAAACAGGTACGATATTTAGCAAATATATTGTTAAAGAAAATATAATATAACGTATGTGTAATTGTTTTACTATAACATGACATATATTATATTGTTGATAAAACAATAACACTTAACCGAATTCCGCTCAGAATCGTTTTTTGCGTTAGCAATGGTTTTTATTTTTTGCATTGAGCATTGGGCTTTGTTATTGTATTTCGTTTCTGTTTTGATTTTTGTTTTTTTTTTATTTAATGTATAGATGTTAAACAAAAATATCCTTCACTGACGGCGTGTAGGGTACCGGTCGTTTGGCGCCGGCAACGAGGCCGCGACTCGCTATTAAACGTATCGAAAGTACGGCAAAAGTGAGTATAATATTGCGGTTAATGTTGAACACTGCGGACGCGGGTCGTTAATTGGTACGCTATCGCTAGCACTTACAAAACTCACTGGTTTTTTTTTTTTTTTCTTTTTTTTATATACATATATATTATTTATCGATTATTCTTCTTCTTCTTCGGAACGTGATAATATAAGTATTACATGTTTTGGTGGCGGACGACAATAACCTTTTGTTTTCTATGCACTTAATAATATACCTGCAGTACTCGACACGTTTCGCGCTATTTTTCTGCATCGCGGTACAGGGACACGGACACCGGCAGATATTATATGTATGTTACAATACCGGCTATACAATCGCTACAAGCAGTCGCAGCTGATCGCTTATGAACATTTTTTTTTTTTTTTAAAAAACACTATTTGAATATGCAAAGGCGTGGCTACGGGTTGTGCAGGGCTCGCTGTGCGCCCTGCAGTGAGTCGTGTCAATAAGATTCTTAAATCAGAAATTATATACAATGAAATCATATTATAGTTATGAACAATAACCGAACTGGTTTAGTAATATTATTATGTGCGATACTATATTACGTGTTATCACTTATTGTTATCAAATCGAAGACGAATTAAAGTTGAAAAACGTTTGGCGAAAGCACTCGCGGGCGTCTTGAAAAAGGTTCCACGACAAAAGCTGGCCAAAAAAAATAATCGAAATAGCATGAGATAGTTTCTCGGATGTATTTAAAACGCTTTCAATTTTTGTGACAATATACATGTCACAAGCTGCTCCGCCGGGCGGAAAATTCCTAAATCGAATATCGTGAAAATAAAATTTGAGAGTGATATGACACGAGAAAGTCTCGACTCAAGTTATCGTTATGAATTCTGCGGAACGGACATCTTGGTACCGAAATTAACTGCGATGAAGTCGTCGAAGGTTATTAAAACCAAACATTTAAACGACCACTGGGCCGTTTAGAATATTATCAAATATAAAGCGCGATTCAAATATTACTTTAAAACAGAAATTAGATTTATATAGATCCCCAGGGAATTATGTGGCCTGCAAGGTGACAATTTCATCGAAACAAAATCGGGGGGTGCGTGAGATCTAATTACAGGCGATAAATGATATCACGGGTGTCTACGAACAAAAAAAAAAAAAATATAGATTAGCGAGCGGTGTACGGAGAAAGAAAGTTTGGGACCCTATGCTTTAAAGCAATTAGTTTTTTTTTAAGATTTTGGAGAAATCGTACGGGGTTTAAGGGGCGGGTGTGAGCACTTTCTACGCAAATTGCCTAGCCACGCCTATGTGTATAAATATACGTGTACACGCGTAATGTTATAATTACGCCCGTTTGGCCGAGTATTCTTTGTAACGTTTGTACCTGTATACTGAATTGTAGTCCCGAAGGGAGTGCCACGTCTTCGCCGTCTCATCCCGCCGATCCCGCGAACCCGCACCAGCGCAGTCCCGAACGATCCGAGAATACCGCGGCGGGCACGCCGAAACCGCCGCCCGGATACGGCGACGATCTCGGCGGCGGCGACCCGACCGAATCGTTTTCCAATCAGCAGACCACGGCGAACGCCGTGGGAAAATGGCCGCTGAAACCCGGCGTGCTGGTGCATTCCAAACAGCAGCTGCTCAAACCGCAATCGGCCGCGGCCGTTTCTCCGCGGGCGAACGGCGCGGCCGCGAAAACCGATGCCAACGAAAGCGATAAGCCGAAATCGAAAAAAACCAACGGCGGCGTTTGTAAATCGAAATCGCCGGCCGACGGTATTGTGTTGACCAACGAAACGCAATCGGAGCGCGCGGCGCGCATCCGCCGCATGATGATCGGATCCAATAACAACTTGTCGAAGAAACCGGCGCCCATGACGCCTCCCCCCGCGCCGCCTATTCGGCAAAATCCAGACAACGTCGTCGCGGGGAATTACGCTTCCGTAACAGGTAGACAAAAAGAACTAAATGTGTAATCTCTCGGGGTTATCATCATTTCGTTTCGCAAATTTATCTATCTATCGGTGTCATTGTAAAACTATATGTGTATGTATATTATCATAATGTCGCGTTGGACAGTGGCGTAGTTCCGGAGGGCGGGGAACCGAACTCTTAAAAAATACAAAAAAACGCGAGTGACAGAGCTGCCGTCACTATATAGAGTCGAATTTCCCCCCAGCTGACTTATTGTTACAAAATAGCCAATGTGTTTTTTTTTTTTTTTTTTTTTGTGTACATAATGATAAGGGATTGAACAAAGAAGTTTTGCCAAAAATCAAAATACGTAAAGTAGGGTTAGCACTCGAGATTTTTGATAATACATAAACAGACGGCGGGGTCGACAGTCGGAAGTTTATTAAACCTTCTAAAGGCACGTATCCTTGACAACAATAATCTATATTTATGTGTACAAATTTTAACGGAGTTTCATTCGTTTCAAGTCTGAGAGTGAATTCAAAATCTGATATTTCCCGCGGAAACCATAAGGAAGAGCATAAAAATGGTCGGAGAAGGGGTTGACATTTGAAATTTGATACTTATACCACGCGTGTACAAAACAATTCGCCCTCCCGGCTTCATTTAGGAGGTCTGTAGAGGCGTACAAATCAAAAAAACAACGCTTCTCCCGCAACAACTTGCCGAAGTTCATAACGAAAATTCAACCGAAATTTTATCACTCTAATCCGCTCGTAAAAAAACTCAAATTTCCCAAGGTTGAGCTCTTTTAGACCGGAGGAAGCCGCTAAATGTACCCGGAAAAAGATATATAATATTACAGTTTCAATTCAGTGCAATTTTCTCCATATTCAGGTAAAATTCGACAAAAATCCAATTATTTATGATGAAAAAGTAATTATATTATATACTCTATAAACGACTCTGAACTCCTCTCAATTTATATCGTTTGGGACTAGGGTTTCGTCTTTGTTCCCGTCGTATCGATCACATCACGTGCGAAGTTTACGAAACTCTCGGTTTTTGTTAATAAGAGAATAGCTGTCGAATTCAAACTGACAAACTCGCTCAAGACCCTGTATTATTGTACCCTAATTAGACCAATACTTGAATACGGCTCGGTTGTATAGGACCCACGTGGCGTAAACGACAGCCATCAAACTCGAGTGGGTTCGCAAAAAACGCCTAAACTCTGCGCGCCATAAATTAAAAATGAATCGCCCTCCACGTGACTGTACCCCTCTTAATCCAGCCCCACTATTTACGACCGTCGTCACTCCCGTGACTTAACCTTTCTTTATGACTTCATTGTCTACCTCTCTATAGTTGATCGCTCGTCAACTTTAAAACACCCTTACATCCCACTCGTCAAATCACGTAATTTTTCATTTTACAATGCACAACTGTTTAGTAAATTAACTCTCAACTGTACAACGAAACTCGTAAATTAAGACACATCTTTCTCTATAGGAATTAACGCTCATAATACGTTTAATATTGCATACTTATCGATCAAATCAGTATCTCGGACTACGTTGATACGTTTGCGGCAGATAATAATAGACGCGCGAGCTTTTAAATATTCTAAAACTTAAAAAAAAATTGATCGCACAAAACAAACATTTTATTTCGGTTTATAATTTTTAAATAAATACATAAAACGCAGCGTACACTAACGGTAGAATTTGCGTGTATCCTTATTTTTACGTATTTTGTTTTTTTTTTTTCTTTACATTTTCAATATGAAAAGTTTTCATTTTCGACTCAGAGTTCCTGACTACCCCACTGTCTACATACAACCGATATTATAACCGTATATTTCTAATGGGAAACAAACAAAGTTCCTTTTGTATGGTTTTTAAGTTTCGAAAATTATTTATTTTTCCGTTTAGAAACATCATTATTATAACGCACTCAACAACGCGACAAATTTGACATTTTCTACTTAAGCGATTGTGTAAACAACGTAATATTTTAAATTAATTTTCTCGTGGTAAACATTCGGGCGTAAAAATATAGAAGTTCTCCGTAAAACAATACACCATCTTAATACTGGTTTTAAAATAAAATATTCTCGAATAATTCATTTTACGGTTTCTCGTCACTCTCGAGCCTTATTTTATGGTTATACCTATACCTGTTGGTTTCAAAATAATTATAATTACATATAAATATGTCGCGTAAACGAATTTTTTTTATATAACACCAGCTCCATCCCCAAACCTTCTATTCTGTATAGGATATTAATGTCTTATTATTAAGGATAATTTACGTAATATTTGTTATAATATATTATTATAGTTTCTACATTATGGTATTATTATCCGTTACGTTGCTACGATAGTATGATGTTTTAGCGTACCGTGTTATATTTTATACTGTTTTTATTATTTATTATTATTGTATATACAACATTATATACCGTGTGTTTATTTATTCGTTCAAACGCTGTGATTGTTATTTATTATTGTAATAATATCGTAGACTATAACGTCTGCGGCGTTTATATTGTAACCGAAAAAACAGAAATATAAAAATAAAAAAAAAACATGAAAACAATAATTCCTCGGTGAGTTTCCGACTGAGTACTAACGGATATCGAGTCTTGTGTCCGGTTATTGGGCCGCGCGGTATGTATAGGTAAATATTATAATAATACTAACCGACTAATTAGTATACGTAGACGGTAGACGTTGTTTGCGCGTTTGCGTTTGTGTCGTTTTTCGTCCGACAAGTAATAGTAAAAAAATAACAAGTAATATTATAATACACGGACGTGACCGTATATGGACGACGGTCTTCGCCGACGATAAGCACGCAAGTATTCGTAGAAGATATAAATTAGATTTTCTTTATTTTTTTTTTTTTTATTTTATTTTTAAAAACGACAAAACGAAAAAACTCGTCCAGAAGTTAACAAACAAAGAAAAAAACACCGCCAAACCCGGTAATAATTATTATTTCACGCGTGTACGGACCCCGGATTTAAACGGCGTCGCTGTTATCGCCGATACGCCGTGACGTGCAGATTATCGCGATTTATCGTAATTTAAATTATTCGTGTTTTTTCGTTTGTATTTGTAGACACCCGAGGCAGAGCCGGACAACAACAGGACAACGATTCGAACTTGGGGACGACCGGCGAAACGAAAGCCGCGTTCTACGAGAATTTACCGTTCCACGGGATGCGACCGCCGCCCGATCAGGTGAGAAAAAGGATTTTCGTATTTTTGATTAGCGACGAATATTGTCAGTGGCGCGCAGAGGAATTCCGAAAGCAGCGCGTGCAGTGAATCTCGCTACGCTCCGCAATACATTCTACCCGAGAAGACGTTAGCTGTCTTTGAGACAGTGGCGTGCGCAGGAGGGAGCGCAGAATAGGGGTTATGCATCCTCCTTAAAACCGGAACACAAATACGAGTAAATTCTAACGTTGAAATGCATATAATTCGGCCGCGTTACGAGGAAAAGCTATTATTGATCAGAAATTGACTTTCATTAGAATCCGGCTTTCAAACTATCGCGGTTCCCACAGTCGGGACGGGCACAGAGAAGACGATTTTGCAATTTATTCACGATTCTTGTTTGCTACGTCCCCTGCTCCCGTTGAAAATTCCCGGGCTCGCTTCGAGACTATTTCGCGTAAAATAATTTAACGTGCGAACGCTGTTGCCGTTTAAAGCTCCGTGCACGAATCTGAAATGTAATAAATGTCCGAGTTAAAATAACAACAACGACGCACCCAGAGTGTGTTGCAGTATTGGAATCTGGGCGCCACTGAACAACAATAATAATTTGCGAGTTTTAAGTACACATAAATCCGATCCCTAGATTATATTATACACCAAACTGTTAGCGTATACGACCGCGGTCGTGATTATCGTTGTTGTTATTATTATTTTTGTTTGAACAATGCATGCGCTGAACAAACAATAATTTTTGTTCGTTTGGCTTTGTTATTAGTTTTATTTTTTTATTTTTTTTTTTTTTTTATTGTTTTGTATATGCGTGTGCGTGTATTGTTGTCTGCGAATTATGATTTGTTTACCCCTTGCCGATAATATCGAAAAATCATCAGTCGCCCGCCACGTGCCCACGCGTAAGTAGTAACGATAGTGCCGCCGGTGTCAATAAGCCGCCGTGTCCTCTGCCGAAACCCTCAGCGGCCGGTACGCCGGCGCCGTTGCTCTCGTCGCTGATCCACCGGTCGCCGAACGGCGGCTACGTGTCGCTGTTGCGCCGTGCCGTTTTGGCCGCGGACGACGCGGTCCGGTTCAATTCGCTCCAGAGACCGGGCCGGGGAACGCCGGACGCGTCGCAGCGGTCCGTCCATCAATTCCGATCGATGAGAAGCGTTAGCAGCATCAAAAGCAACCGCGATAATAACGGGGAGACCGCGAAAACCGTCGGCCGTCGCGCGTCCGCGGCATCGGCCCGGGATAACAACAACAACAACAACAACAACAACAACAACAACGATCGGCGAGACTTACTCGAGCGGCCGAATAACAACGCCCACAACAGCGGCGATAATGGCGAGCCGATTACGCCGGCGGCGGAACGTAACAGGAACGCGAGCGAGGAGACCGGCCAGCAACGGAAAGACGTCGCCGGACCCGCGCTTCCCAAACCGGCACCGAGGACGCGGATACCTTCGGCTACGGTGGCGCCGCCGGCGTTGGCCCACCGCGACACTTACGCGAACCTGCAGCAGCTGTTGAACGGTGACAATAAAGACGATAGTAATATGATTGCCGACAAAAAGGTATGTAACGGTCCCGACGGTCGCTTGTGTCGCTAATAATAACCGCACTTGCCGGCAATATCGATATTGTTATACGCTTATACGCCGTCGCCGTGTACCGTACGGTTTCTAATCCCGGGCGTACGAACTTGGCAGAGAAACGTGTGTTCAAACGTTCCGTGATTTTTTTTTTTTTTTCCATCCGTAAATCGGCCGAGCGGTGCGTCCCGCAATATATCCCGCGCATAGTATACTCGGGACACGCAGTGCGTCCCGAGCATCTGTATGACCGACCGTTGCTAACGAAAAACGATTCTGGGCGGCGTTCGATTGATGTAGCGTTGTTGCATTGTCGATAGTAATTTCCCGGTTTTCCGTGTTATCACGGAAACGTCTGGGGAAATAAAAACAAACTACCTCCCTAAAGTACCGCCCCGGTTAGGTTTCCTTTCGGGAAAAGTTGTTTACAGATGAAAAAAAAAAAACAACAACAAATATCGTTACAAAACCAATATATTCTCGCTTCGCTCGGAATCTAAATGTTGCGACTAAATGGGAGAGATCTAATCGAGAGATTCGTTACCGTTTGAATGAGCGTACCGCGTTGCGTAGCGTTTTATTGCGATGTTCGAATAATAATAATAATTTGAAGCGTCCCAACGAGTCCGTGCTTATGCATATTATAATACACGTGATACGTATACGCATTTTCGTCGGAATGTTTTCTCGCCGAAATCATTATAAAGTCGCTCAGTTAGCCCGTGCCCGGGGGCACGACGACAATATCGGAACGCGATTCTTATGCGCAAAATATTAGCAAAGGTCCGCGACAAAATACGCGTGGGGCGCACAAGTGTATAATGTCTAAAAAACACTTTTTTCGGCCAAGTTCGTCGTGAATAAAGTCCTATTAACGCTGTACACGGTTTTCGATATTTTTATTTTTTTTTTTTTTTTCGTTATTATTATTATTATTTCTTAGAACAGTATACGCTTGCAAATTGTACCGATTAACAAAATAACAATAACACTTTACTAACATCGCAATTGTGTGTGTGTGTGTGTGTGTGTGCGTGTGTGATTAACAGCTACCCGGAGTCGGGATCGGAGCACGGAGCCTGGACGAATTTTACCGCATGCAAATACAACAACACGAGTCGCTTTACCACCGAGTCACCGAGGACGAAGCGGCGATAGCGCTGTCCGCCGGATATTCGATGCCCATCGACGGCACGCGGTCCGCCGGTTCGCAGCACCATCGTCAGCAGTCCATCGAAATGACGCAGTTCGAGACGACCGCGGGCGGCAGGGGGTCCAACGGCGACATAGTATTGGAATCGTATCAGAAACCTAGGAAACACCATCAGCACCGTAACGCTCACCGGACGATGTGCGACGAGGACTACGACGCCGAGGACGACATCGACGTAGGCATCAGACTGCAGTCGATGGTCGGCGCCGGGACGATGGGCAGACGTCGCCGCGCGGCGAGTCAACAAGTTCTCGGCGGCGGGGGCTATACCGGGGGCAACAACGGTCGCCAGTACCATCACCACCATCAGCAATACGGCATGACCGCCAGGAGACGTAACAACATCAAGGGCGGCGTCGAATGCTTGTCCAACGGGCAGCCGGCGGCGGGAGCGGCGTCTAATACGCCCAGCAATTACAATACCGTCGGCGGCGGTAGCGTGGGGTACTACGCGGCCGAGGTTTACGCCACCATGGAGTCGCGTCAACAGCAAGCAAAACAACAACAGCAGCAACAACAACAACAGCAGCAGCAACAACAGCAACAACAACAGCAACAACAGCAACAACAGCAACAGCAGCAGCAGCAGCAGCGTTCCTACTTGGGCCGCGGCGACAGCGGCGACCACCTCGCCGTTTCCACGGACATGGTCGAAAACACACTGGCCGCCAAACGTTCTTGGCGACGGCAACAGAACCGTCGCCGTAGGGACGCCGGCGGCGGCGTGTCCGCCATGGTTTCCGGTTTCGAAGCGGACGCCGGTCCGTCGTCGGTACGCCCGGCGTCGGATTACGCGTCGTCGGCGATGGACGCCGTCATCGGCGGCCGGATCGGCATGAACACCGAGGACCCGTTGGACGGCGGCAGATACCGCGGCGCGATCACCGCGACCACGCAGCTGGAACACCACCACCGGTCTTGGCAGAAAGCCGACGACCTGGGCAGCCACCCGTTAGCGGACGGGCCTATGCCCGCGGCGGCGTCGGCCGGGCTGTCCGCCGACCAATCCGCGGTCAACGGCACCGGCGCCGGTAACTCGAACGGCAACAACAGCGGCAGCGCGAACAAAAACGTCGTGAAATTCCACGACGTGGGCCGCGAGATCGACGTGTAGACGCCGCGAACCCCGGCAGTAGTGTAACATTAGAGTAGTGTTTAAATACCGACGTCTCCGCGTAATAGAAGGTACAGCTAACGTATAGTCGTCCGCGATCGCGGTACAAGTAGGTGCGACGCGAGATCGCGCGCCGTCCGCTCGCATTATTCCCGATCGCATAACCGCGTAATAACCGCTGTAACCCGCTATAACCCGTGTGCGTTTTTTTTTTTTTTTATTGGTTTTCAACGTCTAACGCGCGGACACCAACGGAGAAACGGATGGGCAGCCCGGAACGCACGTCAGGCGGCGTCCCGGCGGACGCGCGGATAAACCAGACATCACCAGGATGGCGCGCATCGTTTCTTTTGCGTTTCCGCCTTGGAATAACACTGTATCCGCCGCCGCCCGTCGGAACGCCGACGGGTTCCGGGCGCGTACCTATCCGCGTCTTCGTCGTCCGCGGTCTAACACCGTCCGACAAACGGAAACAACAGCAACAACAACGGTCCGACATACGCGGTTCGCTGACACCGTGGCCCGGCGGAACGCGACGACGAACGCGTCCGTGTCACACCGGGTGCGTTTCGCCATCATTTCAATAACGCGTGCCGTGTGTGTGTTGTTTTCAGCCGTACAAACCGCCGGCGGCCAGCGGATACGCGGAGAGCGGTAGCGACTTGGAGTACGCGGACGTGGACTACCGTAATATCTATTACGGACCGATCAATTACAAACAGTCGTCTTGAACTACTGTGCGTAACGCGGTCGCGCGACTCGTTGAAATTGAGAAGGAGAAAAAAACAAAAAAAAAAAACAAAAAAAAAAATGTCCAAACAACGTTTTTGTTCCGCACGTCCCCACCCCCACCCCCTTCTACTATATCTATATCATAAAAAAAAACCCCACTATACACATACACACACACACACACACACACACTATTATTTATAACAATATGCATTTTAAACCCTTATTAATACGACGCGACGTGTCTCGCGCGTGTCTATGTGTTACGTTTATGTACACGGAGATACTTTTGTGTAACGTGTGTGACCGATCACGGGCGTGCTAGCGACGACGGTAGGACGGGGTCGTTGTGTTCGGGGCATCACAACCGTCCCCACTTCGCCCCGTTTGGCAGTGTTTTTTATTTATTTTTTTTTTTTTTCGGATCGGTTCAAATCGCACGGTAACCCTCCGCCCGTTCCGGTAAAGCGGAGGAGTGCGTCCGTTTCAAAAAAATAAAAGAAAAAAAAAAAAATGGAAAAAAAGATGAAAATCCGAGAGCACGCCGCCGCAGTGACCCGCGCGCGCGAGACCGTTTCTCTAAATAATATATCGTCGACACACACACACACACAAACATACGCACACACACACACACACACAGGGTATATATATATAAATATAACAATTATAATTAATAAACACGATTCGATCGATTATAATATAATTATATAATTATTATATACACACCTCGTGCAGCACGCCGCGATATTCTGTCGCGTACATTACGTCTTTCTCTAGTACGATACCGTGTAGATAACTCGCACTCAATAATCCTTCGCTCGTCCGGAATGCAATTCTCGCGTAACGTCACCCCGTATGTTTCGCCCGAGTCCCCCCCCCCCTCCCCGTAGTATTTTATTAAAACGCGATCAAATCAAACCGATTACCCGCCCCCGCAGAAAAAAAAAAAAAAAAAAAAAAAAAAAAACACGACCCGGTTTTATTTCTCGTATAATATGTATATGTATGGTGGGGAGGGGGAGGGAGAGAGAGCACCCGGTACGCGCGCGGTTCGACGTAACGATTAATTGTGCGCGCCCACGTGTCCGACCGTCACCGAATCGGTTCCCGCGTGAACCGGGGCGAACACGTCCGCGTCGTTGAATCCCCCGCGGCACGGTAAAAATGTTCAAGCGGACGGTTGACGGCGTGTCGGCATTCCGCAACAAAATCGATCGCACCGGACTTCCGGGAGCCGATTACAATGTGTCCCCGTCGCCGGTATGTTTCACTTTACACGTATTGCGCCATCGGCCAACGCGCTTTATCCGAACGTACCGATCTGCGAAATGCGGCATTTCGTTATTGCCGGGTTCTCTCTCCTCTCTCTCTCTCTCTCACTCTATATATATATATATTTATATGATATCACGACCTACCTAATCCCGTATTAAAAAAAAAACGAAAAAACAAAAAAAAAAAAAATTATTATCGAAATTATCTATCGTCAATGTAATTTACTCTATTTCATATCTTCTTGTATAAAAAAAAAAAAAAAAAAAATTATACTTATATGTATATTGATTTGATGTTACCTATCTAATATATATTACATACAAATTATAATTAATAGTAATAATAATAACGTTGTGCCCGTGTAGCCGGTCGCTCGTCTGCGTTACCGCAGTCGTATACAATTGGACACTCGTCTGTACTCTGAAAAACGAAAAAAAAAATCCTATAACCCCGTGCCGTTTACATTAAAACAACACGATAACAATATTATAGTTTTTTTGTCGTTTAGTTTTTTTTTTTCTTTTTTTCCGAATACTATTGCGTTCCGCCGACAAGTAGTACTTGGACATTTTAAACTCGCCGAAAATTAACGACGAACAACAGTGTCGTTTCCACCCGTGCGCGCCCTGCCACAATAACGGTATCACGAGCGTCGCAACCGGGATTCATCAACGGACGGAGGGGGTTACGACACCCGAACCTCCCCTCACTGGCCTTGCAATTGTACCGTACTATAATCGTCGGCGTATATACGTTACGTATTACGTTGTTCGCGGCAGAACGGCGGCAATATAACCGCTCCGCCCCTCGCCCGCCCCCCGCAAAAAAAAAAAAAAAACTATACACTCGATAATATTACTCGTTCCGTAGTGCGTTTAAATGCAATATAATAATTTTTCCCCCCAATCGCGTTCATCGCGCACCGACGGCGTTACGGCGATACAATTGTTATTATTATTATTATTAAGGAAATTATACATTAATTTCGGTAGTGAACATTATTATATCGTATACCTATATTAATAACGATATAAACCGTAGTGGATAAAAAAAAAAAAAAAAAAAAATTTAACGAAAACGTAATAGACGTACTACTAAATATTAATTATAATTATATTATCATTATTATTATTATTATTATTATTACTATTATTACTATTATTACTATTATTATGGTATTTTACACGCGTGGCAGTAATAATGCGTACGAGTTTTTTTTGTTTTTTGCGGGCGGTTTTCCGTTACGGTGTCACGAAAAATAATACGTACAGCCCGTAGCGGCAGGTCCCGACGGGTTTCGACGGACAACGCGCGTTATAATTGTTGTCATTGTCACGCGCGACAAACGCCGTACCGTACGCGAGGCGCGTGCACCGAACGGGAAACCGTCCCGCGTCAGTAAAAAACGTATATTTTTAACGTTTTTTTTTTTTTTTTATTATTATTATATGTCTGCCCGTACTGCAGTCGCACGGCCGTAACGTTTCGCCCGCCGCGCGTTCGCGTTCGCCATCATCGACCGTCTCGAACGTTGCGAATCGTTTCGTTTTCGGGTACCCCCCCTCATCTCCCCCCTAACCGTCCCGCGGGGCGTCTGTTTGAACGCCGCGCGTATTTACCACCCGTCCGCGCGCGGCCGAACCGGTTTCGAATGCGCGCCGTCCGACAAACGCGGGCCGCGGCAATCGTCGCGCGAAAATATTATCGTTTCGCGATAATACGACAACGCTGTACGGCCCGTTCCCCCGGCCGCATTGCGTTTTTCGGCAAACGTCCGCGGACTTTCGGTTCGGTTTCTCTTTCGCCGCCGTCGCCGGGGAGGGGCGGGGTAGCCCGCGGCGACAATCACCCGCGGTCCGGTTACAACGATCAGGTGTACGGGCGCGCAGCGGGTCTCGGCGCGCGCCTCCGTAATGCATCGCGAACGCGTTCCCGCGACCCGCGCCACTGTCGACTCCCGCGTTCAAATAACACGCGAAACCGTCGTCCTCGTAATATTTTCGCCGAGCGAAACGCGAAACGCGACGACCGCGAGAACCCGAGAGGGAATACCGTGGGTTCGAATACGATCCGGGATCCAATATAAACGTACGGGGACGTACGTAAAAAGAAAAAAAACACCTCTAACACCGGGTTTTATAACGTAGATACGCCGACGGAGAAGAAAAATCACATCGAAATACACCTATTACGATCGCGTCTTTCTTATTTCTTTTTTTCCTTTTTTTTCCTTTTTTTTTTAACAGAATTTTTTCCAACTCGTTCCCAAATTCCCACAATATTCCCGTAACCGCCATCTTTATCGTTTTTTTTTTTTTTTACATTACAACAATAGGTAATAGACGTATTTTCACCGATCGTTTTTTTCGCCTCTCCATCCTCAATACGCAACCGCGCATCATTTATGTATTTCGTACACCCGTATACCTGGATAATTGGAAAAAATCGATTTTCTATAAAACGCGGCTTTCTACACCTGGGACACGCGGTCGTGCGCGCGATACGGGCCTTACATTATTATATTATACAAATAATCGTACACATAGGTATATGAATGTTATCACTTAATTATTATCGTAATTTTTAGACGAAAATATATCATAGATTATTATATTATATTAAACACGCGACGAATACGCGCATACGATATTATATTATATTACGCAAAAACTTTCAAATTCAAACAAACTCGTCTCCGACTCGCCGAGAAAAAAATATCGGTCTAATATGATACGCATAAAACAGGTACGCGACCGGACACACACATGATTATACGGACCTACCTGAACATTAAATACTATAGAATAACATGCAATAATAGGTACACTTAGATTTTTTTCCGCGGGAAAACATTTTACATCCGTTTTCGGTTTGTTAAATTAATCAATATCGTTCGGCGGTAATAGATTACGGCGCCGCCGTTCGTTTTTTTTTTTTAAATATATCTTACGTTTACCAGCGGTGTTTCCGTAGGGTGTACACTATACAATACAACCTGTAAATACTACGCCGCGTATCCTCAACGTTTTGCCGAAAAATCACGTGTACCCTGCGCACACTCTCAAATAGTCGACATTTTCATAACAATAATAATAATCAAAAAATTTTCATGACGTCGTGTAGTATTATCGTTGCTCGTACACTAACCGTCTTTGCCACCGAAACCGTAATATACAAATTGTATTTATTTCTATGATTAGAACTAAAAATTTACGATTTACAATAGTTATTTTTTTTTATTTTTTTTTTTTTAATTTTGAATGTTTTATTTCGGAAATTTTAATCTCGTTTTCTTATAATATCGATTTTTATTGCCCTGTGCACAGTAAAATCGGTACGTAAAATATCAAATACCCTGCGTAAGGCACGCGGCATGTTATAGTGTACTCTCGAAAAACTTTACGGGAGCTCGGCTAATGTTTTCCATTATAAATTGAAATTTAACTCGTTAATAAAAAAAAAACAAATAGAATAGCCGCGTATTTCCGATTACGTATTTGCTCTGTAGGTATCGTATTAGACTGAGGCCCGTTCTCACCAACATGAACGTTGATTTTTAAACGGAGTTTAGGAAACAATCGATCAACCGCGGGCGGTTATCGGCTATAAACTCAGTTTAAGAATCAGATAAACGGTTTTTTTTTTTTTTTTTTTATTGTTGTACGTTGGTGAGAACGGCCTTTAGAATATTTCCGAGCGAGCGTCTATGTCGGAAATGCATCGTGCATTATTATTGTGTTATACAATAGTACGTACCCGCGTCCGAAATCATAATATAATATCGTATCGCAGTAGAGAGAGAGACCGTTGGTTACCACCACCGTGTTTATTGTTTATTAATTTCGTTGACAATCACAATTATTAAAAAAAAAAAAAAAAAAGAAGCTTTTACGTTTACTTATTTTTTCATATCATATATATATATATATATATATATATATATATATATGGTATAATAATATAATATAACATAATATAAATGAATATTGAAACGCATACAACACAATATGATATTATAAAACCGCGCGCGTTTGTTGATTGTTATTATTATTATTATTATTATTATTGTCCCCGGTTATGTTTATTATCACTACCTACGGGCGTATACAGTGTGTTGTTGCCGTGTGTACAGTCGACTTTTTTACACCGTGCGCCTGTGTACACGTCATTATACAACAATATATAATATCGTTTGTCGATGAAGTATCGACCCCACTTTGCACTAACCCCGAACGCCTAACGTTGTTTTACGATATTTTACACGCATTTTACCCGTTGAAAAAGATTACAATATTATTATTTACTGCAGATACCGTTCTACCTATGCCCACATTATTATTAATATTGTTATATTATTTTGTATATTTTGTTTTTATTATTCATTATACTTTATCTATTTATTAGGTGCCTAGTGTACTTATTATACCTATAGTATAGTACAATGGGTGTAACACTGCAATCATTTATATTGTATACGTCTTTATTTATTATTTGTATCATTATTATTATTATTATTATTATTATTATTATTATTATTATTATTATTATTGTTGTATTATTTTGCATTTTTTACATTAACACGCGGCATTTGCGATTAATATATTATTATTATTATATTATATTATATTCGTAGATATATTGCGGTAATTGAAGGGTGGTGGAACCTCCGCCGTTTGTATTCTAGTCATTATTATATGATAAACAATATATATATATATATATATATATATTATAATATAAAAAAAAGAAAAAAATAATAAATTAATAATAATATTATGTTCTGTGTGTCCTTTATATTATATTTGACGGTATTTTGACGCTTATCGTGACAAAACGTTTTCAAGTGTTTTAGACATATTATAATAGACCATAATAAAATATATTAATATTTACTGTAATATTTTAACTTTTAAGTAGTTTATTATACTATTATTATACCTATCGATATATTATTATTATATACGTTTAAAACGTTTTTTTTTAGTATAGAATTTATTGTTATCATATAAAATGAAAAGTAATTTTTTTTTTTTAATATTTATGTGTATCTATAATAATATTATTGGTTATCTATGACGATGATAATTTTTGTTTCGATGATAATAAAAAAAAGTGTGAGAAACACAAAATATAAGTATTATTATTTTTAAGCAATGTCCGGTGCGTATGTAGTATGAGCAAACTGTATCATACATTTTTACCATTGATCCTGCTCTGTGTGCTCAGCTGCGTACAAAACGATATTAATTCAAATTGTTAGGGGATAAAACCTAAAATTGTCCATATACAAATAATTTCCGGGGAGGGATTACGTTCTCGTGTGTACGTACTTGATTCCAAAATAAATTATAATTTATTCTGTATATTTACTCTGTACTGATAATAACTACAAGTCTAGTACTGATCAGTGATGAACATTGAGCACTTAATCCAGATTAATTCAAATATCGGATTACCAACTGATCCCGAAATCGTACAAATTTCACTAATGCCCGGGCAAAACGTTAAATGTCCACGATACTTAGGTTTTTTTCCCGGCAAATCTATGTATAGTATAGTGACTAACATCAATTGGATAAAACTTTAATGTTCAAATGTCCATACATTTCAATTTTTCATATTTCTGAGATTTGCCGGATTTCGGCTTTTAATCGTAATATATACTGGGTGATCCATTTAAGTAGATACACTCATTATCTCGGAAAGTATTAACTTTTTCCGGAATTTGTTTTTTTACAACATTTGAGAAACAAACTACTCTACAATTTTATATTTATGTTGATTTCGATCACCCTTTTTTTTGGTGGTAAAACCATTAACTACTTTTGATTTTAAAATGACAACCTATATTAAAAATTACACAAATAGATATAGTATTAGTTAAAATAAATTTCGACGTTGAGATTTTTGATTTCTGTCAAGTTGTTTACGAGATATTCCACTTTTAAATTTGAGTTGGAGAACAGTAGTAGAGTATCATTTGTGTGGCGGTACGGCGCGCGGCATGTGAATAATGCACCACTATTCTCCTCCAAACTCAAATTAAAATTGGAATATCTCGTCAACGTATTATGGTCGTGAAGATGGCCCACCCACTTTCTCTCAAATCAATCTGACCCATACCAACATTCAGCAAATAATTAACAAGAATTAACAAGTTAGGTTTAACAATTTGCAAGTTATTATTTTCAAGTACAGAACAAAAATGAAGAAAGATTAACCAAATATACAACACCAGCAATTGACTTTTGAAAGAAAATTTAAACAAACATTAAATATGGCAAAAACAAAAATGAGGCTCTTAAATTCTGAAATTACATAACCGTTCAGGAACAAACGAAATTTTTGAATTTTAAATACATGTGATGTACCGATAAAAACAGCCGAACCCCGACGATTTACTTTTATTATTAAAACGTATAGTGACCGAGTTAAACGATCGAGCAGAAAGGATTATTAAATATCGAAACATAGATACGTAGGCAAATATTAGGAAGTATCTGTTAAAAGCATTTGAGGCACAATTTTAACCATCCATTTACAACTACAATTAAATCACATAAAAATACGTCCAGGTGAAGACGTAAATTCTTTTTCAGTACTAGTATATAACTAGTATAAGTTTAAAAACTTTGTAATTTTAGCACAATAAGAAAAGACGAAGATTAAAAAAAATTCGAGAATAATTTTTGGAAAAAAACAGCAGCATACATAATAAGTTTGATAGGACCAATAAAATCATTAGTTAAAGCACAAAACCTCGAAACGTTGGAACAGACCAACATAATAGCAAGAGTCAAAGAATTAAAATGGCGGGAAGAAATAGAAGAACAAAATTATCTTAATCAACCCAGAGAAATCAGTAGAAATTGTAATAATAATTATAATGATAATTTTAATAAAAATGCTAATAACGATAATAATCTTCATAATAATACTCGTCCAATACATCAAGGGGCTATATTTAAGCCGATTATATTTAAGGGGAGTTCATGAGGATTAACCCTCCCCCATTGGCCGTTTTTTTTAAAAATAAAATCGTTTTAAATTTGTAACAGATGTATTACAAAGATGTTTTTTTTTTTTTATGTAAACACTTTTTCTACCGAAAGCTTACTCCGATTTTCAAGTATAGCATCTTTTCTAAAAAGAAATATTCTCTGGGTGGTTCTTTATAGAGGTAATTTTTTGAAACTCTCATTAATAATCGAGATAATGAGGAAAACCCGGTTCTTTAGGTTAAAAAGGATTGAAAGATTAAAAGTAAGGTTGTCATTGACTATTTTTTATTTTTATTTTTTTTTTAGATTCTGAGTATAGCAAAGAAGCTTATTTTTTTTATTTTATTTTATTTTGTTTTATCTATTAACAACATTCCTATCAGAACTACTTGCTTGGATTTCTAAGTGTGGCACCTTTTTTGATAAAATTTGAAAAACCGAAAAAATACGGGAAAATGTACGAAATATATTACTATTTTTTTTTCCTGTGCACAACTTTTCTACCAGAAATTTTGCTCCATTTTGTTAAATGATAGCAATGTTTCATAAAGGAAATTTTACTATGGAGAAACTTTAAAGAGTTCAGATTCTCAGTTTTCCCAGCAAATGTGAAAAACCGGGAAAAACGTAGGAAAATTGGGAAAATCAGTACAACACTAAACAAATATTGTTAAAGAAAATCTATAAAGCCTATTTAATTATTTCATTATAAAATGACATATAAATTGTTGAAAAAGCATCACTATCAACTGAACTCCGCTCAGAATCGTTTTTTCGTAAGCAATGGTTTATCGTTGCTTACAGTAGGGTGGTTCAATAATTTTTTTTTATTCTGACCCGAGCTCCTCTTAATTTTTTTAGACCTATCTATGGTATTGTTATACTAAAATATCAGCTTATATCTTTCTATAATTAAAAGGTGGTGCTCAAGTAATATTTAATTAATGTTCGATTATAATATTTTTTATTTGATTTTGTAAACCAACGACTTGTATCTAAACATCTTTAAAAGTAATGACTGATAAATAATGTGTTTACCGTGTTTTTTATTGACATGTCGTCAGTTCATATTTCATTTATTAAACACAAATATTTAATCTGGTATTCATTGGCTAGTGATTACTAATACGAAAACCACATGTATACCAAAATATCTTTTAGTGGTGCATCGGGATGGAAAAATATTGCCATTAGTTGTCGGACATGGAAAAGTAGAGAGGCTTTCCGTGTTGGTGTCTGGAAATAATAAAGAAAAACTTCTCGGTGTTCCAAAGTTAGAAGCTGAGACGGGACAGAATACAACGGATGCGGTGTATAATCTTTTGTTAGAATAGAATATCTTAAATAAAGTCAATGCTCTAGGTTTCGACACAACATCTGTAAATACAAGTAAATCTAAAGAGACACGACTATTCTGGAACAAAAGATCGGTCGTGATATGCTATGGCTAACTTGCCGTCACTATATTGTGGAAATAATCTTCCCGAATCTGCAATCTTCTGATTGCCTCTGCAAGGAGATTATGCCCATTAATTTATTTATTAATCACCATACTCCAGCCCTGTACTTGCAAATAATTTTAATGTTTTATTGTTGCTGTATGTTGTGTTACCTTAAATAAACGAATAAACGATGGTGGTGTCCTGGCAATAATATGTAAATATTTTCCCAGGACATCATCGGTAAAAAAAAAAAAAAAAAAATAGATATTTCCTACCACGGTAAACCACTCAATGGTTCTATTGTCCGATTTTACTTTGTACAATTTTATTAGCAGTACCATCATTTAATTTTAGAAACTCTATGACATTCAAAAGAAATTTTCATTCAACTAATTTATTATTGTGCTCCGCAGCTCCTATTTACCATGCATATTACGCACTTCAAATAATATTAATAATACTAATATATTCCACAATACTTTACCAAAAATATTATGTAGAATAGATTAGGTTCTTTGTATTCTCTTTTGCTTGTTTTTCTTTTTTGTAATGGTAATGCAATTCGTTCTCCCTGCCCTTTCATGTCTATTCACGAAACTATTCATGCACATCCTTAATTTTTCATATTAATTATTTTACTGTACTTGTGCCCTAGTGTCATTAATAAATAATTAAATAAAAAATAATAAATAATATCATTAAACAGATTTAAAAAAATATCATATAAATGAAAAAATTATATAAAATGTGATAAGTTTAAGGCTATTGTATGTTATAGGTATAAAAAATAAATCTCTTTACGAGGCTGTCAATGTTTTTCAATTTTGAGTTTGATTCTTACAAAGATGTTTTTTTTCTCCTTTTTAGATTCCGAGTATAGCGAAGCTTCTATTGGTTTTACGAAGATATTTATTTTTTTTATACTGTATACAAAAATTCTACCAGAAATTTTGCCCTTATATTTACACGTGGTAACCATTACTGAAATGAAATATTATCCAGATGGTACTTTTTAGGGGTTAATTTTTTGATTTTCCAAGCGGTTTTTATAATATCTAAGGATAACCAGGATAAAACCTAAGAAAACGAAATTTACGAAAATAATACTTTTATTATTATTGGTTGTAAGTCAGTTAAAAATATTCGTAAAGCCTTAAAAACTTATATTTGCTCTTCTAGACGTACTAAATTTTCAACAAATTTAAGCCATTTTTGAGCTATTTATAGACATTTTAATTTTGCGAGTTTTTTTTTTATATGTGTATATTTCTGATTTAAGAACGATGGTGAAGTCAAAATTGAGCAGACTGACTAAGTTTCGAAATTATAGCTTTTTGGAATTTTGATATGCGCATATCATGTTAAATATCTCAATTTAAAGAATATGTCATAATCTAATCTAATGGTTATACATGCTTATTATCATCCTTGAGGTCCCGAATTAAAACCTGAGTTTCGAACAACATTATCTACACTTTTTTTTAGTCTTTACCTAAACAAGGAAAAAAACAAATGCATTTTGGATGTACCTAGAGACCCAAGCCACCGCTCGCTTTGATTATTTAAATCGCAAATTACCCATCATTTTGTTATGCAAACTTTTTTTCTTTTCAAATCTCGCTTCTATGTATCAAATTTAGCCTATTTTCTGAAAGGAAATTTTATTTTCATGGTAACTTAGGGAGGTCATTTTTTGATTTTTCAAGCGGTTTTCCCAATAAATGGGAAAAATCGTGAAAAACGGAGAAAAAACGGGATAATATACAAAATATTTTAGTAAAATATTACGATTTATCTATAATTTATCTAAAATTACGATATTTAGAAAAAACCGTGTCGGAAAAACGGAAATAGTATGAAATGTAAGTATTAGTAAAAAAAATATTATGGCATTTTTTTTCTGTTTATAACTTTTCTACCAGCAATTCCCTCAGATTTAAAATGATGGCACTTTTTCTGAAAGTGAATCTGACTGGGAAGGTACTTTAAGGAAGTAATTTTTTGATTTTCCCAAGAGTTTTCCCAGCAAATGTGAAAAACCGGGTAACTGGTACAATATTAAACAAATATTATTAAAGAAAATATAAATACCTATTTTTTAACTATTTTACTATAATATGGCATATATTGTTGACAAAACATTACTATTAACTGAACTGCGCTCAGAATCGTTTTTTCGTTAGCATTACATTATCGTTGCTTACAGATATATATTAAATTACCCATAACAATGGCTGTACCCATCTCTATTATTGTAGGACATATTTATTTTATACAGAGTACAAAAATTCTACCAGAAATCTTGCTCCGATATATACATGTGGCACCATCTCTGAAAGGAAATATTATCCAGATGATTCAATGGAAGGTTATTTTTTGATTTTCTAAGCGGTTTTCTTTATATCTGAGAAAATCCTGGATAAAATGTAAAAGAAACGAGAAATTTACGAAAATAATGTTTTTTGTTATTTGTTGTTAGTTATTATTGTTATTCAGTTAAAAATATTAGTAGAGAATTGAAATTTCGACAGAAAACTTATATTTGCTTTTCTCGACATAGTAACAATTTTAAAAATGTTTAGCCATTTTTGAGCGATTTGTAGACATTTATATTTTGCGAGTTTTGTACATAATGTTTATTTGCTATGCACTGTGGTAAAATTGTTACACTAGACAAAACAGAAATGCTTGAAAATTGAACGGGAGGTTCATTAAAAGTCGTACTTTGTGGTAAACATAAAAAAATTAAGCTTAATGTAGTTTTTATTTTTAAAATAAATTTTAATATCAAACAAATGTGGAACAAATCTAATTTATCAATTTTGTTTGGTTTTTTTTTTTTAAATTTAATATGTATATTGCCTATTTAAGAACGAATTTCATAATTATATTTGTCATATTCTAGTGGTCGTATTTACACGTTGTCATCCCAGAGATCACAAAGAGACCTATTTCTGAAAAATATTGTTTGCATTTTTTTTTCTGTTACCTAAACAGGGAAATAATGAATGCATTTTGGATGCACCTAGATATCTACATGGAACATTAGGATGGTTATTTTTTTTATTTTCCAAGCAGTTTTTATAAAAATTGGATAAAATGTCAGAAAAACGAGACAATTTACTATGTGTAATTAGTTAAAAATATTACAGCATTTTTATTCCTGTGAACCACTTTTCTACCAGTAATTTTGCACTGATTTATAATGGTAGTATTTTTTCTGAAAGGAAATCTGACTGGAATGGTACTTATTAGGGAGGTTATTTTTTGATCTTCCTAAGTTTTCCCAATAAATAGGAAAAACAGGAAAATAAATATTATTAATAAAAATATATAATGCATATGTAATTTTTTTATACATATCGAAGTTCAATGTTATATGGGGGTTATAAGTCATACTTAGTAGTCAAAAAAGTGTATAGTGATGTCTTATTTTTCTTTTTTAAAGTTTTAAAATCAAATTTTTATAAATCTACTTTTTGAATTGTTTTTCATTAGTAATAGTTTATCATTGATTACTGATATAAAATAAATAACTATGTATCCCACTTTTCCAACCTCCCACCTATGACAGTGCCGCATATGTTCCCAGTAACAGCTCAGTGGTTATAATTTCACTTTACTCTGTGTCCCAAGATCTACCACTGGAGTTACTGGTACATTTGTTTGAAAGTAATTTAAATTAATTCAAATAATACATTTTTAAATTTTCAATGATTTCCACATCTTAAATACAGAATGTTTAAATATTGAGATTACTATTTTCTTTTAAATAATTTAGTTTTCTTTAAGAAATAAAATTATTTTTTTGCTTTAATTCAAATTTTAAGAGCACCTATTAATTTAAATTGAATCTTATAATATATTTTATATTTTCCTTGGGGAGGAATGTATTGGTTTTATTATTATCAAAAATTTGTCCTGTCTAAAAACAACTTTTCTACCAGAAAACTTGCTATAATACAAACATGTGATAAGAGATCTGTTTTGTTGACAAGTACTATTTGGATAAAATCAAAATTAAATGACTGTATATACATATAGTAACTTAACTTCCCCCCTACAACAGCGACTATCAACAGTATCAACCCTATTTATGTTCATAGGGTGTAATGTTAAAAACTATACTAAAAAATCTAAAATGTTTACAGAATACTCATATTGGACTTGTTTGGTAATTTTTAAACTATTTTGAGGTGTTTGAAATTTTTGTTTTATAAAACTGTTGTTTGGCCAAATAGATATGATTGAAAATTTAACACAAATTCTTTATAAATTAAAACTAGAGGTCTTTTGTTATTGGCGGATATTATTGGAGCATTATTTGTGTGGTGCGGTCTATGCCATTTAAATAATATTTCAATACTTACCCCCTATGCAAACTTAAAATAATTAAAAAATGTTGATTTATTATTTCCTCAATAATTATGTTAAAACACACTATAGCAGGTGTTCTCCAACTTCTAATCTTGTGTACAGTTTATATATATTATGCATCTGTCATGTACCACGTAAAACTTAAAAATGAACAATTAATGTTTTTACATTTATTTTAAACTGATAGGAGGATAAGATAGTAAAATACTTCAATATAATATTAGATCCATTAAGAAATATTTGTAGGAATATTAATTTAGGCATACCATATTTTGAGAACCACTGCAGTATAGAATAGAAATGGTTGGTTATGGCACAATCAATAAATTTAAATGTTAAATTTTGTTCGTTAAACTAAAATGTAACTAATTAATATGACATAACAAATTTTCACTAAAATTACAATTTTTTTTTTGTATAATTAATTACAAATTATTTTTTTACTAATAAAATTTATATTAATATTGTTTATTATTTAATTCTATATGTATTGTTTAAAAGACTTCATCATAGAGGTTTCCAAACTATGGGAGCGGCAAAAAATGGGCTATTATTAAATATTTTATATAGATTTTTACATTACAAAATATAAAATTTGTAAATATATTTGAAAAGAACCTTATTCAACATATTGAAACTGTCTATTAATTTCATTCATTATAAAATTATTGTCAAGTGGGTCAATGATGATTGATATTAAAACAAATTGCAATTTTCCACCTTTCTGTCTTAAATTAATAAATGTTAAATTGGCTATCAATATAAAATAAGTAATCATATATTTTTTTTAAATTGTTAATTTAATTACTTATACTTTTACCATATTAAATAATTAATCGAGTAGATATCTTTTTTTTTTTCTATGTTACTTATGAGCACCAAAATATAGGTCATTAGTATGAAATGGATGGCAAAAATAAAATGAGTTGTATTGTGAAAAATTTGGAAAACCTTGCTTTAGGGTTATTTCAGTAATTAGAATAGAAGTAATAACCATGATAATATTGAAGATACACTAAATTATTTTAGTATATGTAAAAAAAAGAATTTTAACATTGCAGACATATTAACATGAAATTACTTTCATTCAAAACGTGTCAATATTTAGATTAATAAAGACCCTTAAAAAATTTGAAGAAATTACTTCATATATTAACTGGTCTCCTGTATGCTTTCAATTGATCATGCTCATAAAGAATATGAATCTTTTCATACATAAATCTGAAAAAAAATAATAAATTATCATAGTTCTCAACTGATGCATTTTTTGATTCTTTAGTGTCTGTGTATTCGACAAGTAGTTGATGTATAGCTTCAATTGTAGACAAAAACCATCTAGGAGAGCCTTTTTGGTGTCTCCAAAACTGAGAAAGTCTTAATTGAAGCTTAATGCATGGAAATGCTAAATAAATAAAAACAATTTATAATTTATAAATAAGTAATATATTAACATAAAACACTTAACTAAAACATCTAACCTGATATCTTTGGATCTTTCAGAATTCCTTTACTTTGGTTCCAAGTACTGTCGATAAATAATGCATGTGTAATACATGTGCTGTAGACTTCTGTTTCATTTTTTTCTTGCCTATTAAAAATATAAAATGAAATATGAATGAAATCTACTTTATACAATGGATTCTACTTGATATGGACATATTGGTTTGGTCTTGATTCTAATGTATAATAATACTTATTTCAGTTAAAATGGACAACCACTTAATGTGGGGAAAAGTAACTAGTCCCAATGTGTTCACATTAAGCGGAATTTACTATACATATAATTTAGATATAAGATTAGTGTTTAGTAAAATAAACACAAAGTAATAATAAAAGTATACAAATCCAATACATTTGAGAAAACTGGAAATACTCAAATCAATTTTAATACATTTTAACTCTGATGTGTAATGACACAGTATTGAATATGAAAACAGATTTAAATTTAAATTATTTAACTAATAAAGTACACATACTTATGATGATTGTATTTTTTAAATAATTTAAATTACTTATTAAAAAAGGTTTTTGAGCATTTTAGTTATCTTGAACACACTATGTAATATTAACTATATAATTACTTTTCTTTTGAACCCAAGAAGTCTTTTAATGAGAAAGCAGATTTTCCTGGATAAATGAGAATTACCTAAAATTAAAGATAACAATTTTATAAAAATCTATATTCTATACAAGAATCAAAATAATTGGGATTCTATACCACAGAATAGTCAAAAATCATAGCTGTGAAGTTGGAAAATAAGACACATACAATTGTTTAATATATATCTAAGCACCTCTAAACCATTGCTAATAAAAACAATTATAAGCCATGTTCTTTCATACATGATTAATTGAGAGGCTGTAATATTAAAGTCGTAAAGTACAACTTATAATGAATCTCCTGTTAAATTTTTAAATATTTCTGTTTGGTTGAAAATTTAATCCACAGGCCACCGAGTACATATTGAATACAAATTATGTGAAATGTATATAAAATTATATATTCACATTGGGCTTTGGTCCTATCTGAAGAAAAGTATAAGTTTGTGAGTTTACAATTTATATTGAGCAGTAAATATAGATGAATATAGAGACTGGTACAGCCATAGTAATATAGGTAATTTAAAGTATACCTGTAAGTAACGATTAACCATTGCTAATGAAAAAAGAATTAAAGTGGAGTTCAGTTGACAATGTTGCTTTGTAAACAATATATATGCCATATTAAGATAAAATAATTATATATGCATTATATATTTTCTTTAATAATAAATATTTAATATTGTACCTATTTTCCCGGTTTTTCCTATTTATTGGGAAAACTCCTCGGAAAATCAAAAATTACCTTCCTGAAGTACCTCCTCAGTCAAATTTTCTTTTAGAAAAAGTGCTATTATTAAGAATCGGAGCAAAATTACTGGTAGAAGAGTTGTTCAAAGGATTAAAAAAGGATTTTTTTTATCAATATCTATATTTCATAGTTTCCTATTTTCCTGTTTTATATGTAAGATTTTATAAAAAACAATGTTTTCAAGAGTAATTCCAGGTGATGATTTATCAATATTATGAACATTTTTACATTTTTTACCTTTGGCTCTTTTTTTTTATATAAATATATATATTTATAATAATTTTGTCAATATTATTTTGTTTTCCTTATCAATTATAGGACTTTATTTTTTCCATATTAGTATTTACATTCTAATGATTTACACTGAAGGAATTATTTGTTCAATGATAATTTAAAACGTAAACAAAATAAAATACTATATAAATTGCGTTATCACCTAAAATAACTGTTCAAGAACTAAACATTTGTATTTTTTTTTCTGTGAAATATAATTCAATGGTATTGTTACACTAATATAAATAAAATATAAAAATACACTCTGGGTAAAAAATATAATTTTTTTTGGTCCACTCTATTTTTCAGATATCCAACAAGAATATGATTCTATATACAAATTCAAGCTCCATTTATTATAATTTATAGACTGTCATGTCTACATGACTGCATTGCCCGTGCATAATATTGAATAAAAAAATTAAAAATTGGAACTAGCCTCTCTGTATCCTAATAATAAATAGTTTTGATTCAATTACAAATTACAAATATCTATACAAAAATGAATAAAAAAAACAGTAAGAAATGAAAAATAATTATTGTCAAATTACCTTGTCATTTTTAGTATATTTTGGTGTATCAGGATAGGTATAAATTGTAACATCATTTGGGGCTAATAATCTTGCATGAATAGCAGTACTTTTTCCAGCAATTTCTCTGTTATGTTTAATGATGTCAATCTTGAATGGCAACTGTAAAATAACAAATAATTAATATTGTAGCTAAAACATACGGATACTCCTATATTATATTGTTGAGTTATTAATAAAACTCAGTTAAATCATAATTCATATCTTTTTCTAGTTAAACATTGGTATTATTGTAATTGATTAGTAGTAATACTATTCATTTTTATAATGAATTGGTAGTAGGGTATGTGCTATTGTTCCATCATATTATTATTAAGGAATATTATAATTTTTGTAAATATTTTATAAATATTTATGTATACATATTATACTTAGAATGTGCACCATTATATTAATTATATTTTATTTGTACAGTTTTGTAACAATTATGTTTTTAATAAACAATATTTTAGTCAAGGTTTTGGTCTATATATCACATGAAAGTAAAGTACGATAAATTACCATATAGGTTAACATATAGTTAACCTAACCTATTTTCAATAGCTTAGTTAATTTATTAAACATACCAATATTAGTAAGTGAGAGTATTTGTATTTATTATTTAAAATACGTTAGTGCTGATATCTCTTTTAGTATCTGTACATTTTATATAAACTTTAGAGAATGCAAATTATTAGTACCTACCTATATATCTGCAATTTATTTTCCTATTTACTACTTACATCAAGGAAAAAAATTTGGTGGAAAAATACTTTGAAAGTACGAGTCATAAATTATAAAGGTTTTATAATAGGTACAAGAATACCAAAATATATATTTCTGAAATACCTCGACTTTTGGTACTTTATTTTCTAAATCTTCATTTAATGTATAACACGTATAACAAAAATATTTCCTAGACTTGAAACACTTACGACACGGTTGTCGTTCATTTATGTCAAATAATGTACGCCAGTTTTCCGAAATACTTAAGCCGTCAAAAGCATTCATCTTAAATAGTACAAATACTTTAACACAGTTTATAAAAAAAATAATTTAACAAAAACAAATTAATACAATATAACGTTTAAAATTATTTGATTTTTGTATGGCATTTTTTAAACATTAAATTACACACAGTACAATACATTGAATTTAGTCAAAAAACAAATAAGATAAGAACTTGTTGTAAAACACGGTATTATCACGGATGTGTTCAATGATAGTATATAATACTCTATCAATATGAAGGTGTACCAAAATGGTATACGTTTAATTACGAAAACCCTTATGGAAATTATGGCAAATTAATTTTTCACATTATTTCAGGATTATAAATATTTATCCGGGGATGAATTTATAATTGATAATTCAATTTTTTAAAATCAGTTTTCCAATAGAACATTCAAGTATGTATAATTTCCCCAAATTTCAGTAACAGAATGAACAATTTGAGTACTTCTGTACACAAGTCAATAAATTATTGATAACAAACGAGGACTGTGGTTTGAACTTTGTATAATTAAAAATCCATACTCCAGTATAGTATCCTGTACTAGTGTTATTCTGTTTGCTTTTATGGTTATTAAAGTGGCAATGGCCTGTGATGGACGTTTGCGCATAGTAATAATATATTGTTATAAATAATCGCCCAAATACATTATCAAGTGTTTAAACAACCGCAGGTAGGTCAATTATATTAATTAAAAAGTTATTATTATGTCATATTACTGACATTTATGTTATGATGAATAGTTTACTTGTCAAGGAAAATTACATTAAAAAATAGTTTGCATACGTTATCTTAATTTCGGTTAATTAGTTAATTGTTTAATTATTGTTGTGACCAAAGTATAGTATTATATTATACTACATAAATATTAAATTTTTTCTTTTAACCTTATAATTAATTCATTCTTAATAGTCTTTTTTACATTTTTATGAGGATTATATTTCTTGTATAGTTAATATATAGCATTTGGCTTTATTCCAAAAAAATAATAGTATATTATACATAACCATAATATCAAATTATATTTTTAGTTTTATTATTCCGTATGAACTGCACATATCTTTAAACCTTGTAATTTTATAGGAACAATGAAGAAATTTATCATCTCTCTGCTGCTTTTTCATATAATACTACCATTGAGTTTATTAATAAGTAAGTAGTACATTAATTTTCCACTATAATTTATGCTTAATAAATAATATATTAGTTACAGTTTAAAGTTAGGTATTTGTCTATTGATTTTTTTTATTTTAATACAGTTAGGTATATTAATGGAATATTTAATAATATTTATCCCATGAAAAAAAAAATAGTGTTATGTAATCTATATTCGTATCTTTAAAAACAAATTATATAATATTAATTTATTTTAAACTTGACACAGTTTCAAAATAAATTGTTTTTATAAAATATTTTTGTAATTAAAAAAAAAAAAAAAGCTAGTTGATTACACAAAATAAGTACAGCTAATAGATTTTTAATTTTTTTTTCATCATCTAGTATATGCATATAGACCTATGACAAATAGTTTTATGAAACTAATTTCTTTCCTTTAATTTGCATATGATGTACCTACCTTCAGATATATAAGTATGTAATAATAAAAATTATTGATTATCTTGTACATTCTATGATAAACTTTAAAATTTAAATATAACTAATTCTAACATCTATTACTGTTAATTAAGAGTTGTTTATTGTAAATTTTATTTGTAATATTAATTCATTTGAATAATATGTAAAGCAAATACTATATTATTGACAGTTATTTTTTTGAACATAATTTTCCAGAAATAAAATAATTATTAAAAATATGTTTTATTTATGGATAAGTTTAATTGAATAATGATTAATTTAATTTTCCAATCTACACAATATAGAGTATAGATCCCCTCTTACTATTTTTTACTTAAAACATAAATTTGTTTAAAGTTCACACACTGATATATAAATACCACCTTTATTTTATTCTAATCAGGTGTGTATGTATTCATTTCAGATAGATTAATAGTATTAGTATAAATTTTTTTGTATATGAGGTAGGAATCATGTTACAAAAAACTATAGAAAAATAAATATCCTGGAAAAAAACAATACACAATTGGAAGTAACAGGCTGGTGGATAACTAAAGGAGTAGTTAATATCTGATCAGCATAATGTTTTAACCATGAATACTTGACTAAAATGAACACACAAAATTAATAATACGTATCAATATAGGTATAGGGTGATTGACATCAATATAATGTGACGTATGTCACATTATTTTTCATTTTATTTTTTTTAATATTAATTTTTGTCACCCTTATTTTTGGGATTAAACCACAACATACTTTTGATTTTAAAAAGACAACCTATGTTAAAAATTCTACAAATACATTAAGTTTTAGTTTAAATATATTTTGATATCAAAATTTTTAATTTCTGTCAACCCATTGGTGAGATACACAGTTTTCCACTTTTAAGTTTGCCATTGTATGGGTATGAGAAGAATATTAGTAACGGAATACTCCCCCTACTCAAAAAATATCAAACTTAAAAGTGAAATATCTCTTTAATAGATTTGAATGAAGTATAAATTTCAATACCAAATTTTATTTAAACTTAAATTACATCCATTGGTAGACTTTTTAATTTACTTTTAAGTATGTAGTGGTTTAACCCCCAAACATAAGAGTTTACATAAACTGCTTCTTTCTTTGATTTTCAAAAACAAATTCTGGAAAAGTTAATTCTTTCCAAAATATCGAGTGAATTATGTTATGTTGATGACTTAATATTATAAAATATGTTTAATCAATGAAATATATCTAAACAATACAAATATTAATAAATTATAAATTTAAATATTTTATGGTTTGAATACTAGGAAATTTTTTTTACTATATCTTATTATTATTATATATATATATATGAAAACAGAACCTATTAATGTTTGTGACTCATGCACATTTCTTCAATATTATATGTGTAATGTATGTATCTAGTTTGAGATTATTTCAAAAACTATTAATTTTAATTATTTTATGCTAGGTTTATCTTCATTTTTATTATTATTTAAGTACCTATACTTAAAGAATATAAATTTGTGTACATACAAGTAAAACAATTCTGTAAATTTAAATAATAATAAAATAATGTTATATATTTTACAATATAAAATAGACCTCTTCTGTCAATGTAAAACAATAAAAATGCTCTTTTTTCATAATATCAAACTGACATTGTTAGTTGATGTAACACAATAAAAGAATTACCATATGTATTATATTATTTTTTTCTTTAAACTAAAAATTTTGTATTTATGTTTATTAGGAAATTGTCAAATATTGTATCCATAGATGTATTTAGTGATGGCCATTACTCTTCTTTCAATTGCTTTTCAAGTAAAGGATAATTTTTAAATTCTGAGGAGAGTGAGGAATCTATTGGTTTTACAATGATTTTAAAAATACAAAAATTCTACAGAAATCTTGCTCCGTAGTATCATGTGTAACACCTTTTCAGAAAAGCAATTTCCCCGGGATGGTATTTTAGGATGGTCAATTTTTTGATTTTCCCAGGGGTTTTTATAATAATTAAGAAACATCGGGAAAATAGGTACAATATTGAACAAATATTACTAAAGTAAATAATATATAGTACATATTATGGTATTATTTTGTCATAATATGGCATATTTATTGTTGATAAAGCAACACTATTAACCAAACTCCGCCCAGAACATTTTTCATTAGTAATGGTTAATCATTGTGTACAAATTTATATAAGTGAATACATTTTGTCTGTCAAATAGTTTTTTCAATATCAAATAATTTTTCGAGTATCCAATAGTTTGATAATGACTATTGGATTGTACTTATCACTAATAATTATGCTTTTTTTTTATTTTTTGATTATCAATAGATTGCATATGATATCACTATTTCAGTATTAGTTTTTAAATTGAATGGAAATTTAGATTTTATTTTTCGGCATAATTATTTCTATTGTTATAACTCATAGTTTATTTAAATGTTTTAGATTCTGAGTGTAGAGAAGCATATATTGGTTTTACGAAGATGTTTACTTTTTTAATATTGTGTACAAAAATTCTACCAGAAATCTTGCCCCAATATTTACGTGCGGTACCATTACTGAAATTTAATATTGTCCGGATGTTACTTTTTAGGGGTTATTTTATAATATCTGGGAAAACCAGGATTAAACTTAAGAAAACGAAATTTAGGGAAATAATGAATTTATTATTATTTCAATTTTATTATTGGTTGTAAGTCAGTTAAAAATATTCGTAGAGGCTTGAAAACTTTGGACAGAAAACTTATATTTGCTTTTTTTAGATGTGGTAAAATTTTCAAAAGATTTAAGCCATTTTGAGCTATTTATAGATAACATTTTTATTTTGCGAGTTTTTTAGGTAATTTTTATTCAGTAGGTACTCTGTGGAAAAATTGTTAGACTAAACAGAAATGCCTGAAAATTTAATAGGAGGATCATTAAGAGACTTACTTTGTAGTGAAAAAAAAAAATTGAGTTTATTGTAGAATTTTTATTTTATAAGGGAATTTTGACGAACATCACATCGTTTGAATAAAAAATTATATGGAACGAATATAAATTTTTCAATTCTTTTATTTTGAACATATGTATATTGCCGATTTAAAAACGATGGTGAAGTAAGAATTTAGCGGACTGACATAGTTTCGAAATAATAATTTTTTTGTCTTCTTTACTGTATGTTTGTCGTAGTCTAATGGTCATAGATATCTATTGTCATCCTAGGGGTCGCGGATTCAAACCGCGTTTTAAAAAATTGTTCGCATTAATTTTTTCCCTTTTACCTAAACAGGAAAAACAAATGCATATTAGGTATACCTAGAAACCTAGTTATCGCTTGTTTGCACTATTTTAATCGAAAAATATAACTCGATATTTTGTGCAACCTTTTCTACCAGAAATCTTGTTCCGACTTTTAAGTGTAGGGCTTTTTCTAAAGGAAATCGGACTGGGAAGATACTTTAGGGAGGTCATCCTTTAATTTACTCAGGAGTTTTTTAAATAAATAGGATGAAATGGGAAAACGTACGAAATGTAGATATTAGTTTAAAAATATTACGGTCTTTTTTTCCTGTGAACAACTTTTCTAC